TATAATAAATATTCCACTATATGATGATGAAAATGCTTAGTACATTTAATTTCTTAAAAAAATTTTATAACTACTTTTATCATTTTACCTATTTATTTCTTAATCTTAATTTGATATGAATCACAAAACTTAGCCTGAAACTTAAAATCTGAAACTTCAAAAATGTTAGAATTTATATCAATGTCTGATATTTCATGAATTTATATCATAGTTTGTATTTGATATAAATCCTGAAATCTAAGCCTAACACTTACAGTATATTTCTTTCTTCTAAAATGTAAACATTTTTATCTATTTTTGATATTTCATGAATTTATATCATAATATCAATTTGATATGTATCCTAAAATTTAAGCCTAACATTGACAATGTATTTCTTCCTACTAAAATGTAAGGATTTATATCGACTTTTAATATTTCATGTATTTCTATGATAAATGGATTTGATATGCTATGTGAAGTTTAAGCCAAAAGCTTAGACAATGATATGATTTTTATATGTTACGAAACCTAACATACATGTTCAATTAGATATGCGAGCATCATGATGGTAAAGTACATTACATATATTTATAAAAATAGAAATATATTGATCATAACAGTATCAATTTAGAGTCCATTTTTTTATAATTGAACTTATATGCTTTCATGTTGATATATCATGTTAAAATTCTTATCATAATTAGAACGTCAATTTACTAGACATCATGACACAGAATTAAAATCTTAAGACATGAAAAGGTCCTACGTCATTTACATAATCATCTATTTTATCACATTAACTCTTCTTGTTCCCAATCTTAAAGTATCTCACTTAAAATACAGGCACGATTTCTCATTCTTACTCACAAAAAGTAAATAAAACAAATAACTTCATTTGTAACTAATATGTGACATATTTCAATCAGACAAGCATTGATAAATATGAATGGTTAAGCGAATGTAAACAATAACAAGCTTTCTAAAATGAAATAAAATTTCAGAAAACTTCTGATGTGTTTTTGGAATTGGCACTGATGTTGTGATTAAGAAGCAAAGTGAGAACAGACTTAATATTATTGAGAATAAGATTTAAGTTTTCACCCAAGATTAAGATTCAGAAAAAAGTTTGAAAAGAATATAATATAAATGAATAACTCCAGGAGAAATAAATTCAGTCTTTTAAGATTTGAATGAAAGCATAAACTTTAGTTTTTGGCATGAAAATAAATTTTAGTTACAAATATTCAGCTTTAAATTATTAACCATTCATATTAAAAAGCTTTAGAGCATAAAAATAATAAAAAATTCAGAAATTAAAATAATTTTAAATGATTTCTTGTAAAAGGAAATGACAACAATGTGACATAGCTTAAAAACTACACAACTAATCTTAAAATATATGACAAAATAAATAACATTTGAGTTCAACTCTCTACAAATTAATTTAAAAAATATTTGAAATTATTTAGTGATATTTCCTTGCTAATCAAACCCAGAGCTTGATTATGAAAGGTATAAGTACTGAAATGAAATACAGAAGACCCTCAGAAATCAGCACAGATTAGGATGAGAGGCTTTATGGATTTTACAATTATGAGGATTTTAGACCATTCGTTTGTTTACAATTTTTCGATGCATTTTTTTTTTCTAAATTTTTATTGAAATGCACAGAAAATGAATGAAATATGGTTAATACATTTAAAGACAGAATTATACATAATTTAAAATTGCTTATTAGGTTATTTGAGTTATTAGCAAATTTATTATTTTAATGTCACTTTTAAAATGTAAATGTTATTGCAGTTTGTTTCAAAAAACAGTTATATCCAATTTCTTTTTTCTTTTTTTTTGTTTCTTTCTTTTTTGTTTCTTTTTTTTTTTCCTCTCTTTTTTTTGTGAACTTTCACGAAACAAAACTTTTGAATTCATGAAAGCATTTTCTAAATAATCCTAATTAATTTTCTCATAACTCAAGCTCTGGTTTTTAAAAAGAAAGAAAACAGAGCAATATGTCAAAAAATATATAAAAAATAATTACAACAAAATAACATAATGAATCATATTTATAATTGTGCCAATGTATATTGTTGTCACTAAGCAATAAAATAATAATGCCTTTCAAACCTTTTCACTGGTACTTATCAGTAAATCTATTTAACATTTTATATGTCAATAGATTTCTTATTTATCCTCATGCTTTTTGAAAAAATATCAAGCAACTTCACACATACAATCTTATCTACATATATAAGATTTCAACAATGTTACAATCTAGCCTAAACATTAAAATCTAAACAGCAAAGTTTTCATTATTTTCTTTTTCAATATTAAAAGCTGCAATATGCTCATAAAAATACATACAATAAAGTAAATAAAAAGCACTATCAATGACTGCATTCTAATAAAATTTAAACAAAAAGAAAAGAAAATTTATGAATGATTGAGTAGTAGTTGGAAATCAACAATAGCAAAATGTTCTATAAAATGCATATTTTATAAAAGCAGTATCACTATTAAATATATTTAAAATATTTTTAATTATAAACATTTATCAAAACTTTACATAATTATTTGTATTATAGTAAATTGTGCATTTATTAGTATGACATTTGGCATTTATAGCATGGATGCAGCATTTAAATGACAATGAGTGAAATGATTTAACCTTTCAGAAATAACATTTTAGGTACTAAACATCTCAAAATGATTTGACATAAATGAAATGTCTATTATTCTTCTTGCACATTTCACAATTTCAGAAAAGAATCAGAATACATAGCCAAGTTAAATAAGGAAGAAATGGATGAAAAAATTAATACATAAAATTAATGTTTTTCAAAAGATCTTATTTTAAATAATTTTATTGAAATTTGAAATAAAATTAGTTAGAATAAATTCATTGATGAAATTCGAAGAGGCAGAAAATAATTTTCTGTCTAATAAGGATGAAAAAGAATTGGGAAATGCTTTAAAGCAAGGAATTTACAAAAATCAAGGATATTTAGAAATTTTAATTAAATTAGATGAGACAGTAAAAAATATGATTCTAATGAAATTACATGAAACAGGAAAGAATTTATAGATTTAAATTAAATTAGATTGGCAGGAAAAAAATCTATAGATTTTAATTAAATTAGATGAGACAAGAAAAAATATATAGATTTTAATGAAATTAGATGAGACTAAAACATATCTATAGATATTAATAAAATTAGATAAAACAGAAAAAAAATTCTAGATGTGAATTAAATTAAATAAAACAGAACAAAAATCTACAGATTTTCATGAAATAAGATGAGACAGAAAAAATCGATAGAGTTTAATAAAATTTGATTTGACAGTAAATCAAGAGATTTAAATGAAATTAGTTAGAAAAAGTTCTTGTCAAATTAGGCAGAATTTATATTAATTACTCCGAATTTATATTAATCAGGCAGTTTAAATTAGCTTTCCTGCCTTACCTAAATGAAAAAGGGTTAGCTATTGTTTTAAAGTAAGAAATTTGCAGAGATTAAGCATGATTAGAGAATTTGATGAAATTAGATTAAACAAAAAATAATAGAATATGATGAGATTAAACAATTAATAGAATTTGATTAGACAGAAAATAATCTTCTGGATAAAGATGATGAAACAGATCTTTATGAAAGTAATCTTGAAGTTTTAATATAAATAGACGCAACAAAAAATAACCTTCTATTGAATCTAGATGAAAATGGTTTGGCTTATGCTTTAAAGCAAAATTACTGACATTAAAATATATTTAAATATTTTAATGAAATCAGATGAGAAAATTTCTGTCAATATGAAAATTACTTAAAGGAAAAGATTCAATCAAAAATTTGATAATTGAATAGGTTCAAACAATTTATTTAATATTTTTTACAGAATAGGTTAGTTAAATTAATTTACTTTTAAATATTTAATAATTATTGCAATAGACATACATAAGTTGAAACCAAGTGAAGACCATATTTCATTTTAAAGCACAGATAAATCGTGTTAATGCAATAACTACAAAAATTGGAAAAGTAATACAGTTACCATTGGTAATTTTGCTAAGTAATCACATATCAGAAAGAAAAAAATAAATATGGATTAAGTTTACCAAAACAAAATGTATATCTCATATTTAAATCTATATTTTTATATCATTTAAATATTATGTATAATATAATCAACTCAAGCAAATTCACACAGATTTGGAAATAATTATTGCATAAAAATAACTTAATTATGAACAGATTCATTAAATCATAATAAAGACAACCTTCCATACATCAAACTCTGACAAATCAAACTTCCTGAAAAAGTGAAAGAATTATGAGTAGTTTTAGCTTAGCGAAATTTCAAAGAAAAAAAAATTCAATTAATAAAGGTTCTTTTTCCTCTTTTGCATGATATTTCTCTTTAATTTAAATAGTTGTAAAAATATTATGACTTACTTTTGCAATTTATGAATCAAATAAGTCAATTAAACTAAATAAAATATTAACAAATATAATGAAGACTAGTCAAAAAGTTAACACATTGTACTACAATAACAAGAGATCGGGAAAAAAGTAAAAAAATAATAGGTAAAAAAATAGTAGGTCAGCAAAAAGAATTAAAAATTGTAGCCAGCATTTATATTTATCTTTAAACCTGGCATGAAAGCCATTCTCTAAATGTATTAGGAGTTAATGATATGGAATGCATCATACTCAGACTTTTGCCTCTGGTCATTTTACCCTCTCCCCATTTCTCCCCATATAAATATGATAACAAATAATGATAAGTATTGGCTAATAATACTAATTATTAACTGGAGATAATAATTACTAATAGTTATTAAATTACCAATTAATTTAAATAATCTACAAATTATTTAATTGAAATCAACAAAAAAATTATTCAAACAATTTAAAATAGTTACATTCCAGATATATTTTTACATATATCCTTAATATATATTTATTCAGTTTCCTTCCTTAAAAAAAATTTTTTTTTAAAAAAGGTGATGTATTTCTTTTTTTTTCCTTTTTTTTTTATTGAGCTATAGGTTTAATACCTGTAGCGTCATATGTAGGAAATATTTTTAATGAAAAACAGGAATAAAGGGAGGAAAAATTTATATCCTGTCACGCAAATCATTCTGGCTATAAATTTATGAAAACTATCAGTCTAATTTAGAATACATAGATATGATAAAGTATATCCAACTAAAAAAGATAACCTTTTAGAGTATAAAATGGAGAATGGCGAAGAGGAAGGTAATCCACTGGATGGATAGTATAAAGCAGATAGAGTGAATCAGTGTAGAGCTGTAGCATTGAATAGGTTCAGCTTAAGATTGCTTTGGCTTAGAACAAGATGCATTGCTTACAAAAAAAATTGATAGCATCTTTTTATGATTAGAAAAATTGAAAAAGTCTATATTCCTTACTACTAATTTTCTAATATTAAAACAAATACTAACTGAATACAGTTTGGAGGGGAAAAAATATTTATCTTTTAAATTCATTTTTCTATTTTTATAAAAAAAAAATTGCTATTAAAAATTATCACATTACATAACACAATATGTGAATTTCAATGGATGGAAGGTTAACTTAATGGGAAAAGAAAAGATATTATTTACAGGTTGCTTAGCAAAAAATATACATCAGAGCTCCTTTGAGGAGAACATATATTCCTGTAGATTTCTAAAATTTACAAACTTGTCTGTAAATCAGTCTTCCAGTTTAAGTGATTTTTAAAAATTCTTACAAAAGAAATCAATAGTCTTCTAAATCTTAACCTTAACTACCTCACTTTTAAAAGATGAAGAGGAGAATTGAATGTTCCTCTTTTTCTAACCAAATTTGCTGCCACTGAAAGAGAACAGATAGAAAAGTGGTTTAGTTATTAATAATATTAACTATTTGCATAAAAATTTTATGCAATTACATTTGAATATCAATGATTCCTTGGTACTCACAATTCACTAATTGTTAGTACCAGATCAAGAAATAAAAGGCATATTTGGATTTTTATAGGAAAAAAAATATAATAAAAAGAGTAGCATAAGGAAAAGAGAGATTTTAAAGCTGATATAAATAGTTGAACTTTAATTAGAATGATAGCATAGATGAATTTTCATAAGAAGAAAAATATCATAAAACTATAATTAAAAGACTGCTATAATTCAAAAAATTAGTATTTATAAGTTGCAATACCATACCAAATGAAATAACAAAAAGCACATTTAGTTTCATGTCAGGATTAAAATTACTATAAAACTATAATGAACCAAAGGCATATTTGGATTTTTGCCACAAAAAAAAAAGAAATAAAAAAAAAATATTTTAAATAAAACACATATACACATTTGGTTTTTAATTTAAAAAAAAAACTCAATTCAGTCATTAAATAACATATAAGTTGTTATTTATTTATAAGAACCATAATCAGATAACATACAAAAGTTGCATTTGCGGTTTCTATTGTATTTGCGAATCAACACATTAAGATTAACTGGTTAATCATTATTCCTACAAAGCAGAAATGTTACAATGCCAATATTTTTTAAAGAATAAATAAAGGCAAGCATAAACCTTTACAAAAAATACAATTCCTAGTTCTTATTGCAAACCTTGCTTTGAAACTTTTTTTTTCTTTGTATATTAAGATTCTAAAGAGCAATATTTTTCTAATGATGATGTTTAGTGTTTTTAGATTCAATCTCGATATAAAAGAGATATTTATGCAAACTTAATCCAAACCACTTTGCATGTACATTAGCATAATTTATATGCAATGCATTACAAACAACTTAACATTATTTCAAGCTTGTGTGGTTTATTTGTTAATCATTTATAAACTTTAAACCTTATTGGGGTTATGTGATAAAGGTTACTGCTACATTAAAACCAACCTTACCATGCCACATGATCTGCAATATCTTTCAAAATAAGCAAACATATGTAATATAAACTACTAAATTAAATGGAGTTAAAGAAAAAAATTCTACTAATAATTTTACTTGGTGAAATTAGTAAAAAATACTTAGAAATGATTTCATAATAAAAAAAAAACTGATTTATCACAGTAAATTTGCGTTAAAAAAAGTTACTATTTTAAAATAATTTTTATTTACTTACATAGAAAATGTTACTATAATCAATGGTTGGACTGAAACAAGATGTTTTCCAGTCATTAAAAGTGATTTGCGATTGAGTAAAAAACATCATTAATAATTAAACAATGAAGTACCAACACTTTATATACAAATCTAACAAAAATTAGAAATAATGATATTAATTTAAAAATTTGATATTAATTTAATAATGAAGTAACAACACTTTATATACAAAGATTAGTAATGATGATAAAAAGTTAAAAAACATTAATTGAAAAATGAATCAAAAAAGATTAATTGAAAAATGAAATCAAAAAACAGTAATAATGTAAAACAGTTCCAACATTTAAAATGGAAAACATAAAAAAGCTTAACCAGACCATAGAGTTTCTCAAATGAAAAATTTTAAAAAAATTATCCAATTGATAAATTAATAATAAAGCAAAACATAAAAGCTGAAATATAAAAAACAGAACTAATAGAAAACAGAACTAATTTCATAAATGATGTATTTAAACTGAACACTAAAAATATTTGAAAAGAAAAATTGGTTAACATAAATTTTTTAGGAATTATCATATTCAGAATGTAATCATAAATATGATCCTTTTTAACCTTGAAAACAAGAATTTGCAAGAAGAAGAAGAGGTTTTAATAAATATTTTCCTTAAGAAGAATTTATAATTTACACATTAACCTAAGGTTAAAATAAACTTGAAGCATAAGTATTTCAGTAAAAAAAAAAATTATAAATAATGAAATTAAACCAAACAATTATATCTGGAAGAAGAAAAGTTTTTTCTACATAGTTATAAAGCTAAATAAATATTCTATCATAATTCAGAGGAAAAAAAAGTTATAATGTTCACTGTGTTATTATAAATATGATCATTATTTACCCTCTCAGAATTTAATCCAGCATTTCTATACATTTACTTTAACAGTTTTCCCAGAGAACAAATTTGTTGCTCTTTTATTAAAAAAAAAATACAATAAAATATTAAAGGAAAATATTTATATTAACTTTAAAAAATTTGTCCTCTTCCAACCAATCTCACTTTGCTGTAGTTAATCAAAAATAAATGCAAGTAACTGATTATATTTATATATATTTTGCATGTGTAACCCTTAATTTTGAACATAGCTCAGGAGCCAGTAGTACTCCCTAAACAACCAGTTTATGACCCAGAGGTCATGGAGGTTAATTCTGCAAAATTTTGAGACCAATGACATGACATGATAGTGACAATATGGTCCGTATAGTGAACGTTTGCCTTTACTTTACACACAAGCAGTAACACATCGCTCTGAAGTTAGGTAGGCTTCGAGCCACCATTGGAGATAGAATCCCAGCCCTACACAATGAAAGCTTAGTGCCTTAAATACTGTGTTAATGTGACTTACATAGAAGACAAAGGAACATTTGTTACAAACCATAGGGGAACAAAACTACAATAAAATAGCTTTATACTATAGTTTTCCTTTCACTTTAAAAGGAAAACAGGAAAATCTTCCAAATTTAATGTAACACAAACAGAACAATAATTATAAAGGTCCTAAAAATAATACAGAATTTTTTTTTTTAAATAACGTGAAAATAAAATTATGCAGACAGGTTGCCAATGAACTAGAAAACAACTAAAACAGAAAAAAAATTCAGTTAGAAAATTAAAAAAAAACATTCTTATTTTAATCACAATGTTTCAATTATTGAAGAAAAGATTTTAATTCAGCAACCTTATTTCCATATTCAACATTGCAGGGTATATTATTGTTCATTAAAGTGAAGGAAAGTTAGTCCAGAAACTAAACAGTTCATCAAACTTCATCTATGTTTCATAAAAATTTAATCATAACAGGATACATTACAGTCTACAGAAGTTAAGGTCAACTGAATTAGGCAGTACAGAGAGCACTTGCTTTGCTTTTCCTTTCTGTAAACCTCTCAGAGACCAGAATGTAATTAAATCAAGGTTAAAACTTCCTTTAACATATTTTCGATGTGCAGCATACTTGAATCTTAAAAACAGATCACCTATTACTGGTATATTTTTTTGCAGCAACCATCAATATTTGCGCAAGCCAATTGTTTTGCATCAAAAAACTCAAGCAATTTTCAGTAAATTTAATGCTTGTTGACAAAACTTGAGCCAGCGAATGCCCAGTTGCAGAATTTACAAAATCTATAACTATCTTCAAAAAATAAAATTTGTATGAAACTTTCGTGCAGTCAAGCAGAGATTATTATTGTAAAAATTAAGATTTATCTATCATAAATTTAGCACAATTTACAAATATTTAATATAAAAGTTGTACATAAAAACCTTATGTAGTTTAAATTTAATTTAGTTTTTATACAATCATACTTTTGCTTTGCCCAAGAGGAAAAAAAGCAGATGCTTATAATAAGTCCAATGCCTAGTGACTTTATGTCACTAACCCCCGTATTCACCATTGAATCTGACCTAGCGCGTAACTCCCAGTTCCGAAACCCCCAGTTTGGAAACTTTGACCGACAGTTCAAAAGCGATTCCACCATTATTTTTTGACCGTCGGTTTCTTAACTGCGGGTTACTTGACCGGCAAATACAGGCGGTAGATTTATAGCCGTATTAACAGCGTTTGTTTTCAATTTTCGTTGCTATTTTTTTATAAAAAATTTCTATTAAAAGAAGAAAAAAAGATTGCATCGAGTAATTAAATTTGAATCTCTCTTTTACTGGTCAAATAAAAAATATGTTTAGTTTCGTTTTCCTAACTGACTTGTATTGATGAGCAAAAGGATCCGAGCTTTATTATTATGAATTTAGATATTTTATTATTATGGATATCATAAAGCCGCAAGCAACCATAGAAATGTAACTGAAATTCAATTAAAAATACTTTTATTTCACACAATTATTTAATACTTTTATTTTACACTATGATCAAGGGGATTATGCTAACATCATTATCATCTAATGCGCGTATTTTTAATCTTTTTTTTTCTTCCCCTTCATAACATATTATCGATAACTTAAACCATTGAAAAGAATTTTTTTTTCTAATTTTAAATGAAATTGTATATAATAAACTTCTTTGTACAGATAAGCATAAATCAACACATTCATATTATTCAGAAGTTATAAATGACTACTATTGTGCTGACATCTGCTGATGATAAGAGAGAATCGACGTTGGTGATATGGTGAATAAGATAACAATTTTTTTAAAGAAAAATGTCATAATCGGAACAAATATTCCGAAACTTTAAAATTTTAAAAAAATTTTATGCTTTTAAAAATTTTATTATTTAGATAATTGTATATGGAAATATATCAGTTATATAATATATATTTATATTATGCCACATATGTCATAAAGTAGTCAGGCTATATATAAAAAATTATAACTAAAGACGGGCATTTTAATTTCATATAGTTTTAAGCAATAAATCTCTTCCAAATGATCCTATTTTTTTGAAATATTCAGCAGATTATTTTATGCTTATAAAATTCTAAATTTCCTGATTTNTGCCCTAAGGCGCATTGTGAAGGGAAATTGGAGGAAGAGGCTTGCCAAGTTCCTTCTTCAACAACATTGTACTCCCACCACCACAACAGGTGCTAGTCCTGCGGAACTGTTGATGGGGAGGAAGCTAAGGACCGTCTTAGATAGACTCCATCCAGATCTGACGGCTGAGAGGAAGTTGAGACAGGAGCAAGATGCGTATAGAAAAAATGGTAGTTCTCTTCCAAGATCGTTCAGTGCCGACGATCCAAGGGGTTTTGTCCCCTATCCTATGGTGTATGGTAATGGACTCCCTGTTAGTTCGGTTAACTGCTCTTGGCATTCCCTGTATCGGGTACGCTGATGACGGTGTTATTGTTGTCAGAGGCAAACATGGAAAAACTGTCTCTGATATCATGAATAATGCACTCCTAGAAGTAGCTAGGTGGTGTTTTAAATCAGGCTTATCTGTCAATCCATTCAAGATAAGTTATGTAGCCTTTACACGGAAAAGGCAACTTGATCTAGGTAATGTATACTACCTGGACCATAAATTGGAACTCACGGAGAAAGTCAAGTTTCTCGGGGTTTATTTTGACTCCAAACTAAATTGGGGTCTTCAACTTGAATACTGCACCAACAGGGCCAGAAAAATTTTCTGGTCTTGTAGAAATGCTATTGGTAGAACATGGGGACTGTCCCCCAAAATAGTCTACTGGATATACTCAATGATTATTAGTCCTATCATCACTTATGGCGCAATCGTCTGGTGGTCAAGGACTAGATTGAGCTCTGCAAGGTCTAATCTTAACAGACTACAAAGAATGGTCTGTGTAGCCCTGTCAGGCTGTCTCAGGACCACTCCTACAGCTGCTCTAGAGAGCTTACTTGGGCTTCTTCCATTGAACTTACGCATTGAAGTTGAAGCTCAGACAGGCGTAAAGCGTCTTATGTACCTTGGCCTATGGAAAGAGAATTCCAAACACTTGTCATGGGGACATCTTGTTTCACAAGTGAAGGATTTATCCTCTTTTATTATGCCTAGTGATTATATGTCACTAAGATATGCTTTTCACAAGCCCTTCAAGATCCATTTTCCTACTAGAGATGAATGGTTCAATTCTCCTCGGTGGCTTAAAGGCAAATGCCTGATATGGTACACTGATGGGTCAAAGATTGGTGCCAAATCAGGAGCAGGAATTTACTGCTCCAATGATGGTACCAAACTTCACTTTCCCCTGGGAAATTATGCCACCGTTTTTCAGGCTGAGGTCTATGCCATTATCTTGTGCTGCAAGTTATGCATAGACAAAGGATATCAAAATACGACTATCCGCATCTGTTCTGACAGTCAGGCTGCTCTCCTATCACTGTCAAGGTGTAAATTCACCTCTTTGTTAGTGTGGGAATGCTTCTCGGTCCTCTGTGACCTATCCACTCATAAAAGGGTATCCCTGCATTGGGTACCTGGACAATGGGTATCGGTGGAAATAAGCTAGCTGATAAAGCGGCACGGGTTGGCTCTAATGCAATTTTCTGGGGTCCTGAACCTGCACTGGGAATTTCTCCCACCTCATTTAGGGCATCCATATTCAAGCTTTATGGCAAAATTGCCCATGAGCAATGGCGCACAGCTGATGGTCAGAGACAAGCTAAGGAGCTAAATCGTGACTGTCTTAATGTACGTCAAAAAAAGCTTTTAAAGTTTAATAGAAACAGTTTAAGAAAGATCATTCGTCTTCTTACTGGACACTGCATCCTCAGGAGACACCTCTACATAATGGGAATAGAATCCAATTCTCTTTGTCGGGGTTGTCATCTTGAAAAAGAGACATCACGACACATACTTTGTGATTGTGAAGTCTATTCTGCTCAAAGATTTGAGCATTTAGGGCAGCATTGTGTCAATGCCTGGGAACTGCAAGATGTTCCTGTAAGATGAATTTTATTTCAGCTATAGGGCTTTCATGCTAATCATGATTTAGGATTTGGGTACAATAGACCTCTGGTCGATGTGCCCTGCTCGTTAGAGCTGCCAAACCTCTGAGACTAAGTCCAATAAAGAAATCGAGAGAAAGGTCTTGCAGATGATATTAAAATAAAATCTTTTTATTTTTAGGAAGAATTAACAGAATTTTAATTTATGGTATCTGATTAAAGCCCATTTAAAGATTCTTCAAATGAAATTCATTACCATGCCATCAAAGGGACTTAGCAGACAATAAAAACAATAAACAGAACATTATGTTCATTTACTGAATTATTATTATTATTTTACAATGTTCATGGCGCTCGTTTATAAATCTGCAAAGCCAAACTTGAATTGAATTTTCTCTACTGCCTTCTATATTGAAAACTGCTTTGCACATCAGCAAAGGCACTTGTTTCAGTAAAGGAAAAGAATTGACCATCAGTCTGTACTAGTTTCAACATAGAAGGACATATATTTCCCAGAGTGCAGCTTCTTTAGTTTGGCACTGAATGTCCTTTCCTTAAGAGGATTTAATTATTATTGTTGAAAATTGAAACTTCAATCTTCAACATTTCTTATATTTCAATTTTTGTTTGATTTTTCATGATTTTATGTTTATTATTGCAAAGATTCTATTGTTGAAATTTACATTGGGTTCAGTGAATTTATAACATTATACACAGGGTGACAAAGAATGCTCGACAAATTGTAACTGATTTTCTTCTGCATTTTTTCAGCATTCATTGATCAATCCTGCAAATGAAAATAATAATTTTTGACACTTTAATAAAGTGTGGAGAGCAGGATTAAGTAAATGACTTTTTTTGGTATCAATTTTTTTCTTTCTTAAAAAAAAATAAAAAGGAAAACTATTTCTTAGTTTTCATAAATAAAGATCAAAAAATTATTTTTTAGTTTTATCTCTAATTTTATTTGTTCTTACTTCTCTCCGCTAGCAATTTTTTCTCCATTTGTTATTTCAAAAAAAAAAATCTGAAATGGAAAATAATCTACAGCCATACTAAAAGGTTTCTTCTACCATGGTCAAGAATATGCTTCTAAAAGGATTTTTAAAATTTAAAAAGATAAAGTTGGATGGTCAAAAATCACAAAGACAAGTATGTCTCTTAAATGAAGAGATTTTTCTGAAAATAAAAATCATAGGAATGTTCAGCAATTATGCAAACAAATGCAAATCATGCAGCTTTCCACAATAAGGTCCTAATAACAGTCAGCAAAAAAATCATTTATAAAGTCAATTCTACAATATATATTTTTTTTTCACATTATGAAACTTATAAAAACATCTAATATAAGGACAATCAAACATAAAAGTTCAAATCACAGATATTGTAATACAAGGAATAAGGGAATAGATACAAAACTTAGTTCAAGAACTCACTAGTATTATCTTGAGGTGTTAATGGCCGGTCAATAACACTCTGTAAGACTTTCATCCACTCAGTTCTATCCTCTTCTCTTTGAACACCAAACAAAAATGTCCTTTCACGAGTCTTTAATGTAAAACCAAATCCTTGTTCCTTCATGCCAGGAGGCACACCTTGCTTCACTGAAAATCCATCTCCATGATAACCAAGGAACACTTCCCCTTTTGGATAAGGATCCTATAAATACAGAGGATTATAGATAGGATACAGAGGATTAAATAAATAAACTTTCACCACCTTAAAATAAAAATACAAAAGCAAGCCGTTTAAAGACCACTCAACCCGTAGTCACATTAATAAAATTTTGAAATTGATAATCTGACACAAAATTCATGTTCAATGTCCATTGAGTACTACATTAAGTCTTTGCGATATGGGGTAAATTTGCCTTATGTCATTGTTAGCTCTGAATTTTCCAATGGTACGATTCTAATAAAAAATTTGAAATTGATAATCTTACGCATCATGTATTATGTCATTTGAGTAAAGAGTTTATGTTATTAGGTAAATTTGCCTCATATCGTTATTGGCTCTTAATTTTGCAATGGTATGATTCTTATAAAAATTTGGAAATTGATAACACAGAAAATTCAAGCACAAGATTGAAAAGAAATTCTAAAATAACATGCATCAAAAGGAAGAATTAATGATAACTCACAAACTTTTAGTTTATATAACTTTTATGTTTATAAGTATGCAAAACATCATGCATGCAGTTTATAAGTATGCATCAATCATCATCAAGAAAGAGGTATTTTTAATTATAGGAATATGATACAGAATTAAATATATTTTAGACTGTAAAATCACTATTATTGAGACTTCCAATAGCATCATTCTTTCGAACACATGCATAGCGATACATTTAATGAGAATTTTCCCCACTTCCTATTCATGTAGTTAGAGCTGGTGTAGATATCAGATCATAAGAATTTGTGTGTGTGCATTGTAGACATTTAGTACTATAATACTATCGTACTAAATGTCTACAATGCATCGGTGTCTTAGTGCTTTGAAATAAATTTTAAAAAAATAAATGACAAATTTCCATCATTAAAGATATAAAAGAAAGTACTCTTAACAAAAATTGATGTTTGAAAGAAAGAATCCCTTATTTTAGGGATAAGAGTTCTTATCTCTCTCTCAAGTTGATAAAATTTTTGGAGGTGTATACCAGAAAACTATATAAAGAACAAAACATAGATAACTTGCAATAAAATATTCAAGAAAAAAAACTTTGCATAGATATTTCAGAAATTTTATGAAAAAAACATAAGTTTTTTTCAAGTAATTCATATTTTATAATGGCTACATATAAAATTATTATTATTAAAAAGTAATTAATTTACAGAAATCTGAACAACTACATTCAAAATTTTGAGAAAATGCAGATAAGATTAAATTTTGATAAAACTCATGCAAACAGAAAAAATAAAACTCATGCAAACAGAAAATTTTTACAACCAACTCAATATTTTTTAACCCTCAAAAGTAAGAAATTAGCAATTTAAACCATAAAAACCAAAAACTTTAACAAAAAAAATTTTTTTTGCACTTCATTTAAAATGTTTTGCCTCAGAAGGAATATACAAAATTTCTACTTATCTCTCAATAAAAACATGGGTATATTTGTCATTTTTATTGAAGCAAAGTAATCAGATTGAAATTCAGAAAAAGACGGTTCAAAAACAATTCAAAAAAATTTCTTATAGCTTAATGCAAAATAAAGTAAAAGACTTTCTAAGAGAATTAAGTAAAACACTACCGGTTATAGAACCCAGTTACAATACCTTTATATAATTTAGTTTCGTGTCTTAATAACTGCACAATCATGCCTTATAAAGTTATTTTTAAATATGTTAGATATGTATTGAATAAATAAGTAGCATTTAATGTACAAATATTTAAAATATAAATTTTGAAAATTTATAAAATTTTCAAATTTATCTTCCTACCAAAGGATCTTCTAAGTACATAAGTTTTCGATCATCCAGCGTAAACCACCTCCACTTGTAAGCATCACTTGCTCTAGGTCCAGTCTTAAACATCCAGCCTTCTTTTAAAAAGTCTCTTGTTAAATATTGGGACAGTTCTATCTCACTGGTACCAGGATATGCAATAAGCAATTTATTTAACTTCACAGAACGAATAGCCATGAACCAGTCAACAATAGCCTGAAAATTTAATACAACTCAAATTACTCATGTAATCAAACAATAAAAAGTACTAAAACCTGGTAAAATAATGATAGAAAAACAATTATAGTAAAATTATTATAAAAAGATGAAGTAAAAAAAAGAGAAATATATTTATTCAATATTTTAAATTGATATGAAAAGAACAAAAGATTATTTCAAAATAGAAAGAATGGAAAGTACAACAGAGTTTATTCATTTTCAACAATACAGTTCTTCGAAACATAGTTCCTTTATAACAGGATAGCCAGTACTGTATTACAAGATTTTAAAATAAACTTATCTCTATAACTACTTTGAAAAATATCTTATCCCTAAACTAAATATGTATGCACTAACAAAACAACTCAAATAAATTAGAAATTGAACCAATGAGTATCAATAAAAAATAAAATATGAACAAAAAGTTAAAATTCTTAAAAAAATTATAATATTTTGATGCATTGGAATTAAACTCATAATAACCAAATCACTTTAGCATCAAAGCTTTTAAAGGCAACCTTTAAGTAAATTTAACAAAGCCAAAAAAAACTGCACAATTATTATTTCATGCAAACATAAAATGTGTTAAAAGTTATCGTAATAATACTTAGTTTCAACTTACCTAGTTTCAACAAACTTAATTTCTAATATTATTGGGATACAATTTACCTAATAATTTTATTTGGTTAACATTGTAAATTCGTTCCTAAACTTAGTTCTTAAATAACTAGTTAATTTTTGGTTACTATAAAAAACTTGTTGAATATTTTTCGTCAAAAAGATTATTTAGCAATTTTGCCAAAAAGTTAATTTTCAATATTCTTTCGAATTCAATAGTCATTTCATATTACATTCAGAGCATATGTTGACTGGACATAGTTTTACGCAGTTCATTATAAAAGTAAATATACTTCAGTAAAAATCGAATATAAGTTACTTTTTTTACTGTTTAATTCTTAAAAAAAGTCAACTTAATATATTTACCAATAAATATTCCTTAATAAAATATTATCAATTATAGTAGAGGAACTTATACTATCGGTTTGAAACCTTTAATATTAATTAAAATTATAAAAAACGTAATAGGAAAAATTACAAAAGAACAATAAATACATATTACTAGTACTTACTGTTAAATAAAGGATAAACAAATATTTCCTAAGTGAATAACATTAGAACTTTTATTAATTTTACATTGACAACATATTTTATTCTTTTTCTGTTTATTGAAAAAACATACATCATTCAACTTTTTTATCTCCAAATAAGAAACCATGAAACAGAAAGATGACAACCATTTTTAAGTGAAGTATAGAGATATAATTATAATTATCCTTTTTATTTCTAAAATATTCTTAATTTTTAAATTCAAATTGGGTTGGAGAGTTCAATCCTGATATCAATTCTTTAAACAATCTAGTATTGTTATGGCATTACAAGTTCAGTCCTTATTGTGGGCTGCTGTAAAATCAGCGTATCCTTATTTTAAGACAAAAATGAGCAGAAATGAAATATATATTAATTTATTGCGCAAAATTGCGACGAAGAGAATTTTATAGTGACGCCATTCTGGGATATACTCTTCGAAAGGTCATATAATGTTTTTCTTTTCTATTCCTCCTTTTAATTATNTTTCTATTTCCCCTTTTTTTTTTTTTTTTTTTTTTTTTTTTTTTTTTTTTTTTTTTTTGAGCTGAACAAAATTTTTAGCTTGACGATTGCTGAAAAGAATAAATTTAATAATAAAATGATTTATTTTTTTAAAAAATATCAAACAATTGGACTAAGGAGGCATGGAAAGCCCAACAAACCCCCAGTCTTCACATAAACTAATTCAAATTACAAGTCAATGCATACTTCCTAAGTGAAACTTAATAGCATGGGAAGAGATGATTGGCGAGTTATCAAAAAATAATACAGCCAAAAAAATAAAGTCATCCCTGATTTATTAACAGTGCATTTTAAATAACCTGACTGAAGACTTAAAGCCAAACGGATTGCTGGAAATTTAATTAAACCCAATGACATATATACTAATGTTAAAAGTGGTCAAAGAAAGAAAGGATAAAAATAAATTTTGATCATCACTTGTCGTAACACTGAATAATAATTAGTTATACACTTGTACTGAAATAAAAAGTTGCATTTATTGAGAATGGAAATACTTGTGTTTATTCTATATAAAATTGAATAAAAATAAACTAACTGATTTTGTTATTTAAAGAGGGATTAGGAAAGATTGATTAAATTTATGAAGTAAAGAAAATTTAAAAATTTGGAAATATATAATGCCTATAATGACATCACATTACACATAATTTATAGACACTTTTAAAGAAATCAAATACCATACAATGAACTTACAGATCCAGTTGTACTGTAAACAAATATGTTTCTAGTGGAACCATCTCGAACATATGTAAATTGTGCTCCATTAGGATTACCAATTTTCTTAGGACAAAATGTCATGTTCAGTTTAGAAACCTCGATGATGGCTTTTGGTTCTTTATGAGCCTAGAAAAGGAAAGAAAGGTGTAATAACCAATATAAGAAGCTCAAATGTTATAAAATATAACTTTTAAAATTTTTAATTACACAATATAAAATTAGATACTAATGCTGAAATGGCTTATAAAATTTTGATACAGGAATACAAAAATGCCAACGAGTAAACAAACTAGTGAAAATAATTGTGGCAACTCTTTATTATCCACTATAAAGATTTAGTGATTGTGAATCGACAGCTTAGATTGGAAAGATTTGTTTCATAAATAATTAAAAATTCTGATTAATAATTGAGTATAGAAAGATTAAATTTTCAAAAAATGATTTTAAAACTAGAGGTCAACAGCTTATTCACTTTAGTTGTTGACCTCAAATTGAGTTAAATTTTTCAGAAATTAAACAAATTTTTTACGATACTTCGCTAGAGAAACACTGGTTAGCAAAAAAAGTTTATTACAGGTTTAAATATTAACTCAAGACCTGAATTAAATATACATGTTAAATAAGTCCTTTTTTCAATATGCACTTAACTACTACTTTATATTAAGCAGAAAGGGGTGTTATTTTTGTCCAACTACTGAGAAAGTCAAACTGCATGGATTTTTAAAAAAAAATGATTTACAGTATTCCAAAAGAATAAAAGATAAAGAAAAATAATAAAAAAATAGAATAAAAAAATAAGCTTTTTAGCGATAATGCCTCAGCCTCTGCCATTTTAACATAGACTATTAGGAAGCATTTATATCAAACCAGGACTGTTTTTCTGGGAACTATGCCTTCCTCTAACACTTTGTAACAAACTAATCTGAAGTAGAATTTTTGAGCATATAAAAAAACACAATAATTATCTTCACATAAATCTACTATACACAAAATACATATTTTATAAACATAAATATTTTTAACCAGATTATATTATCTCTAGAAAGACTGAACATCACTGTATACCTAGAAAGACTGAAAAGGCCAGTTTGGTCCTTCCAAAACTGTTTCAGTGTATATCAATAAGAAATACAAAATCTTATAAATTAGCTATGAATATCTTACAAATTAGCAACGAATTGATTTTTTTCTTAGTTTTTTATATTTATTTATGAAAAAGTTCATTATTCATTACTTATTGTCTAAAATAAAAGTTAAGCATCCCTTTGTGTTAAGTTCATGGACAGTAAGGCTCCACAATGTGGCAAATGCTGATTGTGGCAATGTGGTCAACATTGCGCACAGATTAGCCTTTACATCCCAGACAAACTGGTACCCATCCATCTGAAGCTGGGTGAGCTTCAAGCCGGAACTAGGGCTATAACCACGGTTCTTCACAATAGCTAATTGGCTACAATAATTAAGCATAAAGTTGTTAAATCAGTAATAAATTGGTGAAAAAAATATTGAGAAAATATTAGCTACAATTTTTTTTTTTGGAGCTATGAATTACATATTTATTAATTATTCATTCAAATTCGAAATTTCATTCAGCAAAATGGAAATTTTGCCCCATCAAAAGAATAAGTTAGCGGCGCCCTTGGACATGGGGTATCTACGAAAATACCTATGGGGCCAATTTGAACCCTCCAGTAATTCTACGTTTTATAAATATGTGTTTCTATAAGGTTAACACATGAATAATTAAATAAGCACTTAAATTTGATCAAATTATGAAAAGTCAGAAATACTAAACACTTATAGTAAATTATTTCATAAAAGAAAAAACAAGAGGGGCTGAATCGGTCTCCTCAGTCTTTCTCGTGTTAACAGATAATTTATCAAAAGTGAATTTAATAAGTTTAAAATGTATATTAATTTGAAATATTTAAATATGAAATATTTTCCTAAATTTTGAAACAAATTTAATTTATAACATTTTCAAAACATACTTATTAGAATGAGAACATCTGAGAAGATTAATTTTAAAAAGCAAAACTAGTATGTATTTAATTCGAAGAAACTCTTTAAAACAGAAATATTCATCAGTTCTAGTTCTTCAGTGTCATTTAAAATAACTTATAACAAAATAATATCAAATTGAAAACATTTTTCTTTAAAATACTTTCTTTAAACATATGGGGGAAGGATATTAAGGAAAATGTTAGGTTGAAAATATTTCATGTTAGTTGAATAACATTAATAGAATGGTAAAATTGGGAAAACTAATAGAAATTCCAATTTAGAACTAATAGATATCATCTACAGTTTTTTCTTAAAATTCAAATGTAATTTTAAAAAATACAATATTTCTTGCAAGAAAAGAACATTAAAAAAGAAATTTTTAATTAAAATCTCATTTTTTTTCATAATTCCCAGTAAGATTTATTAGTACTTTTGAATTATGACAAAATTCTCTCTATTCTAATAACATAGGATAAAATAAAAATTAAATTTAAAAAAAAGTATAAATATTGTGCTGTTTATGGTTGGGTATTGAAAAAATAAATATATATTAGAGAGATAAAAATAACTGAATTTTAGAAGAAATATGGCCAAATAATTTATCAAAACATATTATAGTTTGCAACAAGGCGAATGTGTTCCGACAAAAACCCTTGTAACAAAATGACAACAATACAATCTAAAAGAAAAACGATGAGAATTAAATCTTTAACATGATGATGACAACTGCAAAACAAACCAAAATAAAACAGTCTAGAGTTCAGATAAAATGAAATTCACTTTTATTTATCTGACATCAGGGCAGCAGCAGAAATCAACTCATGGTAAGTTCGGAATCNTTGGCGATCAACGTGAATAAATTCTTCACGTTCATACTTGGCTCTAATAAATTGTTCTTTCAAAACACTATAAAATAGAAACTTAATATTAAAAACAATTTAAAGTATAGATATTTGAAGATCTTATTTTATAGCTATAATTTCCAGCTGTAAGATAAATAAAATCTTAAATTAGGGAAATTAGCAACCACTTATTTCAAAGCTTTATTTAAGAAATATAACAGAAAATAATTTATCTAATAATATGTATTTAGGAACAACTATTTTTTTTCAATAAAATTATTTTTACATATTTACTTATTTATTTAACATTAAAAATTTTCTGGGGAATCATTACTATAAATCAATAACTTTACTTGAAGACTGTTTGAAATATCAGTGTTCTCTCTAAACATTTTTAGAAAAGCAACCCACCCTGCCTGCCCATTGATCCCTATAAATGTGCCCTTTTTGTAAAAATAAGCCGCCATCCTTTAAAAACACGGCCTTTTTATTTATATTCCATTTTTAAGAAAAAGTAATTAACTGCTAAAATATAAATTACACGCAAAAATTATCTGCGTTTATAGGTTTAATTCTAATTGCTTTGCTAGGATTATTTTCAACTACTAGTTTTTATAAGCTTCTCTTTTCACAAGGGGGTATATTGATAAATTTCTTAAGTGATTTTAAATTTTAAAATTATTTTTTAAATAAATACCTTTTTTTTTAAAAAATGTGCTTTTAAATGCTCCTTTTCTAATAATTTTAAGTATAAATTATAGAAAAAATCTTTTAAGCTGTTTGTCGAGAAATAATTTTTTAGTTTACTTTCTTTTTGAAAAACATTTATGCATAGAGATTGTCTCTCAGCATGCCTTTAACTATTATTTACAAATTACAAATCTTCTTTTATTTAGATAATGAGCAAAAAAATAAACTTTTGAAATATACACATAAAATTGTATAAGATGGTAACTTAATAATTGTTGAGAATCAAATTCAGTTAGTATGTGATATTACACATTTTGATGAATTTTTACGGTGAACTCAAAGTACCCTTTTCTGTGAGAAAGCACCCAGCCCTTTTTTATTTCTAGGGAGAACTCTGGAAATATATATGAATATTTGATGAGTTATTTTAAAGTTAATATATCAAAATAAAAAATACATTTTTATAACAACTTTCTGTAAGTGAATTCAACTTAGTGTGAAAATTTTTACATCAAGTTGAACTCAGTTATATTTTTAACATTTTCAAAATATATATATTATTTTTAAGAAATTTTATCCTTTATGTAACATTATAGTTCTATATTAAATAATTTTATGGAAACAAATTAAGGAATTCAAGGTTAAAAAAAATGTCATGTAACATGTTAACATAACCACAATATATGATTAAAAAAAATAACACTAATAATGAGAATGAGTGGTGTAAGTGTGTGACTCTGAATTTTCTAACCTCATAAATAAAAATATGGCTAAAAAGTTATTAACTGGTTAAAAAAATAATTTAGAAAATTTCCTTAAAATAATTTAGAAAATTTCTTTAAAATAATTTTGAAAATTTCTGTAAAGTTATCGGTTAAGAATAAGTCCTCACTCTTAATAAATGTTCATCTTTTTTTTCCAAAACAAAATTTAAATTTATAAAAAATTATTTTACTACAGATATAATTTCATGAGGTAAATTACAGGCTTGTTATAATCAGAGGTATTTAAAAACAGTTTAGATTATAAATGTGACTATAAATATGACATTTTATTATAAATGTTGTGTGTTACAAATATTAGAAATGTGACATTCATTCAGAAATTTAAATCTCTTTAAAACGTTATTTAAACTAATTCCATGAGTTTAATGACTTTCGTGCAGTATAAACTTTCAAAGGGAAACATTAATGAGATTTGCGAAAGAAATATATAATACATTATGAGTTTTGAAAGACTTAAAAGGAATGTTAGAAGTAAAGATGAGAAAATTTTAGAAAATTTAATTTTACACAACATCAAATGAACACTGAACAAAGATTTGCGAAAGTTATAAAAGTGTTTCTTCCTTGAATAATTTCATGATCTATCTCACAAAAACTACACTATATATAGAAACACAAAACTGTCATATGCATCATTAAAATGTGAAATCTCCCCCACTTTGAAATCAGATTATTTTCAGCTACTGTCAAATTTGGCGATTAAAAAAAAATCCTGAAAAACAACTGCAGATGCATAGCTAATCAGTTCCTGAAACAATGTTACATAATTACTGCGTCTACTATAAAAAAATATAATTTTTAGAATACTCGCAGTCGTAAAATAAAAAATAATAAAATATTAAACAGAAAACAATATTTTTATGATATATTTCTAATCAACACAATTCTTGATCTTTCGATTCATGAATTGTAGACCTCAGGGGTAAAAGTGATGACCAACATTTTTGTTTTTAGGCAAGAATAGAATTTCTTGTTACAGATATTGCAGAGACTCATGTAAATGAACAAGAATATTAGGTTACTGTCCTGACACAGAGACTTGAAGTACTAGAGAAGAATGAGAGCGTTTATTGGTTATAATTACTTATGATAGAGATGTGAAATTTTTGTAAGAAGGACATCTCTTTTTACCCCCTAGGTCTTCAATTGTATATTTCCCCTTACTTTTGAAGTATGCCAACAAAAATTTTATTATTTATAGTTATATATACAGGGCATCTGCAACATTTTAGATTTTCAAATTCGTGGCTTTTCATAACTTTCCATGATTAATTCTAAGAACTTTTCGTGACTTAACGAAGTTACTATTTTCTCCCGACAAAAACAGAACAATAAATTTGAAAGCATTATAATAACATTAATTGAAATGATAGGTACGACTTTTTAAGATTATTTCTAGATATTTTTCTATTTTTAGTTGGGTTTAACTATAAAAATCGGATTTTTGTAGCGATTCAGAAAACCGGAAAAATCAGTTATCCGGAATAGCGATGGTCCCGATCATTCCGGATAATCGGTTTCCTACTGTACTTTCCTTGTTAATCGGAAAGGAAAGAAATACTCCGGATTTTTCTGTTCTAATTTCGGAATAAAAAAATTCGCCAATGACTGGCTTGCTACAGTTAGAATTTTAAATTGATAAAATAAAAAAAAAATAAGCAAAAATTCTGAAATCACTGAAGTTTAAAAGATAATTCATTCTAGAAATGATGTTCTTTCTTTCATTTCTTGAAAAAACATGACAAAAACATTTTATATTTTAATAAAATATGACTGTGAGTGGGGATTTTGTTAGAAATTCTGATATTTGGAACACCATGAAATTGATAGGGTGATTCCATTTTAAAAATTAGACCAATTTGGCGACCTAAATCCATGACTTTCTTTTTAAAAAAAAGTTCAAATAATCAGGACAGTTCATGACTAATTTTGTTCAATACCGAGATTCATGACTTTCCATGATTTTTCATGACTTTACAGGTGCGCGGATACCTATAAATACAAAAACGCATTTATAAATAAATAAATAAATATATTTTTATAAATCCTATGTCACTTATGCCAATACACTAAATTTATGAGTATCTCAAATTATAAACATGAAGACTGAACTTGATTATAGAAAAACTTCATTGGTTTCAAAAATTATTAAAAGGTGGAAAAGATTGATCTATCATTCAAAATGTATTTGAACTTAAAATATACATGATTACAATAGTAGAATATACAAATCAACATTTTTTGTTAAATACACAAAGTAAACATTTTATGACATTTAATAATACATGTACAGCACGAAAATATTCTCATAGTAATATTTTTACTACATTTCTATTTCAAATATTATAGCGAAACATTGATGCAATTTCTCAAGATTGAATCAATTAATAATAAACACAAAAAAAAAAAGATACTCACTCAGGATCTGTATCACAAGGTCGTCTGTAACATACCGGAATAAAAACTTCATATTTTGCTTTTGCTTTGATATTTCCTACTTCCTCCATCATGCTCACTTGATCTGCATCCCAATTGTCTAAAACAACAGATTTAATTTTGCTAATGTGAGAGCCTAGGTTCCTGTGAAATCCAGCACAAGAGGTGCAGATAAATACTCCAATATTGAAGGATCCCCATTCTGGATCTGAAATTATTTATTTTTTTTAAATCAGTACATATATCATTACTCATATTGATTTAAACATTCATGGAACTAAAGAAGAAGGATATTATGAACCTATTTATTCCATTTAATACAGAAAAGATATCATATTTATAAAATATTACTATTTATCAGAAACGTAGTTGTTAAAAATAATAATTTTTAAAAAAACTTTAAAAACTACACGGAAATTGCACATAGGTTTTTTATGTACAAATTGCATGAATAGAAACTATTTAATACAATGTATCTGTGACACACTTTTGATGCAACATTGACACAGTCTATGTCAGCGATGGCCATTAGCGTAAAAAGCCTTGAATTTACCACTCCACTTCAATTTGCCGATCCCTTTTTGAAATAAAATAAAATTTACAATTAAAAATGAACTAAGTTTGACATTACTAAAAGTTGGAAAAAAATAATAATAAACCAGAAATTTAGTTTCCTTTTTCTTTCTCTTTTAAGAAAATAAGGGGATGATTCCAAATCGTGACCTTGTATGCCAAGATGCCAAATAGATTTTAAACTTGCAAAAAAAAAAAAAATTTTAAAAATCATGAAGATGTTTGCTTGGGGTAGGCTAAGAGTTATACCTTTTGAGTTGGTCCCTTACTGTGATGGTTTTCTTTAGTTTCTCGCCGACTGCTATCCAGAAGTTGCAATGACTTGGCGATTATTCTGCCACAGATCACGATATGGAAATCTCCCCAATAACAAATTTAGACTTTTTAAATAAATGCATTGTTGAATTACATCATGGAACAAATTTAATTTTAATAAATTAATTCATAATAAACAAAAAAAGCATTTTAATGACAAAAAAAATTTTTTTTAAAACCAACTTTTTTTAAAAAATAGAAATAATTTTATAAGCACAAATGACACAACATTGCATTTTTTTAATATTAAATTTAGATTCTTTTTAATGAATTCATAGTTGAGTTTAAAACACAATTAGAATATAATAAAATAATTATGGAAATTAATTTATGATGATAAAGAAAATTTATTTTAATGACAGAAAACTAATTTTTAAAGCCTTTTTTAAAATAATGTAAAAATAATTTTATAATTGCAAATAATAAAGGATTAAAACTTACACAAATGACACTTTCCTTTCATTTGCACCAATTCTTCAATATTTAGGGATAATTTGCAAGAATGTATCTAAGGGGTGAGGACCCCCAAAATATTTCAAGCTCAAAAATTTTATTATACAATATGTATATACATACGTATTGGTTAGAAATTTTTCTAAAAAAATATTTGGACCCACCAAATATTGTCTCCAAGTTATGTGCCGGTAAAATGGAAATCGAAGGCCATTAAAAGTTTTCAAGGTGTTTATCAATTCGTTACAAACAATATTTACTTTTAACAAAGTTCATTACAAATCATCAAAAGGAAAATAATACATATTTCTAAGTTGTAAAAAAGGTAAAACTAAAATAAAATGAGGAAAACAGTCTAGAAAATGTTTAATTGTTTTTTCAATTTGGTATACTGCTTTCATACAAAGAAGAAAAAAAAAATTTACGTTGTTAACAAAAATGTTTTAAATAAACTGGAAAATCAAGGTTATCAGCAGGACGTGCAAGGAGGTTCACTTGCACCCCCCTGGCTTTTTTAAAAAAAAAACAATTAAAGAGATACAGAAAAAAAATTTTGCTATAAAAATTTTTTATTAAAAATATTTTTATTCAAAAACAAATAATTAAGTAATTATTGATACACAACAATTAAAAAATTGTTTAATCAAACAAGAATTGTAATCGTCTTGTTTGCTGTCTAAATTTGTTTATAACTTTTTCAATGAATTCTGAGTCTTATGCACACTGAGCATGTACAAAGTACTTAACCTCTCGCGAGACATTTTAGACCGAATCCATGTTTTGATATGTCGCAATGCACTAAAAGTGTGTTTAATAGTGCATGTAGTAGCTGGAAGAGTTAGGCCAATTTTGATTGCCTCCGCTGCAGCTGAATACAACGGTGTGGCCTCAATAACTAAATCGATGCATTTGAGGGATTCATAAGAATTTTCTCTATTCCTCCACATTCCGTACCATGTTGTTGCTTCAGTGATGAAATTTGGTGAGAGCAGATCTTTACTACATAATATATATATCTTCTAAAACTTTAAGATATGATGCTTTGTCCAGTTTGTTCATCGCATTCGGGTGAAGCTGTAAGAGTGAAAATGCTATTCTTTGTGTAGAAGAAAAACGGTCTTTTAACAAAGATATAATCGAGTCCAAATAAGGAATAAAGATTGACCTCCTGATATTATATTTTCTATTAGTTATTTAGTTTAACTAATAGAATAATTTAGTTAGTTTAGTATAACACAAACTGAGATCTCACAACTGTAAAACTTTATCAACACAATAAATACCAATGTTAGGCATGCACAAACACGTTAGTATACGAAACTACTGTTTGTAGTTATTTCTGTTTCAAAGTCAGTAGCTAGGCCAGCGCCATCAATACAGTTTCTCGTGGCAAAATTTGCAAGCACAAGAAATTCATACTTTTTTTTTTAATGTCTTGTTAACACTGAAGAAATGTATCTTGAAAAAAATTAACAGATGAAAGTATATGTAATTACAAAACAAAATGTAATAACAGAATATTTTAAATTTTTTCTTTGGGAAGGGGTTAGAGGGTTGCACCCCCTTTTATGTTATTCTGCAGGCGCCCTTGTGAAAAATAAAATATAAAATACAGAAAAGGACCTAATTTTATGTTTCTAATTGTTGTGTAACAAGTGTAATATGTTATGTTAATGTTTTATTTGTGTAATGTTGTGTTAACATAATGTATTGTTTAATAATATATAACATATAAACTTTTGATTTTAACTTGATCTATAATTACATTTTTTAACTAATTTTAAAAATTATTAGAACATAGAGTTGGTAGTGTTCAGTTATATTTTAAAAAAGTTTTTACACAATATTACTTAACTTAAAATTTACTCACATTTATTTACTTTATAAATATATTTTTGTAGAAGAGCAATAATAAAACAAACATTTAAAAATTATGTTATACATATATTGCAGGCAAAAATTCCATTTTTTTATTCTATTGCATTTGAATTAAAAATATTTAGAAAAATAATACAGAAATTAAGTGACTTAATAGATTTTTTCTTTGAAAAAAACCGGTTCGTATAAACCATGGTTTAAATCACATTAATTTAAACCAGTTAACAAACTTGAAATAAACCACAAATTTACCAGGAAATTAAACTAAATAGCTTAGATAATTATTCCAATAATTGCAATGCTTTCCACAGAACAATGAAGAAACAAAACAATCACAAATAAGAAAAAATATTTTGAAGAAAACGATATTGCACCAAATGTGAATAAAAGTTTTTAAACTTTGAAAAAAAAATCGTCGAAACATTTTGAACAACAAAGTTCTTTTGAATAAAGACAAGAGGTTGATTTAAGTGGTAGGTTTAAGTGCTCATGACTCATTACAAGAGCTGACCGCACCTAATATCGAATTTACATAATTTATTTTATTTTCTATTATTTTTAATTTTTAACAATTTAAATTTTATACATGCAAGAAAATTGAGCTATCATAACAAAAGTACCAGATTCCTTACGAGAATTTAAAAAAAATTTATACCATATTAAGAATACCTTAAATTTTAAATAATTTTTTTTTTATAATTTGTTTACATTTAAAAATAATTTTAAAAAAATCAACATCAGAATTTAAATCATATCAAATAGTTGAGAATCGTAAACATTTGTCCTTTTAAAAGCGATTTATACTAACTTATTTAAAAAGCAACTACAACATATCTCATTTTTCATAGTTCACAATTGTAAACAAAAGATAGTTTATGGTGGCCGTATACAATAGAACGATTGTTATGAAGTATGAAAATATTTTACTTACTTTTTTTTCCACATTCTGCACAAGTATTATTCCCTGGCCTTTTCAACAACTCCTGTAGTTTTTTACGCCTTGCTTCAGCCATACTTTTCGATTGAAATTTCAATGAGTATTTGCTTTGATTTCTAAAAACATTATGAGTCATATGGGGTTTGACATCTCTCTCTGCTGGGAGGAAGCCATTTTTGAACTTCCTTAACTTCTGACCAATAGATGGCAGCACACTCGATTTACTCTCTGCTTCTGACAATCCCGTCAGTTCATCTGCATCTTCCTTGGAATCGTCTGATCTCTTTTTCCAGCAATCAAGTATGCAACTTGCGTTGTTTACTAAAACAAACATCGATGCAGGAGATGATGGGTTATTAAAAAAGAGTGAAAAGATGAGAATGAGATAATAATCACTCTCAATTACTTCTCTGATTACGTCCTTGGCCTTCGAAAACGAAAGATGGAAGGAAGAGGAAATTCCACGTCCGGCTTAGGATGTCATATTTGTGGTCTAGTGTTAGCTCGCGGAGGAAGTGTTCGAGTTCCGAGAAAAAATGTGCGATCTATTGCGGGTCTACCTTTAATAGCTTGGGTTTTGCATCCTATGCTAGACTGTAAAAGTAAATTCCTTTGCAATTTAAATAATTTTCCCGTTACCTTTTAGGGTTGCAATTAAAAATATCATTACTATCGGAAAGAATTTCGTAGTTACCTTTTACGGCTTTAACTACGAAAATTGCTGTGGCATTTAGGGAAATTACGGAATTGAATTTTATGTTTAAAATTAAAAATATTAATATTATTAAAAGGAATTCCATATTTAATTTTTTGGGCTTTAAAAAATAGATGTCATTATTATTTAAAGAAATTACGCAAATGGATTTTAGATTTGCAATAAAAAATATCAATATTCAAAGAAATGATTTATCTCTATTTTATAAATTAATATACGTTTTTTAAAAACTACTAATAGCTTACAGAGATAATTATAATATGTTTCGTGATGAAGTGGTTAAATATAGAAAGTAACAAAAATGCAATAGTCCTAACAAATTTAATGATACACACAAAAATGAATACAAATTTAAAAAAGAAACTGCCAAATATCTTCGAACATGATCTAAATTTTAAGCACAAATATTAACATAATTTACGGAGATATCTTTTACTATTAATTAACCTACACAAATTTTATTAAAATCATATTTCTTAATATGAAAAACTTTTATTATAATTTTTTATTTAATTATAAATTTTCTAAAGAGTGAAAGAGTTCTTTTGAGGGCATAATTGATTGGCTCAGTAATTACTTTCTTACACTTTTCTAGAATCAACAAAATAAAATGGAAATTAAAGTTTTTTTGTATGGTATTAACACTATGGGTATAAAGTTGAATTGCTCTAAAACGCTTTATTATATGAATAGTAAAATACTGTTAGCTGTAATTTTTAAAAAATTAATGCTATTTTAATGCTCCTGTGAATATATGATGCCATATGCTATTTATATTCATACTCCATTGTTATCAGAAAGATTGATTTATTTCAATTTTACTTTCTTACAAATAAATGTAGAATGTAAAAATATTTAAATGTACATTTTAAAAAAAGGAGAACTTGTCTTATTAGTTTAATCCATTTATCTGCATCAAAGTTATGAAAGGACTTTAATCACAGTTGTATATTAATTTATTTTAATGTTTTGCTATTAAAAATATCTTTCAACAATTATTATAGTATTAAATTCTAATTATATAGTTTTTACTAAGATGATTTTTTTCATGCAAAAGATTTTGAGGTAAACAGCTTACTCAGTGCTTAAAAATTATGGCCTTGTACAGAAAAATATATGATGTAATTCTTTTTTTATTATAAGACTTATGTACAGATGATTAAACTATTTCGAAGAAAATACATTTTATTAGTATTTTTTTTAAATAGACTGTTTTCATTAAATTAATGAAGTATGACTTTTAATATTAACAAACAACTAATAACTATAAATACGACTTCTAACTAACTACTATTATTACTAAGTATTATAAATCTTTAATAGCTGTGTAACAAGTATCTCGAAAGCAACGTAAGTATCATAACTGTTATTAACATGTAATGTAAATATTATTATTTTTATTTATTTATTTTTCTAAAACAAGGATTGAAAAACTATAAATATTGCTAAGATCAGAGTAAGACTTGCACCTTGATGCGTTAACATGTAATATAAATATTATTATTTGTATTAAATTACTGGTTAATCGAAACAAAAGGTGTCAGATCATTTGAGTAATTGTAAGCACTTATACAATTAGTATTTTTATCCAATCAAGAGTCAAATATGTAATGCAAGAAATTTAAATCTTCGCAAATTAGACGTTAAAATTATGACAGAAGATTTATCAACGTAAAAAAAATGAGAGAAAAATAGATTTAGGAAATACGCCGATAACAAAAAGTTTTATTAATGTGCTTTGTATTTTATTTTCAAAACAAAACCTTTTATAAGATGTTATGGCTTTCATTTTTCAACTTCGATTGAATTGTTAAACAGAAAATTGTTATAAAGCTCTCAGAATAGTGGCAGAGTTCAACCAACATCGGATTTCGAGGTATTGTGTAAGAAAAAAACTTCACGACGCTTTTTTCCCAGAGGTAATTCATTTTTTAGAAATATTCGAGCTTATGTTGCTTTTGTGTCGTCTAAATAGTTGATAGAGAGTCACTTGGCTAAATAAGCGATTCTGAAATCATTATCGGAAAAAAATCTGTAAATAAGAATCTGAAATGGATCTGAAGAATTTTTCTTCAATATGACAACATGAGAATAAACATGGAATTTTATCACTTGGCGAAGCATTGGAGGATGTGTTGGTACACCCATCATACTCACCTGACCTGCCTTTCGTTGCTGACTTTTACTTATTTTGAGTTCTTAAAAATTCCTTGTGTTATATGACATTCAAATAAAACGAGGTTGTAAATCGGCGCTATTTCTCACTGATTTTGAAAAGTCCTTCTATGAATAAGAAATTTTGCCCCTCTCTGAAAAAAGACAAATGGTTATCGAGTAAAATGTGTAATATATCACTGATTGATTGATTGTTATTTGTGCTTTATATGATTAAACACACTTTTCTAAAATATGAAAAATTTACGGTATATTTTCTAACATAATGTGCAGCTGACACGAAAATGTGAATTAATTTATACCATCAATGCAAGTATTGCGGAAAAGAGTTACACTCTACCTTAATTGATCATCTCAATTTAACATTAGTATCTATTTGCTAATTTTCAAAAACAAAATATAGTATTTTTAGCACACATCAATCAAAATCTCTTTTCGTACTTTTAAGAATTTAAGCACAAAACATTGTTAATATCAGTCCATAGAAAATGGTATTTCTAAGGAAATTTTAGACTTGAAATTGTCATTATAACACTTTCTTCATATGTAATTCTTAGCACCTTAGTATGACTCAACTATGTGTTCACTTAGTTGAATAATAATTATTTAACTATATATTCACTTTGTTGTATAATTACTATAATTCCAATATATGTTCCCTTTGTTGAATATCAATTATACAAATATATGTTTCCCTTGTGGAATAATTACAATAATTTAAATAAATGTTCACTTTGTTGTTAAATAATTATTCAATTATATGTTCATTTTGTTGAATAATGACTATAATTCAACTATATGTTCACTTTGCTGAATAATAATTATTCAACCATGTGTTCACTTTGTTGAGTAATACTTATTAAGCTATATGTTTACTTTGTTGAATAATTACAATAATTTAACTGCATGTTCACTTTGTCGAATAATAATTGTTCAACTATATGTTACTTTTGTTGAATAATTTTAATAATTTAACTATATGTTCCCCTTTTGAATAATTATAATAATTTAACTATATTTTTCCTTTGTTAAATAATAATAATTCAACCATTGAATAATAATAATTTATTAATGTTCACTTTGTTGAATAATTACCATCATTCATATGTACCTACTTTGTTGAATAATTTCCATAAATAAACTATGTGTTAACTTGGTTGAATAATGGGATACTGCGATTATTTTCAGAGCTGACATCCGTCTGGGTTTCAACAGATGATACAGAGATTGCTGAAGTTGCTCTTAAATATGGTGCTCAAGTTCATTACAGAGACAAAAAGACTGCCAATGATTCTAGTTCGTCATTAACGGGTGTTCAGGATTTCGTCGCCAAACATCCAGGTCAGCATAATCTTAAGAATTTTTATCTATCAATACGCTTTAATTGTTCCCCAATAAAAAGTTGCTAAATATTTAGCCTAGATCAAAACATGATTCACAAAGCTGCAAATAAAATAGTTTGAAACGGGTCTCGACCCGCTTGAAACATATCATAACAAAGCTCACTCCATAAAATAATTACTTTTAAATGTTTCTCATCAACAAAAAAATAATACAATTACTTATTTCTATGTGGACGACTGGATATTCTCCATCCTTATATATGTATATATATATATATACCCTCCCTCGCTCTCACCGTAATGTTTACAGTAATATTTATTTAAACGGTATATTAGATTATTTTGTTTCCTAACATGTTCCCTAAAAATGGAATTTATGGCAAAAACTACTTAAGTACTTTTCATAAGTACTTTTTCCGTAATTAGATTCGGAATTTTTATAGATGTAACATCTTATAGAACTATGCAGATCAGAAATTCAGTGGTATTGTTTAATACTCAAAGATGTTTTCTTAATGATCATTATTTACAAAGAAACTGTAATTATAACCATTACAAAGAAACTTTAATGTATTTAAGATTCCTTTTCTTTCCTTCAGAAATATCTGTGGTAGCACTAGTACAGTGTACTTCTCCATGCCTTTTACCAATGTACCTGGATAAAGCCTGTGAAATGGTGCTCGAACAGAACTATGATTCTGTATTTTCAGTTGTTAGACAACGAAAACTTCGTTGGAAAGAAATTGCAGCTGGTGAGTAAGTCATTTATTTAGAAAAATAAAAAAATATATATTTCTCCTAAAAGCACGGTTTGTCTTTTCTTAGTTTCAAAATTTATTTTAAATAAATTGCTGCGTTAGTCCTAGAATTTATTATTGCTGCATTAATTAATTTTAGCTAAGGAAATTACTTTCTTTCTTGGTATGTGTTGAATTCTAACACATCTGAAATTACATTTTTTAAAATCTTTTGATTTTTGAGATTGAAAGTACAGATTAAAGTAAACATTTAAGTATTTTTTTCTCATAATATGTTTACAGTATCTTTGACATTGTCATATTTTCTATAAAGAAATTTTGAGAGAAAAAATTTCATTGAGTGCATAGATTTTTTATAAAAAATTCTTTAGCGTAACTTATCTATTTTCATATGGGATTAAAAATGAATATTTTGATATAAAAACATATAGATTAAATATTTATTTATTTTTTGATGAATGACTGCATTTATAAACACAATCTGTGACATTTATTTTGTCGTTTTAAAAATCAAGAGGAAACAAAAGAAATCACAATTTTAAATTAAAATTTTGGTTTGGTAATTGAAATTTTGTTTCAATAGTTAATCTTTCAATTCCCTATTTCATATATTCTTTAGTTTTCAATCATGCAATTGTTTCAAAATGGTTGCTATACATTCAAAGCTATGTATTATAATGAAAAATTGTTTTAGGTAGTTAGAACTTCTAAATGATTGTTGTAATATAGTTTTAATATTAATTTAAGTTTGATTAAACATTTATAAAGTTTTTTTAGTCATAAATCAAAGTTCTTACAGTGTGTTTGAATAAAAATCAAAAAATCCGATTTAAATATAAAAAAAATCACGAACCCTGCCGAAAAGTTAGTGTACATGATAGTAGTACATGAACTCCATGAAAAAAGAAACATTCGAATTCAATATCAGGAGATTTCGAAAATTACGTGATTAATGATGCTAATCCTGCTTCATGACATGCATATTATGGTTCTTGTTTATCAAGTATAATAATATTTTCTGTGCAATTTATTTAAGTTGTACAGTATACGCTTTAATATTAATTATTATTTAAATATTTTTTTAAATAAAATAGAGTCCTCTGGATTTATTTTGGCGTGAAAAAAATGATGCGTACATTAAAATGAGAAAAACAACACTTTTTACTGAGCAAACGATTTTATACGAAATACATTTAAATTAATTTTCAAAATTTACAAGACTTACAAGCCAATGACAAGGAAAATATTCATTATACAAAATAATGCGTTTTGTGAGTATAAATTTTATAAATAAAATATTTCAGCGTGAGTAAAGTATTTATTCATTTATTATTTTTTGAGCAAACAATTCTATCGCTGACAACCATTTGGAATTGTTTTCTAATTTACGATCTTAAACTTTCTCTTTTTTTCTGTCTACGCAAAGTTTGAAATCTAGTCTTAAATTTACGAAACAAATATTGAATGGTTATATTTAAAATTAACAACTAACCTCAAATGACTTTCGTTTATTAATAGATTTTCATTATTCATTTATTATTATTGATGAATAATTTTTTATCATCAAGTAACTGAATCCTTAAGCTCTAAGTAAATACATAATCTTTTGCATAAAAATACATTATCATCATTATTATTATTGTCATTATTATTATTATCATCGGTATTTCAAAGATAAAATCATTTTATAAACATTTATTCGCTAAAAACCGACTTTGAACTATATTTTAAGCATCAGTCAGAAAAAAAATATAAATGTTCAAAGAAGCGCAGAAAAAAAGTCAATTTGTGGTTTAGTTGCTTTGTTATAAATTTGTTTTTGTATTTAATGACACATTTGAGGTACCCAAAATGACAATTTAAATACCTGTATAACTAGTCATTTTGATAAACTATAATATGAATCGACATATATTTTTAAGATTCTTGGTAATAATAATTCTATTTTAAATTTTTGATTTCTGCAGATATTTTTTTGATATATTACAGAAAATATTTTAAATTGTTAACGTGTTAGGAATTATGTTTCCCCCGCTTTTTTTTTTTCTTCTTCCTTTGTAGCATAACATGCGCATTTTTGATGCATCCTTCTTTCTGCTTTTAATCATGATTCAAAGGATGCAAAAGCTTCTCGAGACATTTGCGCTGCGTATAAAAAAGGAGCCATAGCTGAAAGAACCGTTCGCAATTGGTATGTCTAATTCAACCCTTTGCGGTCGTATGTCTACTCTCAGCCACCAGCAAAGATGTTAGCCACAGCTTACAGGAAAACTACATGTAGATGTAAAGAGTAAAGATTGTTCTGTATGTTCAAACAGAAAAATTAAAAGAGGGAGACGCCCAACTAATTATTTTTGTGACACATGTTCTCGAAAACCAGGGCTTCATATTGAAGACTGCTTTGAAAGATATCACACGATGGAGAACTATAAAATATAATTTATACTCAAAATTAAAACATATTATTGAGTCACATATATCTAAAGTTTACAAAAAGAATTAATAAATTTTATTTTTCCTTCATAATCTTGTATATTATGTATTACTGTTTGTTCAACGGGAAGTAATTCCGACCAGCATGACACCCATGTATAAACTTAATACGACAGTAAAGGGCTAAGAAAATTAATAAAAAAATAAAGTTAGAAAAACAACAATTTTTTATAATTATATTTTAAAAATGAAGCATGGTTTTGGAATCTTTTTACAATTTTCTATTTTTAGTGTTTGCTTTTTCTCAAAGTAAGGCATATCGAGCATTTTCCGGACAAATATAAAAATGTTTTTTTTTTTTTTAAAGGAGAGTTTTTAACTTTAAGCAAGTTTTATCAACATTAACCTTTTTAAGAGGATACTTTCTTAAAGTTTGTGGGCAAGAATAAGTTTGGACATCAAAGTAAAATTGTACGTACATAATGTTCATTCATTTAAAAAACAAAGCAATCTGTTACATATGCATTTACTTTTCATTTCTCAAAAAAACAATAATTTATTTTCATTTTTTGAAAAATTATTAGGAAGATCAGAGAGTAATGTCGTTTTGGTGCATTAAATATTCGTTAGTCTTAAGACTAACGAATGGAATTTAAAAACCAATTTATTTTTTTTCTTCATCCATTTCGATTCATTTTCGTTCCGGCATTGAAATTGTTGTTGCTAACGAGGGTGAATACATCATTGATTCAAAACAAAATCTTGATAACAAATATCAAATGCACCGAAACGACATTACCTTCTGATGTCCCTAATAGTATGCTCAGTAAATAGTCAGTAGTAAATAGTCAGTGTTTAGTATAGAATTTTTGATCAGCAGAATATTTTTAATTTCTTAACAAGATTTAATTCTTAGATAACTGACAATAAGTTTTCTTTTNTTTTATATTTTCTTTTCTTAGTTTTAAAATTTATTTTAAATAAATTGCTGCATTAATTTTAAAATTTATTATTGCTGCATTAATTAATTTTAGCTAATGAAATTACTTTCTTTCTTGGTATGTGTTGAATTCTAACACATTTGAAATTACATTTTTTTAAATCCTTTGATTTTTGAGATTGAAAGTACAGATTAAAGTAAACATTTAAGTATTTTTTTCTCATATGTTTACAGTATGTTTGACATTATCAGATTTTCTATAAAGAAATTTTGAGAAAAAAAAATTTCATTGAGTGCGCAGACTTTTTATAAAAAAATTTTTTAACTTAACTTATTAATTTTTATATGGGATTAAAAATGAATATTTTAATATAAAAATATATAGATTAAATATTTATTTATTTTTTGATGAATGACTGCATTTATAAACACAATCTGTAACATTTATTTTGTCATTTTGAAAATCAAGAGGGGAAAAAAAAAGAAATCACAATTTTAAATTAAAATTATGGTTTAGTAATTGAAATTTTGTTTTAATAGTTAAAATATTCTTTACATTTTCTATTTCATCTATTCTTTAAATTTCAATCATGCATTTGTTTCAAAATGGTTGCTATGAATTCAAAGCCATGTATTATAATGAAAAATTGTTTTAGGTAGTCAGAGCTTTTGAAATATTGTTATAATATAGTTTTAATATTAATTTAATTTTGATTAAATATCTATAAAGTTTTTTTAGTTATAAAGAAAAGAAACTTTTAAAGTAAGAAACTTTTTTTTAGTTATAAATCAAAGTTCTTACAGTGTATTTGAATTTTTAAAAAAATCCGATTTGAATAAAAAAAATCTGATTTTTTTTTACTTTTTTTAAAAGATCAAAAAAATTACGAACCTTGCCTAAAAGTCAGTGTACATGATAGTAGTACATAAACTTCATGAAAAAAGAAACATTCAAATTCAATATCAGGAGATTTTGAAAATTGCGTGATTAATTGTGCTAATCCTGCTTCATGACATGCATGTTATAGTTCTTGTTTATCAAGTATAATAATATTTTCTCTGCAATTTATTACAGTATAAGCTTTAATAATAATTATTATTTAAATAGAATAGAGTCTTCTCTATTTATTTTGTCCGAAAAAAGAAACATTTCTATGGGAGACAACTTTTTAAAATTGTTTTCTAATTTACGATCTTAAACTTTGACTTTTTTTCTGGCTACTCAAAGTTTGAAATCTAGTCTTAAATTTATGAAACAAATATTGAATGGTTATATCTAAAAATAATAACTAACGTCAATAAATGTAATTAAATGACTTCCGTTTATTGATAGAATTTTAGATTTTCAGTATTCATTCATTATTATTGATCAATAAATTCTTATCATCAAATAACTGAATCCTTAAACTCTAAGTAAATACATTATCTTTTGCATAAAAATACATCATTATTATTATTATTGGTATTTCAAAGATAAAATCATTTTATAAACATTTATTTGCTAAAAGCCTACTTTAACAATATTTTAAGCATCAGTCAGAAAAAATATATAAATGTTCAAAGAAAAGCAGAAAAAAGTCAATTTGTGGTTTAATTGCTTTGTTATAAATTTGCTTTCGTATTTGATGACACATTTGAGATACCAAAAATTACAATTTAAATGCCTGTGTAACTGGTAATTTTGGTAAACTATAATATGAATTTGCGTATTTTTTAAATTTCTTGGTAATAATAATTCTATTTTAAATTTTTGATTTCTGTAGATATTTTTTTGATATATTACAGAATTTTTTTTAAATTGTTAAAGTGTTAGGAACTATGTTTCTCCTGTTTTTTTTTTTTTTTTNTTTTTTTTTTTTTTTTTTTTTTTTTTTTTTTTTTTTTTTTTTTTTTTTTGTAGCATGAGCATTTTTGATGCCTCCTTTCTTTTTGCTTTTAATCAAGATTCAAAGGATGCAAAAGCTTCTCAAGACATTTGCGCTGTGTATAAAAAAGGAGCCATAGCTGAAAGAACCGTTCGCAATTGGTATGCCAAGTTTAACCCTTTGCGGTCGTATGTCTACTCTCAGCCGCCACAGCTTACTGGCAAACTACATGTAGGTGTAAAGAGTAAAGATTGTTCTGTATGTTCAAACAGAAAAATTAAAAGCGGGAGACACCAAACTAATTATTTTTGTGATACATGTTCTCGAAAACCAGGGCTTCGTATTGGAGACTGCTTTGAAAGATACCACACGATGGAGAACTATAAAATATAATTTTTACATCAAATTAAAACATGTTATTGTGTTAGATACACCTAAAGTTTTACTTAAAAAAATAATAATAAATAAATTTAAAAAAATTCTTTATAATTTTGCACAATATGTATAACTCTTCGTTCAACGAAAATTAATTCCGACCAGCATGACACTTATATATAAACTTAATACGACCGCAAAGGGTTAAAAATGGAAATTTTGGCCTCACAAAAGCACCTCGATCTGGATGTCCTGTTGAGCTCGATGATGAGCGATTAAACTAACTTTTGCACCAAAATTTGCTCCAAACGTTGAGGAACTAGCAGATAAAATATAATGCTCTCACGCTGGATGCTGGATATCGGGGTTATCTCGGCGTTTGGCGCGAAGCGCCACTAACCGATTCATCGATTCTGTTTTGTCGTATTTTAGGAAGTCCTAAATATCTTTGAAGTTGTAGTATGTGCTCTCACGCTCGAAACTTTTAACAAATTAAAGAAAAAATATTTTTTTAAAAAGTGGTAGCTCAGTTTCCAACCCTATGTTTCAAAACATTGAGAAAAATTCCAATTTTAGCAATTTAGTATTTATTTTTGATAACTTTTTAACTAATGGAAAATAAACAGTTGTATAAAAATATGTAATAAATGTGTTGTTATTTAACTGAGTAAAGCTTCATTATATACATATGCTCTTAAATTCTAATTTAATTCGGTTTTTAGGTGAAAGTACAGAAGCTTTGAATTTCAACCCTAGGCATCGACCTAGAACACAAGATTGGAAAGGTGAACTTGTAGAAAGTGGCCATTTTTACGTGACTAGAACTTCTTTAATTAAGGAAAACCTGTTACAAGGGAAAAGGTATTGATGAATCGAATCATCGTTTTTTTTTCTAACAGCGTCATTTCTGAGCATTCATGTGTTTAAAAAAGTTTTTTTTTTACTTATTTTATAACTAAGAATAATTTTTTATTGGCAGTGAAAAAATAACAAAATTAAGTTGCTCTTTCGATTATTAGGATCCCCAGAAAAAAAGGAAACTTAAATAATCGAAAGTCATTTATTTTACAATAGAATAAATTACATTAGAATATGAACGAAGTTGTTTTAACATAATGTTATGAAGATCTTAATATAATAAATAAATAAATATGGTAAATAATTTTAAAAGAATAAGTTGAAATGAATTCAAAAAGTGTACACGTTATGGTAAGAAAAAAAAACCGAGAATGAAGACAACTCTACCGAAATCTAATGTATAGCAGATGAAGAAGGTGGGTCTGTAAACACCTAAACCAGTTTGTTTACCTGAGGAAACTTGGAGGATTTTTTTTTTAAAAATTTCAGCTCCTCACTTTTCCGTCCGGCAATTAGACAGGTTTTAGTGTTTTCAGTTCCGTTTTTCCTCAACGGATTAACTTTGATTGCATTTTTTTTCCCTTCCCTTAAATAATAATTTGCGAATATACATGAAAGTTAATCATTACAGGACATCCTCTGCATTTTTCAGTGGCTAATTATTTTTTATGGCAAGCTCGCTTTGTGAAACATATTCGAGATTTGATTGCAAATAAGGAAAAGGGAATTAATGACGCATTTTCTTTTGGAATGCTGTCATTTATCAAGATCTCTGTCATATAGAAGTTTTAAAAAATATTATCTCTTAATTTCTAACTCCGCTAAGCGATAAAAAAAGAGAAAATGAAAAGCAAAAAGAACAAAAGATAAATCTGATCAAGATACAAGATTCGGGGAACAATTGATTATGATTTACTGAAACAGTAGACAGTTATCACTTTGCAAGAACTCTTATCTTTTTATGGCGTCCGCTTTTTGAATTGAAACTTAATACCTCATACATTTATAAATCGCATTATTCTTTTCATTTTTTCAGCATTATTCTTTTCATTCTTTTTATCATAATATTAACGATTTGTTTGTTTGTTTTTTAATTGTTTAGAATTTTAATCTCTGAAAAACTAGCCACTTGTTTTAAACAATAACGTGTACTTTACTTTAAAAATGATATAATTGGCCGCCGACCTGTAGACAAAATTTCCAAATTTTATCGTGTAACACTAATAACAGGTGAGTTGTTTCTGGAGTTACTTCTACTAAGACCAAAGCTATAAGTGGAGAACAGAAGCTATATTCTCTTAAAGTAATATAATTTCTGGTAAAGCAAGAAGCTTTAAAGAAATTAATTTCTTATTTACGAAATGCATATGGATTTTAAGACACTAATGCACTTTATGGTAATATGTTCAAGTTTAATTTCATAATAATGTATGCGTTTTAGGCCTAAATATTTAGGGACGTGGGCGAAGAAAAAATTGATATACTTTCTTGTTCATTTATATATTATTATTTCTTTATTTACCTTTTTGAAATTCACAACTTCTTCAGATCAAAATTTCAATGTGTATCGTTTATTTTACGCATTGTACAACATGTCTATCTAATTATTTCATGGTAAAATGTACCGTGTTTCTGGCTCTATGAAAACACCAAAAAGCTTAATAATTTTTACCAAAGCTCTTTGGCAATGATTTTGCTATAATTAACAATAAAATATGGTTTTATAATCTATAATAAAATTTGGTGAATGAGGTCAAATTTGGTAATTTTATAATAAAAACTTAGAGCTCGGCACTAAAAAAAAAAAAAAAAAAAAAAAAAAAAAAAAGAACTGAAAAGTAAATTTAATCGAATCATTTTTTTTAATTATTCGATAAAATTTACTTTTCAGTTTTCTTCTTTTTCTTTTTTTGCTAAATATAAAACCAAAATTTCCAGATAATCCTTATTCTCATATAGACGGAAAAATTACCAAATTAATTACTTAAATATCTTATATTTTGGTTTTTAATAATACCAAAATTAGGGTTTTTGTTACCAGAAATGTCATTAACATACAGTACGGTAATTTAACCTGAATTTTTTCCCCATATAGTTCTAATTCCATTTTACTTTATTGGATAAGTGTAATGGAATATAGAGGCAGTGTTATATGTACATGGGATGTTTAAATTCCTTGTCAAAAAATTAAGTCAAAAAAGTATTCGCAAGCCACCACCGCAAATTAAGCGAGAAATGAACAAAACGCTATCGAAATCTATCTAACCACTAGTGAGGAAGACGAGATGAAAAATATCAAAACCACTTTAATTGCCTGATGAAACCTGAAGGCGTTTATAAAAATCCCCTTTAAACATCTCTCTGTTACCTCTGGCAAGCAATGAAACAGTATTTGATGCTTTCAGTTCCCCTTTCTTCAGTAGTGATTCGTTCGATTTCGATATCGTTAATGTCTTTTTCCTCGCTTATATTTTTATTAACACCGATAAATTAATTTATCATTCACAAGTGATTAATCTATAATTGATTAATTTAGACTGATATATAATTGATAATAATTTAGACTGAAATATAAATTAAAAGAAGTAATAAAATATTATAAGTATTAGTAGAAAGAGTAGTTTATAAATGAAACACTGAATTGTAAATTAGTGCGATTGATTTATAACTTACTTCATATTTAACAAGAATTCTAAAACCATACATTAAGGGTGTTCATCACAAACATGCATTGTTCATAAAAATCATCATTTTAAATATTGCTTTTTTTTCTTTTTCTTTTTTTTTTTTTTTTTTTTTTTTTTNTTTTTTTTTTTTTTTTTTTTGTATGTATATAGGTGCGGTTATGTTGAAGTACCAGAAGAATTGGCGATCGAGATTGATTCAGAAACAGACTGGATCATAGCTGAAAAACTTTTGGAACTATATGGTTATCGTAAAAATGTTAACGAATTGAAAGAGTATTATGTATAATGAACATAATGCTATAACGAAAAGGTATAAATTCCCTCTTTGTCAAGAAATGAGCTTAATTTTATTATTCTGAAATTTATGCAAACGATTTAATTCAGAACAAAAGCGCATAACTTAAATTTTGTTTGAAAACATTTCCTAAGCAATATTTTGATAATAATTTAAAAACTACAGTTAATTCCACTAATTAAAAAAAATTCAGGATTTTTGAAAACATTTCATACAGCGTGCCAAAAACATAAATCTACCTTTCAGTAATTTTTCTAAATAAACATGTAGAACTCAATAATGAACTATTATTATTATTAATAATAATAATAATATTACCGCAACACAAATTGTGAGCCATGGAGACAATTTCGTGAAGAAATAGTGGAGCATTGAGCACCAACTGCCTTTACTTGCCAGGCAACCTAGTAATCATCAATCTGAAGCTGAGAAGGCTTCAAGCTGGAACCGAGGATTGAACCCCGGTTCTTCACAAGGATAGATCAGTTCCTTTAACCACTGAACCATCACGACAGAAAAATATGTACTTAATCGAATTAGATTTTTATTGCCACAAGAGTAAAATACTAATTTATTTTTACAACGAAAGTAAAATACGAAACGATATTAAAACTGTGTATTTTATTGCATATTGAATTCAAAAATATTTAAAATTGCATTTAAATGAAAAAGTTAACCCTATTTTTTGAAGAATACGAATGCTTATAGTATTTTGCCTTTGAGTTCAAATTTTGCATTTGCATTTTGCTTTGGTATTCATAACGCTAAGAAACTATATAATAAATATTTTATTTGGCTGAACTAAAAATAATAATAATAATCATAATAATAGCATAATAATTTTAAAAAAAACCCAGGTTGACTCTGTAAACATAAACTATGAATGAAGACAAAGTATAAACGAAACATAGTTGAAAAATTAACCATTCCTTCAAAATCTAAAAAAATAAATAAATAAAAAATTATCGCGATGTCTTTATTGTCACAACATAAACGACACTGAATTACCTCTGAAGTTCTTAACGACGAATTTAAAATTCAATTTAGTTCTTAATTATATGTTTCGAGGAACTAGTGTTAAATAATCACCAGTGGAATTATTTATAATCGCGGAAGTAAATGAAACTTTGTAATAAAAAATTTAACTTGAAGCAATAATCTTCCATTTTTGTGGGAGTTCGTTGTTCTCATAAATTTAGCGTGACGCACACACTTGTAAACTTTTCTGCACATAGTATTTGTCATAGGCAGTAAAAATGAATATTTATAAAAGGGGTAATGACGGAAGTTGTTAAACTGTAACTGTAAACTATTATTTCTGAATTTTTAAAATTTTTCTCATTTGTATAAAAAGAATGATTTATTGCGAAACATTGACAAACAACATATCGATTTTTTTCTTCTTCAAAATCTTCGAAAATAGTAAGAAATTGTGGAAAATGTCCATCGATTTTATTCAGGTATAATACATTGCTAGAAATTTTATAGCGTGTTAAACTATAATATCGTTTAAATTTGTAGCATTCTAAATATCACGCAAAGTTGAACCATATTATCATACTTCTTAAACTTGAACTATGGTTCAACTGGAAAGTAAACCAGATTTGATTCAAAGCTTCATTAAGCTAGCAGCAAATTTGTACAGAATTAAGGTTCAAGATACTGATATTATGGTTCGTTGTTTCACGTTTTCTGAAAGAGTAAAGGAAAAAATAATTTTAAAATACCTTAAACTTCATGTTACTTTCATATATATGAAAATTTTTTATTAGAAATATTTTTTTTTTTTAAATTTTGCTGTAGTATTATAGTACGGCTTTAAAATATTTAAATACCGATCTTTTAATTGTTGCTGATACTTATTCTTGCTTAAAAAAAATCCTAATTTATTATTAATTTATTTTAAACATATACCAGATTTATTTCAGATTTACATATACCAGATAATATTTTACAAACACTTCTGTTTCATAAATATTATGATTTATATATATTATTATAATGGTACGGTATGGTATTATTATGGTTATGATATCAGTATTATGATTTATATCTGTCTGCACAGTTTTATTTTCTAGGTATGTAAAATATATTTTTTTTAAACAAAGAGGTGTTAATTTTAATATTGTTGTTCATATTTTTCTTTAAGTAGTACACTGCAAAAAAAAATTCCCGAAACGTTTCTAAATTAACGGTACATGTAATTTTCCAAAACGTTTCTGAATATTTTGAAAACCTCTTAGACTGAATCGGTGTAAATGCAATTCAGTTTCTTACTTTTAATTAAAAAAAAAAAAAAAGAAATACTTCGCAATTGATCAAAAGCATGCTATTAAATGAAGTTATCTGAGATTTTTGGAAACATTTTTGTCAAATCAAAATTTGTTTCTGGAAATTTTTACAGTGTAATCACAAATATATTTGTCACATAATTTATTTTACTCTTTCCAAACTTATACGCAAGTAAAATCATTAATTTTATTTGTAACCATCAATCATAAATCAAATAAATTAATAACAAGACAAGAAACTCGGATAAAACTTTTCTTATTTAAACCATTTGCGCTTAGCGTCCTTTTAAAAGACGGATCCTTCCTGAAAAAAAGAAAAAGTGGTGGCATAAATGTTTCATTAATAGGATTTATTTTACAAAAAACATTATATTTCTGCCTACCATTATATATCAATAAGCACAGCGTTTTTGCAAAATTAAAGTGGTAGGTAAGATAAAGAGATATCAACTTGATATATACCAAATTATTACTTTTTTATATACTAAGTATTAATCATTTATAGACCAATTTTTGTATTCGGAATGGGTAAATCATTTTATAGACGAACTAAAATAGAAAAATCTTAAATATTTCAAACAGTTTAAATAAATTGAATAATTTAAAAGAAAACTCTGTTTCTATAAGAAGTTTCATGAAATTTTTAGTTGTAAATAATTGCATAAAAATGTTAAAAATGACTTTTTAAACTAATGATATGTCAGCATTCAATCGTATCATTTGCATACCGTGATTTGTGTACTTTGATAGTACAGTTTACATCTTTATATTAATCCAGTGATGACTGGAGAACATTGAATTAATTTCCGTTTTGTTTCACATATCTATATTATACATAAATAATATATCATCAAAACACACTCATTTTTAACTACTGAATGTATTTATGACACTCACATACCCATTATCTTAAATATACCAAAATATTGTCTAAATGGCAAGAGCGAATAAGAGGACGTTCAAATATTTACGTAAGCACCTAAAGACGGAGGAGCTGTGATTTGCTGATTTAAGAAATCTTCTTCCAGATCACTACTGCGCAATCTCCAACCAGTCCGTAATTATTTGACGCTTGCGCACAGTGAATTGAGTTAAGAAGAAAGTCGAATCAAATGGGACGGTGACAAAGAAAGAAGCGTTTACGCATGGCACTAAATTCCATCTATCATCAAAATCCTTTCTCAATTGTAAAATAATTAAATTAGGAAAAATCATTTACATGAACAAAGGGGTTACAATTTGCCTATTTTTCGGATAAGAGAGGATACCTTCAAAATCAACACACACTTACTGTTGTAATATTCGAACGTCCCCTAAACATTAAAAAATTGTTTTGAATGGAAGGAATTTACAACTATTTATCTAGTGCTATCTATTAATATTGTTATAATTATTATTATAACAATTAAGAGTGCTGTTTTCTATTTCAACTTAAGAGTACATGGGGAAAACGACTGTTGCTTTCCTGCTCAACAAACAAATTTTCCTTCACGTTCTTCAATAGCTTTCAATGTTCGATTTTCCCAAGCCGTACGACACTGAGACGAAAAATAAATAAAATATATAAACTTAACTAAAATAATAACAGCACATAAGTTGGTTCCCAATAAGAAATTAAATCCCAATTTCCAAAAGATTTACTTTCATCTTAAAAATTAATTTAAAAGAAGATTTATTATTTTAATTTCATAAAAAATGGCAGCACTAGTTTGATTTCTTAAAAAGTTGACCTACTAAAGAGCAGCGTTTTTCATGCGCTCCAAATATTTCATACCTTTAGCTATAATAATCATATAATAAATATTTCATACTATATTATTATCATTATGAGGTTTTCAGCTATAAATTAATATTCAGTTAATAAAGATTTTATGAAAAATGGCAGCAATAGTTTGATTTTATAAAAAAGTTGACTAATGCAGCGTTTTTCATGCACTCTGAATATTTCATATCTTTAGCTATAATAATTGTATGAAATATTTTTTATTACTTTATCATTATGAGGTTTTCAGCTATAAATTAATGTTCAGTTAATTAAGATTTTATGAGTGGGCGCAATTGGTTTGTCTCGGCCTTCTGAGCCCAAGTCTGCAGGTTCGATCCCCGGCCCAGACACCGGATTTTCGGGATGCAGAAAATCCTCAGCGGCCATGTCGTATGATTATGCGGCATGTAAAAGATCCCTGGAGTGCCTTATTGGCTCTTGGCATTTCCGGCAAAATTAAATTCCTAGTGCACTTTAGCATCCAAATAGAGTCTCGGTGCTGCCATCTAGTGTGGCAGACACTAGACGTCCAAATTAACATGGCCAACGGTATGTCACCCATTGTGATGGTCCTGAAAGAGTGGATACCACCTCTGGAGAACGCACTAGGTCTGCTCATCGGGAAAAATGATTGTGCAGCTCATAGGAAGAAAAAAAAAGATTTTATGAAAAATGACACTAATATGGTTTTATGAATATTATTAGCTAGAAAATAGCAATACTATTAATTCAATTTTATGAAAAATAATGAGTTCAACTGATGAAAAATGACGAGTAATTGCTGCATAAGTTTGATTTTTTGCAAAGTTGAGCAGAAATCATTTTCCTCGTGTACTTTTTACATTTCATATCTTGTGCTACAATAATCTAAAAGAGTCTTTCATGTTACTTTTATTATAATTACAAAGTTACTAACAATCTAACGTTGTAGAATAGCAATAGAAATTAGATTTTGTATTTGTTGATATACTCGTAAGTTTTGTTTTAGCTACATATTGTATTACCAATCATTTTTTATTTTTATAGCAATCAAATATTTAATAAACATGTTCTACAAATAAAGCGTTGAGTTGTTGCATTATTTTTCAATTACTTTTTGAGTTACTGAGAAGATTTTCCCCAATTATGTACAAAATTTATCATACAGCATCGACTAAACAAATCTTAATAAGAAAAGCAAAACTTCAATGATTCTTTTTTTTTTTCTTCTTCTTCTTTCAACGTTTTAGGTTACATTTTTTTTAAGTAAGGGGGAAATAAAAATGATTATTTTCTTCTTTTAACTCTACTAGGATGAATTAAATTATGAAAATTTTTTTATAATCTTATTCATTTCAGTTTTGTGTTTGCTTGTTGATTTGCTTTGGTCGGGAAGAGGTCAAAATTTCGATTAGCGATAAAATTAAGATAAACTTTGCTTGGAGCACTTAGGAAACAATATTAACTTGCATTGTGGATCAGGAACAAAGCTCCAGTTGAAATCTGAGCACTCTATCTAGTCGAAAAATGGTCAATATTTTGATTAATAATGAATTGCACTTTTGTTTGCCGTGATCAGGAAACGATTGCAACTTGCCATCCAGCATAATACTCGAACTAAAATGCAAGAGCTCCAGCTATTCAGAAAGTGTTCAAAATATTTTGACCGAATTGTTAAAAAAAGAAAATACTCGATTAAAATCAATTTTCGATAACCGGAATTTTCAATATTTGGAAATTTTTGGTGTCTTCTTTCGAGTTGCTATCACCGTGGTGTGACTGTATGTTACATCTCATTGTTAAAGAAACAATTTAGACTTCAAAATTGCAACCAAAAAAAATGAAAATATATCTAAAACAAGTTTTTCTACCAAAAAAAATAGTAATCATTTCTGCAAATTTTAATCAGCATTTATAACTATAAATAGGATCAGGAAGTTCATTTACTGAGAAACTTATCTTTAAATAGCAGTTGAATCGTTCATCCGGCGAATTCGCAACACAAAATTTTTTTTTCTTTATTATTATTAAATTAAGAAAACAGAACAATAAAACAAAGACCTATCAGTTGTAAAACAAGGACATTTTAACAAAGTCTTTTGAATACAGAATTATAGAACAGTCTTTAAAAGATTAATTTCAGTCCAAAACACACAATCAACAGAATAGATAGCTTTTACTAAGCATATTTACAGTAAGCTGGAAAATGGTATCAAGTTCGTTTTCAGGGATATAAAACGAAGATATTTTTAGGGATATAAAACCGTGATATCTTTAGGGATATAAAACGAAGATATTAGGGATATCAAACGAAAAAATGGGCATCATATTTCCCGATATCTTTTGTACTTAGAAATTAAGGGATGATAAGTTTCTTTCACAGCGGGAAAAAATTGGAATAAAAAAAAAACCACTCCGGAATAAATAAGTTTTTTCCAACCTAAGTGGAAGAAACTTTATTTAAAAAAGAAATCTAAAGTATTAAAACAATTTTTTAATCCGTTACAATCTAAATTGTTTAAAAAACTTCATTCGCTTCAAAAATATACACATAGGAAATAACAGTCGACATGCTTCAAGAGCTCAAATATAGGCGCCCATTTTTATTTGTAATCGTAAAGACCAGGCCTTATAGCATGTAGCTAATAAGTCCTTAATAGGTAGTACGCTTTGTATATAAAACACACATAAATCCTAATCTTATATAACTAATAAGGTAATATAAGATTATAATTGTAACGATACCTCATTTGTCAAGAATAGCGGTTTTCAAAAGGTGTTCCGCGTAACCTTAGGATTTCGTGAAAAAGTCACAGGAGTTCCGAGGATTTTTTTAAAATGAGTAATGATTTGTTAAACCTAAAATTATATTTTTATCAATCTTCCAAAATTTAACATTTCGGTTATTTTTATGAAACGATTTTAATAAAATGCCATTGAAAAAAAAATCCTACAATTTAATTAATAAACAACGAAAAGCCTATGCATTCATACAAAATTTTATTAGTTTTTCTCATTTGAACTTCCCTATTCAAATAAAAATAGCCAAATTCATGAACCAAAATCTACTCTGATCACCATTTTTTTTTCCTCCAAAAATCATAATTCAATTTATTTTATTCATTTTCAGCTTATGCATACAGCAGAAACAAATTCAAAACTAGACTAAAAGCTATTCCATTACCTGCGAATTCAGCTGCTTGACATAAAACCCAATTTTAAAACATAATATTGATTAGCCAATGAAAACCACTTCATTCTCTCCATTAAATATTTTTAAAATACATAATTAGTTATCTTTCTATGGCTAGTATATATTTTACTGCTGCTAATGAATTTTATTTATTAAGCGGGTGTCAGGTTTCCGCCAAATGAAAGCCAAATCATTTAGTGTTCCATAGCTGAAAAAAATTTGGAAACCGCACGTATAAAAAAATATATTTAAGTTGAAAAATGTTAAGTAACATTTGATTTTTAGGGTGACAACATAAAATAGTTAGTTATTCTAAATTTTCGTTCCAACTCAGCTTGATTTTGTTTATAAAGCTGGATTATTCTAAGAATTTTTATATAATTTTTTTAAAAAAGCATTAAAAATCAGTTTCATGTGAATTAGTGGGTATCATATTTCCCATAAGACACAGTTGGTAGAATGTTGGGCCCATGTCCAAGAGGTCGTGAGATCCCCGCCAGCCGAAGACTCCCGCGTACAAAATGGTGACTCGAGCAAGTTAACTCTGTTCGGGGTCACTAAGTCCTCCAAGTTCCCATTACAAATCAATACCTCTAGGGGTATTGGATCGGAGATTGATCGTGCTCTGGTTCAGGTGAAAATTACGATTTGCAAATGGATTGTGGGCGAATCTGTTCCCCTGTGAAACGGGCTGTAACGTATGTGTGTGCCAGTAGTTGAATTCTTGGCCATAAATGTTGCGATTGGAAAACAATAGGCTTGTTAGTATCGACAAGTATCATAAGAATACAACATATTTTCCACAGACACTTGTGTCTAGTGATATTTATGTAATTTTTTTAATAATTGATCAGTTAAAAACACGCAGTATGAAGAACGTAGGTGGCACTACAACTGCCACACAGTGGTCAAAAATCGGAAAAAGCGGGCCATAAGTCAAAAAATTAAATAGCTCACAAGTACCAATCATTAATGTATTTTCGTCAACAAAAATATGAATAGATAATAATTCATAAACACAATATTCTAATTACTATAACAGTATTATCCACACTAAGTGATAAAAAGTTTTCCGCATCTGCTGTGTGACTTCTTTATTGCACTCTTCTATCAGTACCTACTATTTTTCATGCAATAAATCTTCAATGTTAAGCAATCTAAAAAATTTTGAGTGGTTTCAATTTTAGATTGGTTTTTAAATACCAAAATATTAAACAAGGGTCTACCTACATGTTATATAACTATTCAAATAATAGCTAAATATATTTTATAACTACAGAAAGTCGCACATATTACATTGACAGTAGCCTTTTGAATGGCAATTAACAGATATTCCAACAGCTATTATTATAATTCTTATTTTATAAGTATTGTTTTTATGAACATTAAAATTCCAAGAAATAGTGGAAATCGATAATATTTATTTGATATAATTTTATTTTCATTGAAAATAATTTTACAAAATTTTTTATTATTTCACTTTTTTTTTTTTAAATGGCAATCACTGAACTTAATTCTTCGCCTTAGAAGATGCCGGAATTGTTACTCATTTTACGTTAACCAGTGGGCACCTGTGAACCAAAGTCACGGAGGCGAGCAACATTACCTACGCCACAAACCCGTTCATAGGGTGCGCCACAATCACACAACAGAGGACAACACTAAGAGAGAAACATCCATGGCCAGAGCGGGATTCGAACGTGCAGACATGGGCCTCGCAGTCAGCTCGCTAAGGCTCGGCCACCTGGCCGGCTTAATTATTATATTGAAAAAAATTATTAAACTTACTTTCCTTTACATCAATAGGAGCCAACTTGGTGCAGTAATTTTTTGTTTTCCAAGAGTCATTGTCATTCTTTATAATGTGAGGGGAACCAAGGGGATCTCCTTTTTACAAATCACATTACATAAAGGTAACCTTGAAATTACTGTAGCATACTAATTATTTACATGGTCAACGCAGAAAGGCCTTTAAAAACTTGAAAAATTAACAAAAATGAAAAGTATAATTATTTCTGAAGTAACACCTGATAAAAGTGTACAACAAAGAGTCTCATTCCAGATACAGAAAACTTCTAACCACTTAGTACGTATAATACAATAATAATAATTAGAATATTTTGTCAATGACCTTTTATATTAATTCTTCACACTTTCGTTGACTAAAAATCATTAACAATTAGTACTTATGAGGTATTTATTTTTTTGAATTTTGGCCAGCTTTTTCAGATATTCGACTACACCACACCACTTTGTTTTGAATAAGAGGAAAAATGTGATGCCACAATACATTTTTTAATAAGAAGAAATTGTTTTCTTATCGTCTCTTCAACTTGGATTAATTTTTTAATGGAGCTTGATTCTCTGACTGAGAATATCCAACTTTTTTTTTAATAATTTTTGGCACAGGAAAAAATAGGTGCCATATTTTCTGAAAATACCCACATGTTGCAAAATATTAACATTTTTAAAAACATTCAATTTAATCTTCAAGACATAAAATTGAGAGCATTTATCGTTCTACCTATGTGCAAATGGTTGATCATGACTAACTTACAATAGTCTAATTATGATGACGAATCATTACCCAGATTTAATGAAATACTTTAGTTAGGTTATATGAATTCAAGCATAAAAGATTATGAACATTGCTCATGTGAATATTTTTCAAGTTCACCAATTTTTTCATTAAGAAGTTTACAACTCAATTTTTTTTAAGAAATATAGTTCAATCTTACCTAACACAAATTTCACCCTGATAATTCATGAACAATTGTACACAAATTTCACCCTGATAATTCATGAACAATTGTCCGTTTACTGAACTGTCTTGTTCAAATCCTATATGTTAAAACACAGAATGAAAACAAGCATACTTATAAGTAATTCTTTACAATTTATTCAAACTCCTAATATACTTACAGAACTTACATCACATCACTTAAAAAATAAAAGTAAAAATTTGTTAATAAATGTAAAAACGTTTTCTTTTTTTTTAGTTTGTTATACCATACAAATCTCGGCATGAGGCAGCATTATTATACAGCGTTCAACTGATTTGTTTGTTTTTATATAAACCACTCTAACAATGTTTCAAAAATTTACTCTATGTTCCGCACATAGAAGTACATAAACAGTTTTGTAACACACAGCACAGGATAGCATTGCAAAGTGTGAAAAATAGTCAATGATAAAATTTTAGTTATTTAGTGCATGTACAAATAAAAAAAAATATTGAGGTCAAATAGTTATCAAAACTAGGCACATATGTAGTCACTAAATGTTTTGGATAGACAAGACTTTTTTTTTAAAGTAGGTATTTGTAATTTCATTACATCAGTTCACATAGTTTGATAAAGACAAGTAAAATCACACAAGTCATTTTACTTCAACGATATGTATAACACAGGGTAGATAATACCAGCTCACAAGTTATGTTGCACTATTGAATAAAAATGTAAGTCTGGAATCATATTTCTTTTTTTTTTTCTCTTTAACTTAAAAAAGACTAGATTGTTTATATTCACTAAATAACTCATTATTTTATTAAACTTTTGATTCATTTCATAAATATTTAACTTTTTAAGCAGCAATAGTATATCATATTTAATAAAGTGGAGTAAAATTAATGGTATTCAACTGTTTCTGTCAAGTCACACATTTTTCAGTTATAAATTACCTTTTAAATGAAAGATATACAATACAATATGGCAAACACCGCATTTTAAAATCAAAATTTCTTGTTTAACATAAATTAAAGTAAAAGGTAGTTGGAGAACTTTAATTAATTCTAAAAATTAATAATAAAAGAATGGAGAAAATGTTTACACACTATATATGTATACTGCAAAACAATGCTATATTTTTTAAAACATATTAGAAAACAAACACAAAACTAACAATGAAGGTATCTAAAGTATTAGCAAAATAATTGAGCCAAATTTTTTATATTTAGCTAAGGCTTTGGACACAGCAAAGTTAAAGTAGTCAAGTAATTTTAAACTGCGATTTTTACCTCAAATATGTCACAAAGTTCTAAATATGGCTGGGCTAGGACTGGAAAAAGTAGGCTTCATCTTGAGTTTCAATTAAGTCAGTTTCATAAGACTATGCAAAAAACAAATTTTCTTAAATTTTGGTGAACTTTAAAATAAATTTTAAAAAAAAGTATCTCTAGAAGACTTATTAAAATGTATATACATAAATTGCATGTAATACTTTAGAGCAAATACACTTTTTTTTCCTCTAGATAACAGACATTTTATAACTATTCCAAATTTTGGCTTGTAATTGATTCATTTATAGTAAAATATAAAGAAAACAAAGTTAAGTCTTATAAATATTTAATGTTTTATTTACTTAATAAACTATTTTTAAATCAGTATGAAAGTGATAATCAATCATAACTGATTTTTACCATTCATTGCACACATTTACTACGTATTCCAGTGTACAATTCGACCCCCTACTTACGATTAAGAGCAAATTTCTGGTATGTTGGGTGTATAAGTCTATTGCTGAAAAAAAAATATATATATATAAAAATTTCGAAAATTAAAAAAATTATTCAGTTTACAAAATTTTCTCAAGCTAAAACTATTTCACATTATTTTATTCGGATATACGACAATTGCTCTCAAATAAAGAACATGAGGCGCCCTCTGAAATAAAGACTCATTATTCAATGTTGTGAGGCAAATTTCATAATCATATATATTATTGTAAAATCTTTTAGAGTATGGAATTCCAAATGTGGATGGAAGATTTTAATGGGACTCTACAAATGAGGATGAAAAAGAATCCATAGCAAGGTGGGATTCGTATGACGACACTACTAGGGTTAAGATGATGTTCTGGAATCTTTAAATTTGTAGCTTTACCGCATGTTTAAAAGTTTTCATAATGACTTTTTTTTTTTAATTAATCTTGAATTATCTAACTTTTATCCTTAAGTTTTTCTGAACATTTAAGGGTTGTTTTTAAAAAAATCTTTACACATAAAGAAAATAAGATAGAAAATGTAAAATTAATTGTATATAACACATTAAAAATAGTTTTTGAAAGGGGTAAATTTATACATAATGATTTATATATTTATAAATTATTACATCTCATTGTTTATAACGCACAAATTTTTCATGATTTTATTACATGTATATAAATAAACTCCCTGATTTTGTATAATTTTTTGAGATTGAAAAGTAGATTTATAAATCAGGATATACAGTAAATGTCTTTAAATTCTAACTAAACATATTTCATCACTTGTTTCATACTTCAGTATATATTTACCAGTTCATCTTTCAAAAAATTTATTTTTTAATAAAATTAAGTGAAATACATAAAATTATTTTCTAACTTTGAAGCCCTATTTATATACAAAACTTCAACTTCATCAGTTACTAACACTTTGGATACCTTCGGAAATTTGGCTAATTATTCAAAGAAACAAAAATAAAAACAATGATGCCCCCTTTCAAAAAAATGAAAACACCAACAACCAAAATAATTTTTTGATAAGTGAAATTAATTTGATAACCTGCTCATGGAAGATATCTTGGAATTAATTTAAAATTATAAAATTAATATAATTTAAATGAACTACTGAAAATGTTTAGTAGACAGGTTTAACTGAATTCAAAATTTAAAAAAAAAAAAAAAAAAAAATCAGAAAAAGAAATTTAAAAACAAAATAAGTACATGAAATTTTAAAAAAAATGCTCATTTTTTAAAAAGAAATTCTAAAATTATGAACACAGAGGAAATTTATGAAGTACGACAGCTGTAGACTTTTTATTTTAGTCCAACAACAAAAAACTAAAAAATACAGAGCTGGAAGAAATTTTCCATATAAGTCATCTAACAAGAAACTCACAAAGTCATATATACATTTAAGTGCACATTTTAGAATTTTTTTTATCATAAAATATTCTGCAAAAACATACAAAAATACTTTGCACTATTTGCTTTCCAGCCAGACAGTTGGACAGAAAAAAAACAAGTAAAATTAACCTATGTTTCAAGTATAACTTAATTTTATACAAAAAAAATTATTCTAAAGTATACACCAAACTTGCAAACATTTAGTCATTTTATACAGTTTTATACAAATATATCAAATGGTTTATCGAATAAATAAGGAAAATGAGCATTTATATATATATATTTATATTTATTTATATAACACTTACTTCTTTTACAAAACAGGAACCAAAGAAAATGTACATAACAGACTGTGTCAGTATATCTTCATAAACGTTTTGTTAGGACAAAGGATAAAATATAAAATGATTAAAGGTAATAAGTGAGCAACGTTTTGATATCATATGAACAGATTTCTTTAAGGACAATGACTTTGGAGACATACTTAAATCCTATGAAAATGTTCAACAATTTTACAAATCTGGCATTAAAAACACCATATGACTCAAAAAATCAGATAATGAACTGTACAACATCGGTCAAAATATATTTGAATGAAAAGGAAAGTGAAGTTGTTACAAAGGAAGCTGTTTTAAAAATCATTTCAAGTGGCACCACAGCAAGCGTACACACAATTCTTGATGATTTACTTTTCAGCTTAGCTCAGTATAAACTTTACAGGCTTCACACTTTTGAACTGGACCCCTCTTCAACAACTGTTATAATAAATTTACTCTTTTTTTTTTCTTTATCAATCTGCTGTTTCCAAAAGTGTAGGTCATCTCTGAGAATTGGGCTCATGACCGGCAATGCCAGCACGAGGAGTAGATCGAGTCCGTGATCGCATGCATGGCAGGGCGGACGGCAGAGGAGCTGCAGCATGGGAGGCTGCCACCAAAGCAGCGGATGCTGCAGGAGCTGGTCCTCCCGTGGAAGATATAGCCTGCGTCATGTTTGTGGAAGGTGTTAAATGATGAGGCAAAGATCTTCCTGTGGCAGGGCTGGCAGAGTCTGGAGCACCTCTTAGGCGGCTGCTGCTAGCAGTAGTTGGTGCAGGAAGAGCCCCACGGGAGGTAGTGCTCGTATGTTGATGATGCCTGTCTCTGCGATCCCGGTCCTCTTGCATTTCTTGTTGATTACGATTTCCACCCTAAAATTGAAGAACACGAATTGTAATAGATTAAATTTCACCCATGATTTGTGACACTTAAATTTTTTAAATTTCAGATATTTTCAAAATGAAATGTGTGGTGTTATGAGTTACCCCAAAACCATACAAAAAACTTCTGATATGTGATTGGAGTAATTAAAATTAGCTTTCATAATTTTTTAAAATTTTTTATATGATTGTTGGCTCACACACTCGCTGTTTGGAGCAATATCGATCTTCCCTTTCAGTACAATTTTATGTTAAAAAAAGACTGCAAGGGGTTGCTGATATAACTTTAGATCTATTTGGAAACACATAGCTTAATGATCAAATTTGCTTTTGTGCTTCTTCAATTGACTAAAATCGCTCTCTAATTTCAAGCGGTTAGAAAGCTTTAAAACACGGTAAACAAACAAGTATTGACTCAAATTCAATTTCTATAAAGCTGTTTTTAAAGTTCCTTCATGGCCTTGAGGAAAAACAATAAACAGTTTACTGATATATAAATTGACACAGTTATTATAATAACTGTATGCATTAATTATTGTGGCGTGTAATAATTATTGGTTTTGTTACTTTGCTATCACCTAGCTCACATCACATTAATTACACACCTCATATAATGAGAGACACAATATTAGCAAAATAAATCTTTGTTTGGGTTAATACAATATTATCTGCTATAAATGGCAAATCAGTGAAGAAAAAAAAAAATTATTACTTACAAATTTAAGCATATTCCAGTCAAAGACATAATCATAAGTAAATTTTTGCCGGTGGAACAAATTTCTTAATAGTTGCCTAAGGTATGAATAATCTGGTTTCTCATCAAAACGTAGAGCTCGACAGTAATTTAAATATGTAGCAAATTCAGCTAAAAGGCAGAAGAGAAATATTTTACAATATAATATAGATAACATATTTTTAAATATAATATTTTATATATTTTTAAATATAAATATGTAAAATAAAAATATTTAAAATAAAAATAGATAAACAGAAATATTTAAATGATAACACTTGATGTGAGACAGCATTAAAAAAGTCAAAACTAATTTTTAGTAGCATAAAAGAAATACTTCAGATATAATAGGTATATAGAGGAATTTGGTTTATAGAAAAATCACTATTCGTAAAACCTGAGAAAATTAAAGAATCATTAAATAGTAAATAATATCTACCAGAAAATATGCATCATGCTGGAAATTTCTAAATATTCATTTAATTAATACACTACAATAACTTAGCCTAAATAAATGCTGAAAGATTATGTTCTGAAAGTCAATTAAAAATTTACCTTAAATAGTTAGTTGAGAAGTAAAAAACTTTCTAGTTAAGATACTAGATATCACAATTGTTATTAAGAAAGGTTATTATGAAAACCGACAGTATAACTTTTGATAAAAGATAGTGACTCCTACACACAACACAGTACAAACACTTTATTGCATTTATTTTTAAGTCAGAATAAATAAATGAATTTTTATATCAGAGCCAAAATATTTTTAAATAAATAACCACTATGCAGCAACACAACATGGCAATGTTAAATTTTTACAAATCTTATGTCTTAATTAGACTCATTCAAGGTGTCACATAATTAATTGAGTATTAAATTGGCTAGATGTAATTAAGCTACATAGAAAAATTTGTAGAAATGTTTTATTTCTACAAATTTGTGAAATGAATAATTTGAATAATGTGAGTACTATTTACACAGAGAAAAATTAAGATTACTTTGTTGGAAAAAGAGACATACACTACTTAGAACTAAATTCAAAGCGATTAGTAGCAGAAAATGGAAAATTTGGTCTTAAGTCATTTTCAGAAAAACCACTAAATATTTTCTGCTACAAACTAAATTGATTAAACTTTCTCATGTTCTTTAGAAGTCTAAAGCATAGAATGAATATTTTATTTCAATCATCATTTATTTAGGGTTTATTACTCAGCTTTATTATGCTAAAAAGGAAAAATAAAATTCAAAAGATATTTTACATTTTTAGAATTAAAGGACGTCTGGATAACGTGGGAAGGGGGCACTGATTAAGTTGGAATGGTATAGTTCGTTCACCAGGAGTTGGCACTTGGCTCAGTCTTCATCACATGATTTCCAACAATCCTATTTCGTTATTTTTAGGAGAAGGATGTGAACAATCCTAAACAAGGTTGCTATTTGGCAATCGTATGACAAAAATATTTATTTTCAATTTTTTTTGCATTTTTTTAAACATTAAATATTTCATAAATTTGATATTTTTCTCTTTTGAGTGAATAGTTTGTCCATTTTGCTGGAAAAACAGCAATTTTTAAATTAAAAATATATTTAATTAGTTGGAGTAACAACAGATATAATAGCAGATGATAAAGCAAAGTAAGTGTCTGAAAAAGAGTTCACTGTTTGCGTTTGCTGCCCTTTAAGGGTTGTCTCATTTTCAAGCACGGAGATGTTTCTCCTCTTATCCCACGCTGAAATGAATTCTGCATCCGAGGAGGTGGAGCCAAGTGCCAACTCCTGGTGAACGAACTATATTTAACTGCTGCTGGAGAAGGTAAGAAATCGTTCTTGTATTTACTTTCCCACAGATTTAAACGGAATTGAGTCATAATGGGCCAGTATCTCAAACTGCAAAAAATTATTCGCGACCCGACATTGTAAGTATTTATACATTTGACCTAGTGTGATTATACCAATCACAAATGTGGATAAATGACAGTGAAATCGGCAGCAGACAGTAAGGTTATGGAGATCAAAGCGTCATCAAGAAAGGTAACACCGGAAACTGCCCCACTTAGTTAAACAAAAATAGGCACGAGATAGTGGCTCAACTGACACTCTAATAAAAGGCAGGTCCAAGTGAGAGTATCTCGGAACACACAGTTTAGTGGACTGGGTTGCATATGGGACTGTGCAGCTAACATCCCACTTGTGTGCCTCTGTTGAACAACCGTCGTCCTTAACTAAACCTACAGAGGGCCCAGAACACTGTCACTGGATCATAAATATGTGGAAGAATCACGCCGAAAACAAATTAATCACGCTTTCTCATTCATTATGTTGGTTATGTAAGGGTACGCTGTCTTCTAGGCAAACAGTTAATGCCACATCTATAGCAAGTCATACACAAGCTGGTGGAGGCAGTGTTATGCTTCGGGAGTCATTCCAATGGGCAACTTTGGAGCCCATAGTAAAGTTAAAACAAACCCAGAAAGCAGCGGAATATCTAAATATAACTGTGAAGCAGTTGCACCCATATGGAGTATTTTCAAAAACTGAAAATGGAATCTTCCAGCAGAACCAAGCCTCAACTCAAAAAGCTTGAATTATGTTGGGAGTGGTTCGAAGAGCAGAATGATGAATTCCAATTAACGCACTAGTCACCTAATGGTAGAGTGCATTTGGGATGCCATAGAAAGGCAACTCAGGAATCAAACACTACCGTATCAGAATATTTCAAATTTCCATGACTGCTTAGACGTTTGGTAAAACCTGTCTCCAGTTATTTCCCAAGAACTTGTAACATCCACACAAAGGCGATTAAGAGCTATTTTGAAAACCAAAAGTAACAAAAGGCACTTTTGAGTGGATTATAATAATATTTCCCTTCAGTGTATAAAGTGATAAATAACAGGCAATACTGAAAATGAAAATACCATAAAAAATAAAGCCCCACTATGAAAAGTTTACCATGTTAGCAAAAACAGATCATTTAAAATGTAGTTCTACGTCTATAGAAGTAACTTTTATTTAAACGTCTATAGTATGTATATCCAACAAGTTATCTAAGTGTATTTGGGAAATACAAAGTTTGTATTAAACAAACAGGCAATACAGAAATTGAAAATGCCATAAAAATAAAGCCCCACTATAAAAAGTTTACTATATTAGCAAAAACAGATAACTCAAAAATTGTAGTTCTACATCTAAAGAAGTAACTTTTAAATGTCTATAGTACATAGCTGTCAACACAGATAGGAAAAAATCCAGTAGATTTTACAAAACAATATAAATTTCATGATAATTGTTGCATAATGTACTAAATATTTTACACATAAGGATTTTTAGGGGTTTTCATAGTCATCAAAATAGAAAATCTGCAATATTTTCCAGTATGGTTAACATTAAATGAACTTAAAATGTTATGTGTTATGTTACAAAAAGCATAGTAAATGACATCACTGAATATTCATCACTTGAGAGAAATTACTCACGGGCAAAATTTCTACATAGTTCTTCAATTGGAGTGGACATTTTTTTCTCACTAATTCGTTCATACTTTTGCCTCTTATTAGCTGCTCTCAATCCCTGCCAGGGTAAGCTGCCTCTATTGAAGTACATTAGCACATAACCTAGAGATTCAAGATCATCTCTTCTACTTTGTTCTAAAATATATGGAAGAAATAACAGAATTTATTTATTGAAAATTATAATAAATATTCAATATAAAAATACTACACTAATTAGAATTCAAAAAGCAATTTTCTAGAACAGGCTTGTTCATTATTTTTGAAACAATTATGAAAAAATTGAAATAACAAATTACTGTTATTATTCAAAAGGATCATACACCCTGATGAACTATTGAAATAACAATATTTAGTCTAGTATTAATAAAAAATATGTGCATTGGTAGATGTTTATTTCTTCTAAAAAAAACTCATTATCATTTAGAAAATATGAGAAAAAAATACCAAGGAAAAAGTATATTTTATTCCTCTTCTATTCTATTCGGGATATCTGTTACATTTCAGGTTTTCAAATCCATGACTTTTCACAACTAATTCCAAGAATTTTTCATGACTCAACAATAAATTTAAAAAAGCTTTATAACATTAATCGAAAATGATTGGGATAACCAAACTGTTATACCCTGCATCTTCATATTTATAGATTTTTTAATTTAAAAATCAGAGTAAAGAAAAAGAATTTTTTTTTTTTTTCTTCTGCAGAACTATATTCTAAAGATATTTTTCTTGTTCATCGGAAAGGAAAGAAACACTCCTGATTTTTCTGTTCTCATTTCGAAATATAAAAAAATTCGCCAATGACTCGCTTGCTTCAGCTAGAATTTTTAATTGCTAAAATAAAATAAATAATAATTAAAATTCTGAAATCACAGAAGTTTAAGAGATAATCCACTCTAAAAATGATGTTTTTTCTTTCATTTTTTTGAAAAAACATGCTAAAAACATTTTATATTGTAATATAATATATGACTGAGAGTGGAGACTTTGTTACAAATTCAGATACTTGAAACACCATGACATTGGAGTGGGGGGATTCCATTTTAAAATCATGACATTTTATGACTTATTTTGTACAATACCGAAATTCATGACTTTCCAGGTGTGCGGATACCCTGTTTTAACTTATATGGCTTTATCTAAATAAGCCATAACTATTTTTAATAGAGTAGAACCTTGATTTTCATAACATCTTAAATCCCAATGCCTTTGCAAACTGAAGTTTATTTCTTAGAGTTTTATTCCCCCTTCTTCAAAAACAAGCACATTTTTTTTTATTCTCTAAATTTTAATAATTGCTGTCCAGTGTTGATTAATTTGGATAATTAAGGTTCTACATGAAGTTTTTTCATAAAACTCACAAATATTATTGACAGTTTTTTACATGTTATTATATAACAATCATGTTTTTCACAGGACTTGTAAATTAATGTCAAGAATCAAATTCTGCAACTGTCAAAGAGGAACACTCAAGAACAGTATGTAGTAACTTCGAAAAAAAAAGCAGAACTACAAATATTAAGTAAAAAATATAAAATTGGGATACATGAAACTTCCTGAAGGGGAAACTTAATTACTTCACGGAATAACCAAGAAATTAACTTATCATTCCTTTCTACCAAGAGTCTATAATGTAAATGGACTCATCTTAATTCCTTTTAAAAAAATTGATGGACATTTTTTGCCTCAAGAAATTATGGGGGGGGGAGGCTATAAAACAATATTTAAAAAAATTGCAAGCTCTTTTTGTTAAATATTGCAACTAAAAATAAGAATTTTTAATAAAATAATTCATACTATTATGAATTATGAAATCACAATACCAAAATCTTATAATTCATGATGATAAGATTATTTCTTCTCATACATCTTTGCTGTTTTGACTAAAAGAATTGCATCATATTAAGTTTATTTAGTCAAATCACTTTTTATACAACAAAAAAAAAGAAGTCTTATCTGTGGAATTGTAGAATAAGAGGTTTTCTTTTTTTTTGCACATATTTTAAAGCACATATTTTCAAAGAAAAAAGTTCAGCGTTAGTTTAGTAAAATTTAAAAAGTTTCCTTTTTTTTTACAGTGAAGGTACAAACATACATTATGTATGTTCATCTTATCAATTATTGGTAGTTTAATCAATAGATTTTAAAAGTAAATCTGATCTCAATATTGATTTCCCACAAAGAGCCTAACATGTAAGTAAAGTGGAACTCATCTTAACCAAGGGAAAAAAATTTATAGAAATTTTTACCTCAAGAGCTGATTGAGGTGGGGGCAATATTCAAAAGAGTATTTTTTTTTTGAATTTTTTGTTAAGCATAGCAACTGAAAATTTAAATTTTTATTAAAATAATTATTTTAATTAAAAAATTCTAAAATCTTATCATGAATTATAAAATTTTGGTATTGTATTTTATAATTCATGGTAAGATTTTAGAATTTTTTTCTACATCTTTGCTACTTGGACTAGAAGAATTGGGTAATATCAAGTTTATTTGGTTATATCCCTTTTTGTAAATAAAATCTTATCTTTGGAATTGAAGAATAAGTAATATTTTAACAGTTTTATCTCTTTTTTGTGCATATTTAAAATTACAAAATTAAAAAAAGAAGAAAAAGTTGATAGCTAGAGCAATTGTAGAAATAAATATTAAGATTTACTTTTCAAGAAAAAAATAGTAAAGGTATAGATATAAATTATGTTTGATCAATCAATTAGTGGAAGAGATTAATAGATTTTAATGGCTGACCTCAATATTGAATTGGTGACTAAAAGGGTATATGTGCTAAGTATTTAGATGGTTAACATTTTAATTTAGGACCATCATACATCCATAATATGATTTAATGGTCACTGACATAAATAATGCGATGACACAAGTATTACATAAATGAAGACTAAGTTTTTAAACCAATTGAGCCTAGCACTTATAAATTACATCTCATATTGCAATTTACTTTTTATAGCAATCAAATTCTCTCCAAGTTATAAGACAGGAAAACAATGTAATGGGAAGAAACAACAGATCAAATTTATATACCAGCAAAACTGTGAGAGGGTTAAAGATATTTTACCTATTCACATACATTTACATCTCTCACAATCCCCAATTTACTGGAGATAATGACACTTTACATCAAACACATTACTGCAGAATATCTTTAATTTTTAAACAATAAAACACTAGTTCCTAAAAATGTTCCAAATTGCAAAATAAAAATTAACACTTAAAAAATAACTTAATTTTCTAAAAAAAAAACTTAAACAAAAGTGATTTTGATGTCAATTAAATTTTCTAAGAAAAAAACAAATATTTAAATTTTTAAATTTTATAAAAAATTTTAAAATAATTCTATAATTTCAAAAAAAAAATATATTAGCAGTTTTCATAGTTAATTTAAACGAACTGTACATTATTAAAAGTAAAACAATCTGATGAAAATAATGACACGAATTTCAAATGCAAAATAGTGACTTTTATATTATACAAATGCAAATAAGAAAATTATGGGTTTCCCCTCCCTAAATTTAGGAAGAAAAAAAAAATTCAAATTCAAGAGAAAAAACATTTTAAAAAATGTATAATAAAATTGTTTCTCTGCCAGACCTCTTTCAAGCCTCATAGTAGGCCAAAGAAAACCCCACGACAAATGTTTTCAAAAAATTCAGGTAATTTTTTGTATTAATACAGTCAAACCCTGTTATAGTGAACTTTCAAGGGACCAAAATTTCGGTTCACTATAACTGGCAGTTCATTATAACCGTACTGCAAACAATCTTAATGAATTTTACCGAACTGCTCCCTTTTATTACACATTTAAATAAATAAGCAATAAAAAGAAATACAAAAAGATTCAAAAACAATATGTACATAGTAACAAAAAATGTGCTAACTTTTACTTTTTATGACTCTTCGTCTTACGGACAAAAAATTTAGGGATGGGAAACTGAGATAGAAGAAGCAAACAAGAAAAAATGCATATGCCAACATTCCACTCAATAGATTGCTTTAAGAATCAGTATGTGTATTTTATGTAGAAATTTCAAAATTACCAAAAAAACGAAGAAGAAAAAAATCAGTCGAAGACAGAAAAAAGTTCTTAATATCCTATTTCTCTACTTCTTTTGGTTCAGTATATCCACAAAAAAATATTATTACATGAGTATAGCAAGGCACAGGAGAGAATATTTTGTTCACTATATCAGGGAGTTCACTATAAACCATGTTCACTATAGCGGGATTTGACTGTATATATGTACCAGACAGCTATTGAAAAAAACGATAATTTGCTCTATATATGGCATTGTAATAGAATAATAAAATATGCCATTTTTTATTTCAGAATTGCTTACAAGTTTACAACAAAAACAAGTTTAAATAATTTCTAGCATAATTTTGTTAATTGGAGCACCAAAAAAACTCATAATTTTGAAATCAATGATAATCAATTCTTCTAATCCAGACGCATTAAAAAAATAACAAATTAGTTAATATTCTTTCATGCCAAAATTGAATTAAAATTTGAAATTGTTAAAGACTTCTTTAATCAAATAAATTTCTTAAAGGAGGAAGAAATTTATTTGAATTACCTAAAATAGGTAACTGAATGTACCTCAACATTTTTCTATAAAAATAATTTAGTGGCTGATTCCTCAATTCACCAATTAAAAATTTTATGATTTAATTACTGTTATAATAAATTGGAATCTGACATTTTTACAATCAGATGAATATGAAGAATCAATAATTGTGGAACACAACAAGACTAACAGATAATTTCTTTAATCACTATTTATTATATTCCGTCATAAAGCTCATTGGGGCATGTGTAAACCAATACTTTTGCACTAAAGTGTACATGACCCTTAAACTTATCAGCGTAAAGATTTTGTAATAAATAAGTAATTACAATTGATTTCGTAATAAATAAGCAATTAAATTTTATTTTTCATAAAATGACCTAATCCACAAAATGTTTAAAATAATGACTGCTGCTGGTAAGGCTATTTGTTTGAACCATGTATAGAATTAGTGAATAGTCCTGGTACTATTATATCTTGCAATTTTTAATAAGATCAGACCTGCCAATCTCAGAAATTCAATAAAACCTGAGACTTTTTGTGACCATGGGAGTGTAAAGAGCAAAACTATGTTAAGAAAATATAAAAATTAATTCACTTATTCTCTAAATTTATATAAAGTAATTTTCTTACCCCTGAGAAACATAAAATAATAAATTAATCAGTCTTTTTAAAACAGACTAAGTGACTAATTTAGCATTTTTTAAAATCATTATAAAAAAAAAATTTCTGAAACTTTTTTTCATTTTGTCTTCCAAGTCATTAAATTTTCCAATGACTGCTTTGACAAGAACAGAATAAATCAGGATTTATATTAAGTGGGTAAATATTCCACACAGATTTCATCTCTGTGAAGAATGATTAATACTGCCAGCTTCAACTTCACTAAAAGTATTACTTTTCTTGCTACTGACTGCAGACTATTTTGTATTGATCTTATCAGCCAAACGATAAACTTGCACACTGAAACGAAACATCTTTGCACTACAAAACAAAACTAAGTTTTTGGAATATATCAAGAAACAGGGTTATTTTTTCCAAAATCCTTATTATAAAGACAGAATAACTATCAACAAAAAACTTGGCACTCGGAAAAGAAACAATTGAAACATTAACCCTAAGAAACATTCATTTAAAATACTTAAAATTTCAAATAAGCTATTTTAGAATGAATTTAATATTTCTATGCACAGTGAATGCAGTGATATGCCTTTTCATTAAAGTTAAATGCCTTATTATAAAAAGTTTTACACTTTATTTTTTTGGTTAATTAGAAATTTTATAAAAAAGGTTTTTAAAAAAATAAAAAATGAACTAAATATATTTGGGTGGGAGAATTACTGATCACAGGAAAAAGGTTTTGAGGGCTGCATGAAAGCTGTGCACAGGTCTGACGATTCACACATTTATTGAGAAAAAATATTTGAGGAAATACTTTAGTAGCCTTAGATTCTGAGATTGCATACAACACCTGAGTTGGCAGTTCTGTAACAATTTTAAGTTAAATAAAAAGATTTTGAATGGAAAATCCAAATCATCAGATTCAAAAAATCAATTATTTTAAAATCTGTATTTATAGCTAAAAATCGGAATAAAGACAAGATAATCAGAAAAATCAGTACAACTACAAATCCTGCATTATTAATCAAATGCTTAACTTTCATGTCCAAAAATTTTCATAACAAAGCTTTTGTCCAATCAAAAGCAACACGATTTCTTAATTTTAGCACACCAAAAAAAAATGTGTAAGTGGTTTGGTTATACTAATACGTACCAATCCCTAGATGAGTATTGATGCTGGCATATCTAGCAGTTCCAGTAAGATTTTTGTTTTCCCTATAAGGGATATGCAGGTGTGTTCTGGAATCACGGTACTTTTTTGCAAGTCCAAAGTCTATTATATACACTAAATTACCTTTCTTCCCAAGTCCCATAAGAAAATTGTCTGGTTTTATGTCTCTATGAATAAAGTTCTTACTATGAATGTACTCTATTCTACTGATCTGGAAGGAAAAAAAGGCCTTAATTTAATAGCAGATTACATAAAATATATCATACATGTAGCATAAATTACACTAAATAGATTAAATAAAAATATTAATCGATAGAAAAACATGGTTTAATTAATTAATTGAAAGATCTACAACTCAAAGCCAACTAATTTTAAATTATCACAATATAAAACTTGAATCGATACACACATAAAGTCTGTTGCTGTAGTTTTATCTCTTCATTCTCAAGATATGTATTTTTAAAATTAAAATAACATTGATTCGTAATAGAGGCTGCATAAATATTAAACAAAAGTTAAGAAGAAATGGTGTTAATGATGTGCTTATTTTTTCTTATAACAGGTAAAGGTATGAGTAGTGCTAAGATTAAACACTTAAAACTGATTTCATTTTAATCATTAAATTAAGATTTTAAAAAAATCATGATACATTTTTTGATTAAATGAATTTTTTTTTAAAAAATCTCACATTTAAATTGAAGTTAACCTGTTACAAAATAATTGTAATATTTTGATCTTATGATAAATCAGGTTATAGTAAAACAGAGTATAATTGAAATACACATACACATGTACAAAAGAATACAACGAAAAGTATAGTATCAAACTAAACAACTCAAAACATATACCGATATAAAACTTTGATTTAATTTCAATGTTTAATTACATAAAAACCTAAACAAAAAGAAATTTATCAGTTTCACAAATTTATTACAAAACTATTTGCTAGATATGAAGTTATACTTACAAGTTGATCAGCTAAAAGTAATACTGTCTTAGAGCTAAACTTCCTATTACAAAAATTGAATAAATCCTCCAAACTTGGTCCCAGAAGCTCCATGACCATAACATTATAATCTCCCTCAGAACCACACCATTTTATAGCAGGTATACCAACTAAAAGTAATAATAACTACTTAAAGGAGAACACGAACTGTACTTTCAAAGAAACATAAAGAATTATCTTAATCTTAACAACAAGATCAACATAATGTAACTAGTTAAGTTGATCACCTACAAAAGTTGAATACTATTATCATGCACCTCTATTGGCTAAAACTGATAGGGTGACCCGGGGTAATTCACGATCACTCTGTTTCTGGGGTAAATAATAATGACCTAAGCTTTATTGAGAAAAAAAAAATTTAAATTTGAGACATAGACAAGAATGCTTGCACACTTTACTGAAGTATAACTACATTTACTTAATAGTTTTTTGTTTAATCCAACAAAATAAGTATTTTTTAAAATACTTTCTCTATTTTCCATTTCTAAGATGGGTATCAAAATGTGCACATTTCTGCAAAGATTCCCCTCCTTCTCTTAATAATAAATATTTTGAGTTACTTTCTTTTTCTTTGATATAAAAATAGTGTAAGCTTTTGTTTAATTGTATCACATCCGCTGTAAACATTATAATTGATTATAGGAAACTATATCAAATGCTGCCCCCTAGGTAATTATTGATCACTGGTGTAAATCCTGATCATTGTCTTTTCTTCTTATAAATAGTATAAAAAATAGCTAATAAATAGTCAATTGTCTTTTCTTGAATAACAGTTCATATTTATTAAGAGGAACAACTATAAAATATTTTTTAACTATAATCACAAAATTTGTTTTTAACTGTATACAAGACAAATGCATTCTGATATGCACCATTTCTAGCTTGTCTTACCTTTCCTCTATCTTAATTTTATGTGTGTACATTGTTAGAATAATTTTTAAGTTGATAAATTAACCTAATTAAATATGGTGAGAAATTATAAACCTAAAAAGGATACTAAGCTTCTAGAAAGCAAAAATAGCAAATATCTTTTAATGATTGAAAATAAAAATTTCAGTGTGAGAGCTGCTGCCAGAGCTGAAGTGTTAATCTTTATTCCTGCTTTTAAATAAAACGTTTTAATAGCTGCTTAAAAATATCTTTTTGGTTCATTTGTTTGATCTTTAAGTCTTATTAGTTAATTACCATCATATAATTATTTTTAAACAGCCCATTTACTATATAAACTGGTGATCAGTAATTACCCCAGAAATGATCAAGAGAAGGGGTAATTCCTGTTCACTAAAAATTTAAAATCTTTTAAATTCTAATTAGATTTTCAAACAAAAGAAGGTAGCATAGGACTCATCTAATATAGTCTCAAACTTCCATTAAATATTAAAATTCTATCTTGAATAGTTTTTTCACAAAATAGATGTTTGCATTTTTTGATCATGAATTACCCCAGGTCATCCTTCCACTTATTGTCTTATAAGTTGACCACCTGTCTCAGTAGTGATCAAATGGTACATTACAATTGATCAACTTATACAGGTTTTATTGTATTGATATCAATTCATAAACCAGTTATAGTAACTTACCACCACCTTGCATCATCTTATAAAATTTACTCTCTATGTGAAGTTGTGGATGCTTTGTTTTGACACATTCTAACTTAATTGCCACTTCTTCTGCTGTTGTGATGTTAGTACCTATAATTAAAAAAGTATTTAATTAAGAAAAATAAACAAATTGTGAGTTTAAACTAATTAGACATAAAAATCCTAAAGCCTTTGAATTTAGCATCTACAACCTAGATTTATGAAAATTTCAATCTTTATAATAATAAAAAACTAGCCAATCCACTAATGTTACCCTTTTATCAATAAAATTTGAACTTTCTTCTAAAAAATTTACCTCTCTACATAAATAAAATTTGAATGCTCTTATAAGAGAAATATAACCCACTTTATCAATAAAATTATCTAATGCATAACAAAGTAACATATAGAGCATTTAAATGAATCTTTAACTATAAGTATAACCTCAGGAAAAATATGAAATTTCTATTCTATGATGTTGTTTCATTATTCATAACCTAATTAGCTTATTGCCATAAATGTTACAAAATATATACAAAAATAACTAGTTTCAGTAATAAAAAAATAGGTATTTTAACAACAAACTTTATCAATAGAAATACCAAAAGTTATTTTAATTATTATTTGTTACAAAATGAATATAACCCTGTTAGAATACCCCTTATTTAAACTAGAAATGCATCTAATACATCTAGACTAATGTTTATTGAATTAAAATTTTGTTATAACTATATGACTACAAACAGGAGGTAATCGAGTCAAGAAAATAGATCTTACAGAAGAAAAAGAGAATGATCATTAAATACTAAGACTAGCCCAGATTCCCAGATGTCATTTAATTCAGGGCAAATTTGACATTTCTACATCTATCCCCTATTAAACTTATTCATTTGCATTAAACTTTCGAGTAATTTAGAAAAGAATCAACAAATAATTCGTGCGAAAATATATTTTACTAAAGAATTATGGATTGTGCGTCATTTCCATAACTATAAACAATGCGACGTTACATAACATATAACTTAAGACAATTATTTATACAGTGTGAAACTGTAATTAATAAAAGTATGTTTTAGAATACATTTCAGTGTAGTGGCAAAAAATGCTTTTCTTATTATTCTAGTGAAATAAGCCTAACTATTAGGCCATAAATAGAACAATCAACCTTGATTTACATAAAGAAAATAAGAATGACGGGAATATTTCGGATCATGAGGAACTTATATTTATTAAAAGAAATGTAAATTTTACAAAACATGCTTTACAAGCTTTTCTTTAACTTATATTCTACTTTTTGTGAAAATTGCTAATAACAATAACTTTTTATTCTTTGTTCATTATGACTACTCATTGAACTCACCCAAATAAATATCGCCAAAGGATCCACTTCCGATCTTGCGACCAAGACGGTACTTATTCCCTACACGTAATTCCATATTTACTGTTTAAAAACAATTATTTTCTTTTAATTTAAGTGATGGTAAAGCAGAGAATGAATTAGAATAGCATTCACTCTCAATATCCAGGGTGGGCAGTGTTCGCCATCTTGGAATTGGATATGCAGTTCAACAACAAAGCAAGATCGTCAGCTTCCGCTTTCTTTTCCTGGTACAACACCATGAAAATTCGGAAAAGAAGCAGTTATCTAGATTATATGAACTATTATTGTGAAGGATTCTTCATTACAATGGCTTCTTTGATTTCAATTAATTAGGATTAATTAGATTTTTTTTGTATATGATATTGACGACAAACATTACAGCAATTCTAGGTGGCGCATGCGCATAGTTTGTTGCAGGTGCCCGGATAAAAATAGAGAAAATTCTAAACAGATGATAATATGAAAAGAAATTTCTATGTTTAAAGGAATCGTTTCAAATATCCAACATTTTGATAGCATTTTCATTAAAAAATATGGAATATTCAGTTTAATTTCGATTTTAAACTAATTTCGATACAAAAACAATTGTGGGTTTGGATAATCGATACGTATCGATCATACAAAGTACTTTTTTGAAATAAATAATGTTAACTTCACATATTCTTTTAAAAAAATTATTTTATTCTTCCATAATGAAACATTATCTGTGTTAAAAACAAATTATTATAATTATTGAAGCCATTACGAAAAAATGAATAATAGCTCGTAAGAATGCATTGAATTGAACGAGGCGAAATGAAGAGAATATTTGTTTAGATTTGACTTGTTTTGTAATTTGTTAAATATCAAAAAAAATGTTACAGCCTTTAAAATATTTTCGTAAAATTTAATTTAGAGCATGGATTTCTATCACGGTGACTTTTTAACGCAATATAAAGCTATATCTGCAAAATTAAAAAAGTAGGGATTGATTTAGAATATCTTTCATGTTAATAGTGGAGCTTAATGCTAAATGCTAGTTATAATCATTATTATGCTCTTTTATCATATGATTTTTAATTTTTATTGAAAAATTTTTGTTTTAAGAAGAAAAAAAACATGTAGATGTTTACCCGGGGGTGGCTACTAGTTTTACTTTTCAAGTTGTTCCTTTTCAATGATGTTTTTTTTTTAAATCTCAAACTTTCTTACACATAAATATATTCGTTAACAAAAATGACTATCTGAAGGCCGAAATAATTGAATTACTTAATGTTTGAAGCATCTTGTTAAGTTGACTCAATTCCCCTTCAATTGTATCAAATATTGGTTAAGGCCAATTATAAATTCCAATGCAACTCATTACACCATATTGACTTTTGTGCTTTCTAAATATCAAAAATAAAAGATGTGTATATTTTTTAGACCGCTAAAGTAGTACTAACAAATAGCATTTTGAAAAAAGTTGGAGTTAAGACCTTTCAATTTATTAAGATAGTGAATGTAAATTTACTTTCTACTTTTAAAGTAAATTATGTTGAATATTTTTTTATGAATTCGTTGTTTATTTTTTTGGTTTCTGTTGAAAAGATAGTATGTAAATAATTTTAATTAGTATAAAAGCGTTATTACTTGATTCTTTTGTAAAAAAAATTTTACTGTTAATAATTAACTTTTTGATGCTCTCAATTTATACCAATAATATCAAATCGATGTATTATATTTTCGCAGTTATTGATATTGATTTTCATCTGGATATCTCGATGTATTTCAAATAATATGGAATATTTGAGTATTTACTTTTTAAAACAATGATTATATCGAATTTTCATCAGTTATTGCTATTGATTTCTCTATAGTTTTCAAATCTGATATTTTTTATACAATATTATTTATTACAGCAATGTAATCTTGCAATGAAACAAATACTTTTACGGCAGTTACTATTATGGATTTCATGATTTATAATTATTTTCTTTATTGTGATGATTATTTACAAAATGTGAAAAAGGAAATAATTTATTTGTCCCCTCTGCATTAATATGTGAGAATATCACCCATAATATTTGAATAAGAAATTATTAAATGTTTAATTAATTAAAATTATATATAGTTTTTTTATTTATTTATTTTTGTAAGCTTTTGTTATTTTGAATCAGTAACATATATGTTTGTTATTATTAAAAGTATCTTACCGAAAGATATTAGTACTAAAAGGTTTTGTTGCAGACTGCTCGAAAAAATTCTGCCACGGGGCTAATTCATATTTCCGCTTCAGAAAAGAAATAATTTGAATAAAAGTCCCTAGGTCAGAGAAGCTAAATAGAATTGGCATATCATGACATCAAATAAATGATGTTTAGCCTAATACATAATTTGATACAATAATGTTTTTTGGGTTAAAAAAAAAAAAAAAGAAAGAAAAAAAAAAAACTAAATGAAAGCTGACATTTCATATCCTCAAATTAATTGTGAGCAGCATTTGAAACTAGAGTATATTTTTTTAAATATTAAATGAAATTGAAAAGTAGACATTAATTTTTGTTCTTCAACAGTTACAATAAGATCTGACTGCTTAATGCGAAGGGGAATGAAATATTAGGGCCACAATTAGTAGTTACAAATTTAAATAAATTTTAGTAATTATGTTATCATGTTGAATGTACTAGAAAGTGTAGAGGAAACGCTAATAATAAATTATGATTTCCCAATGTTGGCTATAGATAGATTTTTAAAAAAACAGTCCACGCATTGAACACTAAAAGAACTACATTACGGAAATAGCCTGATAATATTCTCTTGCACTGATTGTCTTCCACCAGAAAAATGAATCACAGATGAGACACATATAATATCAACTTCTCTGTTTTATGTAATTTTAATATTTTATGGCATTATAGTATATAAATTCAAATATTTTTTTTTCTGAAAACAAAAAAATAAAAAAAAAATTTAAAAACTTTGCTGTAAACTGTTAAAAATTTGCAAGAGGGCCCGTAACTCAATATATATATGTGTACTATGTGCATATATAAATAAAGAAAACAGGAGAAAAAATCTATATATATATATATATTTTTAAAAAAAACTATTAAGAAAAACTGTTATTATAAAAAAAAGGAAAACTATTAATAAATAAAATGTTTTTATATATTAAAAAAAATTTTTAAAAATTTTAAAAGCCAGAAAACAAAATAAGGAAGAGATATAATCTCTCGTCAACTCACATGATTATATCCGCATGAAGGGGCTTTTGCAGATAAAATCGTGTGAGCTGATGACGAGATTATATATTTGCCTTATTCTGTTTTTGCTGTCTTTTTAATTTTTCTTTAAATTTTTGTATTTTGAAAACATTTTATTTATTAATTATTTTTCTTCTTCTCTATAATATATTTTTTCCTTGTTTTCTTATTTTTAGGATTTAGAAATAAATAAATGAAGTGGAAGAAGCAGATAAGTGTTATTTTTAGAGGCATTTGTTAATCAGAGAAAATAGTATGAAGTGGTCTCACCAATATATTGTTTCCACTTTAAATTTAACATAACTAAACCGCATTAGTTTTAAGTATGCTGGCATGATTTTTTATTTCAAATTACTAAGTCGTAAATGAAAAAAGGCAAATAATTAATAGCTTTGCTTTCTAAAATATCTATAATAAAATATTTTAGATACTCCTTTTTTTCATCTTATCCTGATCAAGTCAAGTTTTTTTCTTCTTAACTCTGTAGTTGCATTTTCAGCTGGCAGTAGATCAGCAATTATGGTATTTTTTACAACAGTTGATAACTCTTGAACTAATAATTAAATTTTAATTATTTTATCCCATCGTACTCCTTGTACATTTTTATAGGCATTTTCCTTAGTTTATAAGTCTTAACACACAAGCTTATAATACTTTTCAACAAATTAAAATTTCAAAGTTCATTAACAAAAATGGCAAAATTTCAAGTTTACAATTGCATTCCTGTGGCCTGCACAGCATTGCACATTTTACTTTTTGCTTCAAATTCAACAGTTAATAATTTTGAACTAATAATCTAACGTTGATTTTCTTTCAATCCCTCATACTTCATATAGTACATTTTTCTACACACGTACTGAAATTTGAAATTTCTAAGTCTTATACTTTCAGCGCAGCAAACAAAGTTGAACACTCAAAACTGCAGCGGCAAGCACGATCAAATGCTTTATTGAGTAAAATTATTTTATTTTTAATACTTACAAACCCATAAGGGCCGCACTACCTTCAATAGCTTAGGATACCGCTGTGCTTAATTCTGGTCGTTGACAAATGTTTACTATTTAAACATTTTCTACTGTGGCACACTCTGCCCCATATTATAATTAGTGCAAACAGAATCTACTTTGTCAATAGCTGACGGAGAATTAAGATTAATTTCAGTATCAAAATGCATTATTGTTTTTCCTTGATGCAAGTGTTTGATCAGTCCTAGTCAACTCAAATATAACTCTTTTCTAACTTTGAAATTCTTTGTTATGTCTATCAATAGAATATTAATATGCATATTAATAGATGGATGGAGAAGTTGAGAATTCATATTTTAAATAGGTACCTGCTTGTAGTAAAAGGGGACCTTGAAATCCATAGTTTCCTAAGTCTTGCAGAATTGCTGAATAAATTTCAAAACCTGTAAATTTAACCCTGCTTACATGACTGCCACTTTTAGTTTGCCAAATAAAGGTAAAAAAATCTGGGTGTACAAACATTTATCAAAAAATGCCAGAGAGTTTGCAAAACATTGCATATCTCCATGCAACATGATTTTTTTTTCTCGATCTATTGCAGAATTAGAAGGTTCAAGGTATTTCGAGCAAATTTAGTCATGTTCACAACCAACTGTAGCTTGTATCAGCTTCTCTTGTAAGCATGTGCAATTTATTTATCTCAAGATGACCCTCACCATATGAAGAAATGCATGTGGAAACAGGAAATAAAATTAGTTAGTTTTTTATGGTAAAGGGTTAAACAGTGAGTGAAATTTAAGTTGCACACAGTATATTTTGACCTATATATAGAATGAAATTAGATTTTTTCCTTTTAAATTAAGGTATGAAGACTTATTCCAATATTAAATCAGTTTAAATGTAATGTATATTTTTAAATTATTTTTTTTTCTAATTATAATAAATTTTATTTAATCATGTTTAAAATTTCAGACGCTTCCTACGAAAACCTAATGTTGCTGAAGCAAGCTCCCAATTTGGTAAATATTTCCAGTTTTACTTTTTAATTTTTTTAAACTTTGTGGTCTGTATTCTATTTTAATAATCATCTTTTATATTTTGATGTAGCTTCATTAGCTAAAGAACTAGAAAATCAAGAATGTCCCCATTATGCTGCATTTTGTTGTCTTGCAGTTGCCAGGTGATTATTTAAAATAACTATTATGTATTATCAGCTGTGAAATAAATTAAAGGGTTTTATATTGTTATAAGTTTTTGGTAATTTATCACACCCTACCTTCCCTACGATGCCAATCAGTATATTTCTCTCGCATTTACTTTAAATAATATCTAATTATTAGAGACTGATAAATATTTTTTTCTCTTTTCCACATTTTTGAATTTTTTATCTCTTCATGATTTTAATTATATTTATGGATTAAAACAGTTAAATTTTGAGGCTTTTTAATATTTTACTATACTAATCATTAACTTTTTATTACTCCTCTTTTTTCTTTTTTTAAAGAGAAAAATGGGAATAGTGAAAATAATCCAATTTCATAGAGGAAAATAAAAAAAGGCTTCAGGGCTGTAATAAATTGTGTGTGATCTATTTTTATTTTCTACATTTAGCATAAATGTTTCGTTTTTTTTTTTAAAGAAAAAATAACTATTTTTATTAAAATTTCGAGAAAAAAGTTTTTTTTTTGTTACTGCAAGTTTAATTGAAATAAAATTTCATTAAAATATATTCTTTTATTGCCCAAAAGACCTGTTATTTTTCTGTGCTCGTAAAATCTGTTGGTCACACAGGCAGAGAAAAAAATACTATTAGTTTCGGGGAAGGTGCCACATGTTCTTTGCTAAATCTTCAATACAAAGCGTGGAAATATGCTCTCTAGAAAAATTAAAAGTATTTCTGCATATCAGCATATAAAAAATTTTTGATACTTAAATTGTCCTTCTAGGAAAGTAGATAGTTATAGTTCTGCACAAAACATAAATTGTTCTGCAGGAGCTTGATCTTTCTGTGACGTTCTTCATAATGGAGCCCTTTCTACTTTAGGGAAATTAACTTAATGTTATATTTTCTTGTACAATTGCCATGGTGTGAATTGCTATTTTTAAATCCTCTATATAAAACTACTGAATAAGAAGAGGGAAAACATTTTCATGGTTTGAAATCATAAAAGTGTCTATAGAGGAAATTTATGAATATGAGAAGATTTTGCAACCTTAGTTAAATGTTGATAAGCTTGTAAAATAAAAACAAACGTTCATGGCAAAAAAATATTGATTTTAAAAGTCTCATCTCGTTTATTACTTTTTTCTTATGTAGTTTATTTGAGGATTTAAATAATTTCTGTGTTTTTCTCTCAATTGGAAGAAATTTACTTTTTGTAAATGTAAGAATGTTAAAAATTGGGTTTTTAGTGATTTTTTTACAACTGTGCAAACACTTGCATTAAGGAAAAATGGAAGAAAAATTATTTTCGGAATAAATTGTTGCATAATGCTCTAATGGGTGTTGAAGTAACATTGTATATAAGGAATGGTGAGTGGTATTTAATTTAATTTAGTATTAAAATTACAGGGTGGAATAATCTGAAAAATATGTACGAAGTGTCAAGCAGATAACTTACTGATTTCAAAATAAAAAATCTCAATAACATAAGATAATAAAAAGAATGAAACAAATTATATAGTTATTGTGAAAACTGCAACAAACAAAAAATAGTTATACAGAAATTTTGGAATCTATTTACAAAAGTTACCAACAGATGATGCTACAAACATTAATGGCCAGAGCTATCAGTTCTGGTATTGAAATGTGAAATCAGGTTGTTGTGCCAGATTAGAAGATTTAAACCATGTATTCAGTTGAACTTACAGGTTAGATTGCTGTCCTATGGCATTAGTATTATATTAAAAACTCTGTACAGTATACAGCACCATCTGTTGGCAGTCTCACAACTAAATTCCTACATTTCTGTATAAAAGTTTTACAACTTTCACAATAAACAAACGGTTTGCTTCATTCAGCTAATCATCCTTTGTTTCCAAGATTTTTAATTTCAAAATTAGCTATTCCTCTGCTAAATATCCTTTATATGTCTTTGTCCTTAATCTTTTTTATTTTTTAAGAAGATATTTAATATTTAATTAAAAATTATGCCTTCAATCTTAATTTGAAATTTAAATCAGGAGCTTAGTTTTTAATTTCAGTTAGTAGATTTTATTGCTTCTTAAATTCATCGAAATAAAAAATTATATCTTTTTACAGATGTGAACGTAGTGTTGGAAACTCAATAAATGAGTCTGAAAATTTGCTGCATGCAGCTCGATTATTCTTGGAGTATGAAACTCTGAGTCATGAACTGGAATGTCCTAGTCATAGTGAACACCTTCAAGCAGCCATTCATGCTTATCGTGAATGCATCAAAGTTTATTTAGAGAGTGACCAAACAGCTTTAGCTGCTGTTCTTTGTCTTGAAGTTGGCCAGGCTCTTAGACACTTGGGAAGAGTTAGTGAATCGATTCCATTTTTCATGTCAGCTGCTAAGCTTCATCGAAATGTAAACAAGTATTTTGTGTGATTATATATTGTATCATTTGTACTTAATTACCAAGTTTAAATCTGTAAATGTTTTTCAAATGATGGAAATAAGGGATGGTTAGTTTCTTCCGCTGGGAAAAAAACAACCTTGAAAGAAATATGGTTTCTTTTAAAAAAAATTATAATAATAAAACTGCAAAACAATTTTTAAACAGTGTATAATCGCCATTTTTATCTAGTTTTAATAATAGTGTTAATTTCCAGGCTATTTATTTCATTGCACTAGATATTAAAAACATAATTAATATTTAAAATCACTGAAAATGCAATGTTATTTGTATAACTGATATTAATGAATATTTAACCAAATGAGACAAATATTAACAAGTTGCCTAATATTACAAAATGAAATAATTGTAATAATAATCGGAATTAAACTTGCAAACACAAATAATCCCACCTTGGAGAAATTGTTAGCTATAATATGTATTAATTATCTTTCAAGCAATCTATGTAGTCAACTAAAAATCTAGATTTATCTAGATTTAGGTAAATAAAAATTTATTAATATAATTGAGGGTATATAAGTTTTAAAATCCCTTACAAAACTAAAATGATATGAAACCAATGATTTTTAAAAAATGCAAAACATTTTTAAATTTCTTGTGCAATATCAACTTTTATTTGCTTCATTTTAAGTTATTCTTAAAATTCTTATTCAAACAATAGTTTTTCTGTTTACTTTTATAATATATAGAATCACAACATATTAAATTTTAGTGCAATGTATTAAGACTCTTAGTGAGCCACAAAGTTGATGTCTGTTAATGCTTAGTTAATAACAAAGAAATGAAATAAAAATTTATATTTATAATGCACTATATATATATTTTTACTTGACCAATTTGTTAGGAGTTATCAAATTAATGCATTCTTTATCCATATCAGCTGATTAACTCTGATAATTTTTCTAAGTTACCAGATTTATAAGGCTTGAAGCAATAAAGTGACAAGCCCCACTTTCTCTAAATATTGCACTTCTTTTTTTCAAACTGTTATTACAAATCTCAAGAATTTCTACTAACTTGGCAACACCATTATATGTTTTATCTTACATAAACATTTTATCTTATTGTCTATATCAAAGTCATAGTGTTTATCACTGAAATTGCTTTTTAAAAATTCTCTTGGGACCAATTTAAAAATGCTGCCTATTGTTATATTCTCATCAATTGTAAAATCATTAGTTTACTAAGGATAAGAATTTATTATAAATTGTTGTTTTTTAATAATGCATTCTTTCTTCCAAGTTTCATGTTAGCAAATATTTTGTAATTAGTATTTGCCTTCTATGAATCATGTTGTGTTACGATTTTCCATACCACCCTATTAAGTTTAATTTAAAGGTAATACATTTTAAAAATATGTTGAGAATAAGGAAAAAAAACTATATACATAACATTGGTGGAGTATTCTTCAAAAACCATTTAATTGAGTTACCAATAACCTAGTTAATGAAAGTAATTAAATATATTTCTTTACTCATATCAGCTACTGATAGCAATAATTTTATTGTGCAATGTTTAAATTGTAAAAGACTAGCTAACATGTTAAATAAATTTATTCATGAAAGAATAAATTGTATGACTTGTAATAATTAATTTATTACTCATTTCATAATAGTTGGATCAAGATGTAAGTAAGTCATGTGCTCTTACCAAGTTTAATTTTGTGGATGGTAATTGCACTAGATGTTAATTATTTGCTTAAAAAATATTTTTTTGTATTTTGACTGAAATATTTTAAAAGTGATGAACTTAAATCCTTTTATTAAAATCTAAAATATTACTTCTTAAACCCTTTTGGTCAGCAAATATTCTTTAAAATATAACTAGTTTGTAATATTTTTAGTGATTGACTTTTAGTAAAATATTTATTTTAGTAATTTAAATTGAATGGTTTGACGAAGTGACCTCAAATATGCTAATTAGTTAGTACACACAGTATTGTAAGTTGCAAAATTAGACACAAAAACTTACTTTCCGCAAATAAACATGCCTTTATTTTCAAATGATTTGGATTCCTCAAAATATAAGAGGTAGTCACAATCTGATAATTATGGTCCCAATAATTTGATCAGGAGAGTGATCGAAAACTTGGACCGTTCAATGTAAATTTCACTTTTTGTGTACTTAAAAAGTTTAACTTAATTTTGTGTGCAAAAGGTTAACTTAATTTTGTGTACTTAAACAATTAACTTAAAAAGTTCTTAGTATGTGGCAAACCACATACTAAGAACTTTTTAAGTTAATCGTAATATTTATTTTTTGAATTATTAAATATTATTTTTTTCATAATATTATATTTGGATAATCAAATATTATAACTGTTTGCAAAATATTTTCACTTACAATTTAGCATTAAGGGGTTTAATCTTTTAATCACTCGCCTGACTATACTATTGGCACCATATATCCAAGATTACAGCTCCCCCTTATATTTTGAGGGTCAGGAATCCAAATCTGTTGAGAGAAAAAAAATTATTATTCAGATAAGGTATATTTTTGTGGTCTGAGTTTGTAATTTTAAATATCATCTGCATTAGTTGGCAATAATTGTGGTCACCTCCTCAAGCCATTTAGATTAAGTCGTAACAATCTCTAGTTCAAATGTTATTCCGGGTGGCTTTTTTTACCATACATAAAGGTTACTTTTATTTGATACTTGTTTCTCAATGACATTTGTTTTATGCTAGATTATTCTTTAATGTGTATTCAAGTGAGAGAGAGAGTTCAACATTTTTCTGCCTCTCAAAGTATGCTTGTATCTTCAAAAACGATTTTTATAATTTTAAAATAATTTTTCTGAATATTAATTATATATTTTCTATTTAACTTTGCTTTACTTTTATTCATACTTTCTTTACAGTGTTCTTTAGATTATATTAATGATATGAAACAGATTGTGCAATGCCGCTCAAAACTAGGTTTGTAATTTTGAATTTAGTTCTGTTTGTTTTAAAATTGGTGTTGTTACTAAAAATTCTATCAAGAGATAAACCTAGCTAGCTTGGTTTGTGGGCATGTAATACTATGTCACCATCATCAGCATTGGCATGACAGCCCTTTGTGAGCCTGGGCCTTCCTCAGAAGCTTTTCCCATTCTGCCCTTCTCCCAGCAATTGTTTTCCAGTTCTTTACTTTTAGGATGGCAAAATCCTCATCTACACAGTCCTTCCATCTCTTTTTGGGCCTTCCTCTTGGCCTTTTAATACTATGTCACCATGTGACCATTTTCTAAAACCAGTTACATATATAATATATTTCTCTTGATAATTTATTTTTTTACTTATATTACTTATCTGTATTTGACTTCATTAATCTTTTTATTAAATTCTTCTTTGGATTAAAAAAAAGTTGTATTATTAATATTAAAAATAATTATTTATATTTGAACAAGATAAAGTGAAATTAAAATAAAAATGTTGAGGATGTGTAATATTCAAAATTATTATGAAGTATAGCTGTTTTTGCACAGAAACACATACCAAAATATTAAAACAAAACAACAAAAATTCAACCTTTTATACTCAATTTATGCATATTGTTTGCTGGTTTTCAGAACTACTGATAATGCTGTATAATAGATTTAAACTTTTTTTCTGCCCCTTTAAATGGAACAGTAATTCATTATAAACGAAAAGTGCCTTATTCTTATATCAAAGCAAAACTGAGCAACAATCAATAAACCTTTTATTTAGGAGAAAGTTGCCAAACTTCTAATTCTTGAATAGATCACTTTGTAATATATTTAGAGTGGTAATGTGATTAAAGTTTTAGCCACTTAAGTTGCCATGATCTCCAAGTTGACTACAGTCCCACTGTAAATGAGAGCACCTTTTCTTTGCCTGTATTTGTTATTTACTGGGTGCTGTTAAAATACAAAAAGATACCAAGCTAAGATATAGATTTTGATGACAATAGTATTTGGTAAACAAAAAATGATTACAGATTGATTCATTTCATCTAAAAACAAACAAGAAATGCAATTTTAATCTAAAGGAAATTTTTTATGTTATACAGTATAATTATGTCACAATATTTAGTGTCAAATTTTAGTTTAATTTAAACTGTTAATTTTCAGACTGATAATTTGAGTATTTCTATAAAAACAAGAAGCAAGCAGAATTTTTTAAAATATCAGAAATATTGTTTCAGATTTTGCTAATAACTAAATTCACAAACTGTGAAGAAAAGTTTGTCTAAAAATGAAGGACCTAGTTTTTAGAAGCTTTCCATACTCTCAATTAGAATCTGTTGAAATTTCAAAAATCAATAGTAAACACTGTTATTTTATTTATTTATTTTTTTCTGATACATTTCTGAAATTTACAATATGAATAAATTGATCTTTTTAATTTTGATATTTGAATAGTATTTAGTATTATATGTATCTTTAAATTTTTTCTCTGGTAAGCAAGTTTGTTGATATTTTTTTTCTCAGGAGATTTCCATGGTGCACTGAATGCTTGGACTGAAATTCAGGTTATTGCTGAACGAAAATGTAAGTTTCATTGATTCCCTTTTTAACTTATGTTTCAATTTTACTAATGAAAAATATTTATCACTATTTTCTTTTCTGTATCTATTTCAATATTTCTGTCTAATATAATGAAAAAAATTTATTAATCTTTTTTAATTCTGCATTTTTATGATATGAATAACAACAAAAAGGGGGGAAATTCTTTTTACTTCTTTGGGGGGAGTGGGGTGAAACCAGGTACCTGAAAACAGAGTATCCTGGTACCGCTTCCTGGTAAGAAAAAAAATTACATAATCATCGTGTGTTGCTGTTGCTGAGTACATGGTATCTGTGTAGATAACTTTGTTTTACTGTATCATTTTAATGTTTTTTTTTATTTTACTGTGTCAACTCTCTAATGTTCTTTCATTTTTAAACTATCAAATTCAATTATTTATTGCTCATTACAGTTATAAAATATCTTTTTACCCTAGCTTATTATATGTTTACTGATATCAATATGTATATAATAATCCTAACAAACAGTATGCAGAAGTGATTGTGATCTGGATTTCTGGATTTTCCCCTAACTGCGCTCCAGAAGTTTCCAGAAATCGATCACATTTATGTATAAAAATTCTTGTATATTTTATTTAAAAATATTAGAACTAGAATTTATACTTGGCATCTTTCATTTGTAAATATTTTTTCTGGTAGAATAATAAATGTGATTAGAGATAGATATAAACTTATACATAATTATTATTCATTTAAATTATGCAGTATATAATTTATTTAGAATTCACTGTTTTGAAAATATCAGTGATTTAAATTTATAAAGACATTATGTGTCTTTAATGATTTTACTCAGGAAATTTTTCGGATTTCTGAGTTGGACTCACAATCACCCCTCAATAAGGGTTCAGTGCACTTCTGTTTCGCTTTGTTAACCTCTGTTCTTGGTGTGAGACAAGGTATTACTTTCATCATATAAAGCTGATGAGTAATATCAGGGATATATATTTTCCCTAATATGTTGAACAGCTGCAGTGTTCTGTTCTACACCCGTCCATCAGATGTAATTGCTGAAAAATAAAGCCCCTAGATTGTTTAGCCATAATGCTGTGATTGTGAGCAGCGATTCCGAAGGTAGGAATTGTACTAAACTATCTAAACAACTGAAGCTTGGTTAAAGTCTGAAAGTCCTGTCAAACCCTCTGCCGTCATTCGCGTCACTGCACTACTTGGATAATGTCATGCTTGTTTTAATAGTGGTTACAGCAACAATGACATGTATGCTGAATGTGCTATGGAAGTTGATGGACCGCCAGAGTGTGTTGAAAGAACTGTTAATTAGGATTGCTATACTTCCTGGAAAATCAGAAAAATTTATGAAATCAGGAAATTTGGAAATTGTCCTAAAAATTAGGGAAATTTAAATTTTTCAGCCAAATCTTGAAAAGTCAGGAAGTATGATATGGCGAACACCGAGCATGCAATGTTTGCTCCAACAAATGTTGGTCCAATGTTTGCACCAACATTTCTCAAAAAACAAATTTCCTGTGCAGAAGCTTCTTTTTTCACGTTTGACATTAATTAAAATAAAATATGTAATATGATTTATAAATGGCAAATATAAATTTTTAGTGGTTCACAACTCTGTCAGTGTATTTTGCAACAATAGTTTAAAATTTTTTAAATATGTATCTGGAAAAGTCAGGGAATTTTATTTATCCAATTGAGTACAAATCTTGATTAGTGTCATTGAGTTTAAAACGAGTTGTGTAAATGAACTTTTAGTGCTATTGAGGATAACGCTCACCTGCATTTATGTTATCCTCTCTCCCTGTTTTTCTATTACCTTTATAAAGAAAAAGAAGTACATCAATGACTTTTCAGGAATGATGTTTTTTATTCAACTAAACAATAAATATTTTGAATAGATCCAGTTTCTGTATAGAATAGTTTAGCTCCAACTTGCCTTCATCTTAGCTACCCAGTCTTACCCCACTTTTTCCTACTTTGTTACTACATTCACTTGGTTATCGCAAAAGGAGTAAACATGCTGTTTTATTGCTTTTTTTGCGCCTAGATTTTTGCAACATTTGTGCCTTACCTTTTGTACATAATGTTTATTTCTCTTTTCGTTACTACTTTTAACATTAAAAGTCTAGGCTTTATTTTAGGGGCTCTTGTACTTTAATTATTTTCTGAAAAGAATTAATAAATGAAAATAGGAATGAAGTGCTGACTAAAAAAAACAGAAAACATATATTATTTTGAAAATGTAAACAATAAGTTTTGAGAATGACAACTATAACAAATGCCTTAAGCTTTGATGATAAAATAAATTAAAAATACCATTTCAATTTTCCCCCACTTGCACCATGTTTACTTAACTTTATGCTCCTAACCATTCATAAAATATCTCAATTATATTATGAATATATAATCTATGGTTTATATATATTTTTTATTGTATTGTTAACTTAGAAAATTTTATCTTTTCAATTTCAAATATGGAACTTCATTTTATTCTTTATAAATAATTTTTGGATACTAGAAAAAAAAAATTTGTTAATGCGAGATATTTATAATCCTATTTTATTAAAGTAAACCTTTTTTTTCATTAACAGGTTTCAATGATAATGGAGATCGTATTGGAGCATATGCAAAAATTTTAAACGAAGCTGAAGTTACCAGGCTTTTATTACTTTTGTTGTTACAGGTAATATTCATAAGCTTTATTTGTTGTGATAGCCTACAATGTTGTACTAAAATAAAAATACTTTAAATTGCAACTGTCCTTTTTTATGGTATTGTTTATTTTTGTATTTATATGTACACAGAGCATGAAATTTCTACTTTCCATGCATGAATAAATATTTAAGACTGTTTAGGTCGTATTTCATCTTTTTAATTGTAACTTAAAAGTTTTAGATTGAAAGTAGATACAATGAAATTATCATTCCTTAAACTAGTGGCATATAAAAGGTATTTAAATCAAGCAACAACATTTTACATCTATTTTGAACAAAAAATGCTAAATCAGCTACTTTTCACCTATTAAACCATTGTTTCTGGTAACATTGAAACCTTGTTTTGATTTTCTATTATTATCACAGTAAATATGTTTTGATTTTTCAATTTTACTTTCTTTTATGGTTCCAGTCACCGAAAAGTTCTTTAAAATTAATCTGCTAAAATTTTAAAAAAATTTTGTATTTTTCATGAAAGTAAAATAAAGGCGAGCAAATATTTTTGTTTGGCTTGCCTGTATATGTGCAGTATATTTCATGTCCCTTTTATATTGGTTTCATAACAATGCAGTATTTTTCAACTAAATGCATCAGTTGCTGAAAGGTAATATCGAAAGTAATACTGAAATGAAATAATTAATGTATTTTACATTTGGATAAAGAAAACTCAACTTCACTTTTGCAGTTTAGAAATTTTTGTCATAACTGATTGGGTTGTTATTTTATGCCATTGTTAATATTATCATGTAATTGTGTTATTGTATGCCATGTAATATTATACAGAATAAGTGCCACCTTTTTACTTTTTAAAACTTGACTACTTATTGGTACAGATTGAAAATAAGGCAAAACATTTACATCATTGCAAAAAGCCATAGTTAGTTAAAGATTTTAGAGATTCTCTTATAAAATTTGTTGACTTTGAAATATTGTGTTCAAGTTGAAATATTCTATACAAAAAAAAAAATTATTATTCCTTTCTAAATTTATTGCTGAATATTAATAGGTAAAATAAAGGGTTGTTACGGATAAAAAGAAAATATCTTTAAGCTGAAATTAAAAATGAAATTAAAACTACTTTTAATGAGAATATACTTTTACCTTCACCTCATTGGAATAATGTAATTTTTTACTAATATTAAGTTTGCTATTATGAATCATAAAATTACCAAAAATATTAATGATGTCTATTCTTTGTTATCAGTATTGGAGAAAAAATTTATTAATCTATTTACAATTTGTAAACCTATTTAGTGTTTTACTGAGTTTGAAAACACAAAGAATAAGTTGCTTCTACAAAACATTTCATTTTTTCCTACCATAAAATAAATTTATTGAAACATGTGATAGTTTTATTGTTTTCAAAATTTAGAATTGCTTAGGAACTTTGATTTAATGTTTTATTTAAAAAATAAAAACAAGAATTAAAAAAAAGAAAATTTAAGTCAAAAAATTTATTTTTCAAATATATGGAACTAAAGCATTTACCACAAAATGCCTATAACATTCTCCTGTTCATAGTCTAGCTCTGGTATAGTTTTTTCCTCTCTTTCTGTAGATTTTTTTTGAGGGCTTGTTTTCTATTAAATAATTAAATTATTCATGTGGAGAAAAACTCATTTTACAAAAACAATGTTTATGATATTAAAATTAAGGCACAATAAAATATACATTAGTTTTAGATTTCCAAAAATATTAGTCTTAAGGTGACCTTTGCTCAGTATTCACTTTCCTCCCCCTCTTCGCACTTTTGTGGGAAACAAAACCATCTTCAAACCTTTCTACAAATGCATTGATTCAGTTTTTAATGCAAATTTATAAATCACTTTGTTTTGTGTACTATTTTAATTTTAATTTTTTCTCATCCTTTTTATACATGTTTTTTATTTTTTATATTATTTTTTTTCTTTTCTAAATTTTACATGCCCTTTTAGTATGTATTTCTGTTTTTAAATCCTACATTGTTTGCTACAATACTTACGTCTGTAAGCCTCGTGTTGTACTTTTCAGTGGTGCACGAGGGATCATTTTATTCTTGAAATAATAATAAAAAATAAAAATAAAAAAAGGTGATCTCATTTCTGGAATGCGAAAGAACTCTTTTCAAAATTAATTTTTTTTTAAAATTATTCTATATAATTTATATTTGCTATTTCTTAATGTCAATTTTTTTTTTATAACTTATTTGTTTCGACATGTTATTCTTAATGTGATCTCATGAAATAACAATTATATTGAAAGCATTCGTAGAAGTTATTAAATAAAGATTAGGCTTAATTTCCAGTTCATACTAAATCAATGAAATTTCATTATTCACTAAAACTATCATTATTAACAAACAGTTTATTTATCAACAAAAGCAAAGTGTTTCATTTCACAATTCTACTTCTATTAACTCACTTAAGAATTTCTTGTGTGAAACTTATTCTGATGAGTCTTTCAATAAATAAAATTAAATAACTTTCTTTTTTTTCTTTTTTTTAATTCTTTGCATAGTTATTTAAGTCTAAAAAAACTTTAGCATTCATATAGGTTACAGATATGATTCTTCATTTTGGTTGAAATAAATTTGGTAAACCAAGATAAATAGATTTTTTAATTACGGGATATTTTGTTATGAGCTAGTATAATACACTTGCTTCAAATAAAATAAAGAAACTCAATCCAGAAATATATTTTAATCCCTACAAAAGGGAAGTTTGAAAATGTGTCTTCCCTCAGCTAGGGTGAATTCAATCAGATTGGAAATAAGCTTAGTCGAGAAATTAGCATTTCAAGTAATTGGTGACTCCTATTTACATTTATAATGCCAATTAATTGAAAAATTAGCGTTCTTTTTACATAAGTGTTTTTTATAATTTGTATTCTTGTAAATGTGTTGTCAATACAACTATGAAAAGACAATTTTGAAAAATCACTGCAACTGGAAAGAGAACACTAGAACATGGCAAACAAAAAACTCCTCTACGCTCACGTCTTGAAAGTAGGCATCTGTCTTTGAGCGTGTGAAACATGTCGACTGTTATTTCCAGTTTGTATATTTTTGAAGCGAATGTAGTTTTTAATCAAGTAATAATTGCTTTATAGTTTGATCATGTTCAGGTTACCAAATAATCAAGTAATTATTTAATTACTTCTCCATCTGTTTATATGCATTTTTGTATTTATATTTAACAAATGTACCAAAATATTTTTTAAAAATTTAAATTTTATTTTAATCATTAAAATACTTGTTTTTTTTTACAGCCCCCTTCATACAAAATGAATCCCGAACATACTAAATTGTTAGAACGATATTCTGATATAGATACTGAACCAGGTAAGATAACTTATAATTCTCTGGATTTCTATAATATTTATGTAAAACCTTTTATGTTTTCTAGCCGGGGAGTCGCAAATATTGATGATTGAGGTTCTATAATCACAAATTAAACTACTTTTGGAAAGGAATTGGGTGCTTTTAGGGATCTTTCACAAAATTCTGATTGCTAAACAACGAGAATCATTCACAAAAATCTTAGCATTTAAAAAAGGTTCTTCGTTTAGGCTTAGCAAAATTCTAAATTCTTATGCAAATGCACTTATCTTAAAGTATATATTTTATAGAAATTAAACATTAGTTTTTTATAAAAAATTTCATGAAATGCTAAATATTTTTTCACGAAACTCTAAAGGCAAGGCCCATATAAAAATTCCTGAATCGACCTCTGATTATGCAGAGTAAAAGAATACTGTTTGCTGATCAACTCCGACTAACAATAATACCTTAAAAAAATGTGTTGCAAACACATCAAGTTCTTTGTGAATTTATTTTCTTGGTTCATTCTTTCACCTGTTACTTTGACTTTTCAAATGTTTATTTGTATTGGGTTTATATGTTTATTCATTTTCATATAACTTGTTATTTTATTCTATGTTAAAATGCATGTGAAAGTTGAAAATATCTGAAAAGTTTGATTCTCCCTGTGTGTTACTGTTATTTGAACCATCTTATAACAATCTATTATAATTACAAAAAAACTTTAATAAAGAAGGAATTTAGCACGAATCTTAAGCACAGCAACTTTGGTATAAAATATGGCTTATCATCATATTACCCCAACCCTTTTACGTGCAATTACATTTTAAAAGTTATGTATAGAAGAGGTTTTTTTTATAAATTCATATTAGTTAACTTTTTTTTATTATCAACATTGATAACTAAAATAAAATATTTTATTTTTACATTGTTTTAACTTTATTAATCCTAATAATAAATGTCATTTTTTCACATGTCTGTGAAGCTGAAATAGATTTTATTTTTCAGTTGATTATATTGATGAAGATCTTTTCTATACTCTACAATCCTTAATGGTAAGTTAGTTTTACTTCAACTAAATCAAATAAATTTAAGTCATTGATAATTTTTTTTTTTTAGTTCAAACTGAAAATTTTATTATTATCATTGACCTTTTCATTATTCCTTATCATTTAAGCATATTTTTATAAAATATGTTCATTTGCTGATTTTACTTATTAGTTGAATATATTTCTTGAAATTCATATTGTATCATTATCATTAAAATAAAATATTAATGAATGTTTTTATAACTATTTTATAATATCAAATGAATAATTTAAATAGTAATAAAATAATAAAACTGTAATCTAATTAATAATTATTAATCAGCATGTAGTTCAACTAAGAATATATTTCTAAATTTATAAATTATCCCTTGATCTACAAACTCATATTTCTCCCTGAAACTATAAAATTTGAAAAAGTTGCTTACTATAGCTTGGTGTAATGAAAAAATATTGACAGTGTAATTTACTTAATGTTATTAGTGTGTTTTCAGAAATTATTTTTATTACAAAATATCATGTTTTTATTTATTGTACAAATATTAATTATAAAACATTACTTATCATATAGTAAAATTTTAATTCTATTTGTTACCATCATCGTCCTTCTTGCAATCAGTAGGCTATTTGTTTCGGCTTTTTCTACTAGTTAAATAATATCAAGATTAAAGTTTTTTTTTTTTAATGCTTGTTGTATATACTCTGGTTTTTTTTAATTAATATATTTTGTGATTTAGTTTTCTCCTTGTGTAATAGATAGTCCCAATTTATTTAAATCTGAGAGACAATTTATTTGTCAGCAAAATGAAGATGTAATTAATTTTAGTAGTAAGTAAAGTAAAATTTTTCATGTAAATTTTTATTTTTATCAATTTATTTTAAATGTGCTTAAAAAAAACTCATTTATTAAACCTATTTTCATAAGAATACAAAATGAATCGAGATATTAATATAAACTTTTATTTGTGCTGTCAAAATTAAAGATAGTTCAAAACCTGTACTAGAAGTAAAATTTCATTATAATTCATTATGCCTCATATTTTTCATTTAAAAAAAAAAGTTTATTGAATGTCTATACAAACAAATAATTTTCAGTATTCTCTTAAAACAACTCTCATACAGCTGTGAAATTCAGCAATTATAATTAAAATGTAAACTTTTGGTTTTGAAACAATAAAGATGTTAAATGGCAATTTCCAGTGAAAGGCAGATTCCACCACTTTTTACTTCTATTTAAAAAGAGAAATAATGTTTAGTACATATTTTCATGTAAATAAATTTTTTTGTGCATACATTGCTTGATGATGTATTATCTTTTAATAAATGAAAATTAAATTCTTTATTGCATAAAAGACATCCTTTTTAAATATACATACACGCATTATTTGTGAAGTTTCAACAGTGCTTATTATGGTTTGTTTTATTTCAACCATTTTTAAAATATTAATTACATTTTTATAGCAATTTAAATAGAACATTGTTAAGGTAACAAATAAGTTACTGATAAAATGAAAATAGATTTTTGCTAAGGTAAATACTTGATAATATTGACGTTAATACTTCTTATTTTTTTCCCCACTTTATTTTGTTCATTCATTAGTATGAGCCCTGATGCTTACATTGGATTTCTTTTCTTAAATAAATCAAAACATGAATAAAGGTTCAGAAATGGACATACTGTAACTTTGATTCAATAAAGAAGAACCTTCTTTGGAATCTAAACCAAAAAATACAGTCAAAAAGTAATGAGATAAACATGCAAAGTAGTTTAACCAGTGTTTGAAGAGGAACCTTTCCCTCTATCTATTTTGGTACCTTTATTTGTCCTTTTTTTATTATTTATATGTATTTACATTTTATTTATTTTTATACCAAAGTACAAAGTATATCCTATGCTCATTTGGATTACTTCTCTTACTCTAGATTTTCATAACTTTGCAAAATAATAAGTTTGCTATTTTTTAGGGTTTAATTTTAATAATTCTTATTATAACCTTTCGAATAAAATATTATAATTATTTCAGATGGCTGTGGATGAGAAAAATGAAAGTGCTCTTTTAAATTTAGAAGTTGAAATTTGGTATGTTTGAAATATAATATTTTATGTAACATTTTATTTAAAACTGAAACACTGTGTTATAATTGTTTTCAGCTTAAGTAATTCAAATACAATACAGACTTTCTTGTTATGTTACAAAGAATAATTATTAATAAAAATTATTTAAAATTTTGGTAGCATTTTTTTTTTATTATTATTATTATTTATCCATTACAACTTTTTTCCACTGTAATGTTAAAGTTTTTTTTTTTTTTTTTTTTTTTTTTTTTTTTTTTTTTTTTTTTTTTTTTTTTTTTTTTTTTTTTTTTTTTTTTTTTTTTTTTGGTATTAAAAAAAAAATTTTATATTTAGCTATCATTTATTATTTTTATGTATGAAATAAATTATAAAACTGTTTTTCTTTTAATTTATTTTATATTAAAAAAAAAATATGGTCGAACTGTATTTGTGAGCAGCTTTTTATCTAATTTTCTATCTTACGTGCATACATACATATTCCTCTTCACTCCAAATTGGAACATGGGGCTTCTATCACAGCTTTCCATCTCACTCTATTTGTGACCAGATATTTTACCTCTCTCCCTGTTTTTCCTATTGATTTAAATTCGGTTACAATCGTCCTTCGCCAAGTATTTTTAGGTCTTCCTCTTTTTCTATTGCCCTGTGGGTTCCAATCAAAAACTTGTTTTACTTTAAATATTTCAGATTTACGTCGAACATGCCCAATCCATTTCCCTTCATGTTTTTTAATTTCCATATTAATGGGTTTCTATTTTGCTTTTCTAAGGATTTCTACATTATAAATTTTATGGAACCACTTGATACCTAAGATTCTTCTTAAATAGTTGGTAATTAGTACTTGAAGTTTTTTCATGTTATTTTTATTGCAGTGTCACGTCCCAGATCCATATAGTAGGGCAGATTTAATGATAGTGTTGAAAATTTTCCAGAATTCGTTGAGAATAGCATAACCGCTTTGGGCTTCGTTTAATCTATTTAGTATATCTTCATCAGTTCATCATTCTTTGTTGTTAATTATACCTCCAAGATACGTAAAACTGCTTACCTCCTCTAGTTTATTATTTTCTAAGACTATGTCATTTAATTGTTTAGGATTAATTTTTTAAATTTTAGTTTTCTTTTGGTTGATAATAAGCTCCAATTTCTTTGCCTCTATATTAATAGATGTTTGTGTTTGTTTGCATGTCTTGAAGGGTGTTGGTCAGTAAAAGAGTATACAGTTAATTGGATTTTTTACTTTATTCACATTGATAACAGTCAGTGGAAGCTATTCCCAATCCCATATTAATTTTAAGTAATTTACAAGACTGTTAAAGTTTTTCGATGTCTTATCTTCAGTAATGTGATTGTTAATTTCATATGCTATTACTTGCTTTAAAAATATATCTCTAACACAAATCTATATTTATAGCGAATTATTATTTATATATGTATTGTATTTTGTAAGTTTTAAATTAAATTATTATTTTCTAGGCCTAAACTGAATGTTAATCAAGCTGACATATTGAATCGTGTAATTAACAAATATCGTAACATGCTGATTCTTCCATTGGATATTATTCCTTTTGAAGAACACAAAGCAGGTGATTCCACACTACAAAGCAGCGAGGATGCTTCTGCTTCCTGAATAGATGTCTTACTATTTGTTTGTGTTTGTTGCTAACTTGTTGATTGTAACTTGTTTGTATAAATATTTCTTCCAATGTTGCTCAAACCCAATGAAAATTGTATAAACGATTTATCAGTCTTATATCAATTGCATTATTTGCTAATTATCCCTGTCAATCTTATTTTAGTTTTAAGTATATTTTAGTTAGTGTAACTAAATCGACATTTTACTCAGATATTTATTTACATGATGTTTTTATCGTTCAGAGCTTTATTCAGCATAGTTTCAAGTTTTTTTTTTTTAAATACAAATACATAAATTCATTGCTATAATTTTGCAAACCTCAAAAATCATCCAATTGAAAATCTAAAACTCTCTTGTTTGGAATTATTGTGATTTTGGATTAGTTTTGAGATATTGATTTTATCAAAAATTTTAAAACAACCAAAGAATCCTTTGAGTTAGTTTCTTTTTTTCTTATTTCGTTGCCGCTACATAATTTTTTTTTAATAACTTACTAATAGTAATATTATTTGAATCTTTTACTCAGAAGTAATAATCCTATGAGTTTCAAAAAGAACAAAAATTATGAAAGAAATTGATAATTATATTCTTTAAATTTGAAGCTAGCTCGAAAAATGTTGATTTGAGAAATGAATGTTTTTGTTTATTAGTACTTTTATCATATTATATTTACAATGTTTTTCTTTTTTTGTAAAATATTTCTTTATTTTATATCCTTTAATGGTTTGTTTTGGTTCTTAACATCATATTTGAACTTCACTTATGCATTATTGGTAATGGTCAATGATCTATTCTTCATGGTAGGAAAACAATACTGGCACATGCACTCATTACATTACCACAATTTAATTCAAAAGGCAGATGATGTTAGTAATCGCCTGGCTTTCTTACCATGCTGCTCAACCATGTGACTCTTGTCTACATGGTTGACAGATTACTTTAAATTCCATTAAGCCATGATTTCAGAAAGTGCAGTCCAATTACAGGGTGCATAGCGTTTTTTAAAGGTGCTTATTTTCGTTTTTTAAAAGCCCTTAAAGGTGCTTTTTTTCATTGGGTGTTTTTAAAAAGTGCTTAAATTACCCTTTTTCAAAATTAAATTTTTCCTTCACTATGTTGATTTTTCCTTCAAATTATGCAAAAAGACACAGTTCACATTGTTCTATTCAGCATTTTCACAATTAATTCAACCCCAATCTATTTCGGTGTATTGTCAATCCATAGAGTATGAAAACGCCATTCGTTTTACATTATTCAAAATTTCATGATTTTTGACAAGTGCCAAAGTTTTTTTTTTTTTTTTTGACGTTACGGTTAAAACAAGATAAAACCGTCAATTGTCAAAAACTTTCCAACTCTGTCTAATTATGCTATTTTTCTTAAAGTGCTGTAAAGGTGCTTACTTTTTGTTGAATAATTTGGTTATGCACCCTGAATTAGACACCCAGCCTTTAGTATAGGGAATCAAACCCTGACTAAGGCAATGGTAAATGAAGATTAAACCCACCACATTGACCAGGAAGTGTGTCCTTTTGTGAAATATGCTCAAAACAAACTATATAATATTGAAAAATAAAACTATTTTATTAAAAAACTATAAGTTATAGTTTAAATGTAACTCATTTTCAGTGAACTTATTTTCATTATCATGTACATATAAATGTATAATTTTAAAATATAGTCACTTTTTAAATTATATATGTATATACACTTCAGAGTTTATTTATGTTCCAAAAAACAATTTATGCGTATTATTTTAATAAATTGCACAACCTAGTAAAAATAATAGTCAGTTTCCCAAATAATGTTAGTTTAATTACATTTAAATAGTTCATAATTAACTTTGGTTTAAAAGACTTGTAGTCTTGTCATGCTACATAGGGCTTTCATACAAGTTGTGTAGTGATTCTTTACACTTTTTGTAGATAATTAAATTTCACTTATGCATTGTAAACTAGTGACATAACTTTTCCCCCATAACACTAACACAGAAAATAGAACAAGCACTTCTTGCATCAAAGAAAGACAATTTAACGTAATAAATATAATAATGTAATATATATCAACGTAAAATATATATAACGTATAAACGTAATCTATACTCATAATACATTAAAACTAGTTAGTAAAATTTGCACCTTATAATGTGCTCATGTATATATGACATGGATTATATGATTATATTCACTTTTATATTGAATTTTTTTTCCTGAAAGTACTTTCAATGTTATTTATTTATTTTATTTTTTTGTGTAATTAATATTTCGAGTGTTGATATTTTTCCTGGAATTTATCTAATTGGCGCCTCTTTAATAAGGCTTATAAATAAAGTCGGGGTTTTTTTTTTCCAATTAGACAGGTGAAGAATTTAGAGCTAAAATGGATAAATTCAAAAGTATAAAATATTGTGAATTGATTAATACTCATTAATGGTGTATATTTTCAGATTCATAATGTACCACCAAATCCTTAAATAAGGTTGTCTTCAGAATTTCACTGACCTCATATCATTTAACTGTAACCTTTATTATCTAAAACCTGTATAATTTATGGCTTTGATCTACTTCAACTCTGCATCTCACATATGTATAATACTAATGAAAAAAAATTCTAAAACAATATTTTTATTTTTTTTATTACTTCTGTCCATCAAGAAAACCTATAAATTTTATTTTTTAGACCAAAAAAAGTAGAAATGATTTATATTGGCATGCTTTGTATGGGGACTGAAGATGATACAACACATATTTCTCTCAGTATTGGGGAAATTAGGAATAAATAAAAGTATTTATTAGATTGCCCAGCATGAAATTTGCAGAAAAAAGACAAATATAGTTGATAGCTTACAGACATAATGAACTATTTCATTCATCAAAGTATGCCCTTCCCCCATGTCTTTCCTTCTGTCTGCCGTATAAGCGGCAGGTTGTTTGAGAAAGTGGAGTCAATGAATTCCTGGAAGGCCAGTTATACAGCATTTTCAGAATAAAATTATTACTTTCCTATTAAAAAGTTACCCAAATTTAGAAAGAAGTAGTTGTCAGTGGGTGATAGGTTTAGTGAATATGAAGGATGAGGAGAAAGTTGAGCACCAAACACTCACCAGTAGTTTCTTTTTTAAATTCAACCTTGTTCACTAGAACCAAATACACTATTAATGTGAGAAGGATCTACACTATCTAGCCATTAATGACCGGACACTGTGAAGTTCTGCGGTGGAGGAATTATGGTGTGGTCCTGTTTCTCATGGTTTGGCCTTGGACCCTTGGTGTTAGTGCGTGGAACCCTGAACGCAGAAGGGTGTAGAGACATCCTGGACAATTCGGCACTTCCCACCCTGTGGCAACAGTTCGGTAATGGCCCGTTTGTGTTTCAACACGATAGCGCTGCCATTCATAAAGCACATGCCATCACGGACTGGTTTGATGAAATGGGGGTGCAAGAGCTTGACTGGCCATCCCAAAGTCCCGACATCAATCCGATTGAGCATCTCTGGGATAAGTTGGAGCGCCGGTTGAGGGCCAGACCACATCGCCCCAAAACCACCACTCAACTCTTCGCCATGTTACAGGAGGAATGGCGGGCAATACCTGCCGCCGTGTACCAACACCTAGTGGATAGCCTTCCTAGAAGGGTTAAAGCTGTGATTCGAGCGCGTGGCGGCCCTAAGCCCCACTGACTTGATACTAGCTCCTCATGTATCCGAAATGAGGGGTGTCCGGTCATTAATGGCCAGATAGTGTATGATACCATAGTTCTTTTTAACAATGCATACATAAGAATGAATTTCCAACCATTCTCCTTTCAATAAAATTTTTTTTAATGTTTTTAATATTTTTTAGAGCTTACGATTATTTTTTTAAGCAGGTGTAATATGTAATTTTTCATTATAATGAACTGTTGAAGTTGATATATCCAACCTACTAATTTCATCCTTGACAACTTAATATTATAACCCATCGATGACACTCCCTGTTGTTTCTTATTGTTAATGAAGGGTGTTATTCATTTACGTTTGTGTTTCAAAATGTATCATAATAAAAGGGCATTTGGAAATAAGAAAATTATTTTAGTACTGTGAAGTATAGTATCATGTTTTTTATTGGCATAGGAATAATTAACCATGAATTGTTGCAAATTTAGTTTCCCTTTTATAAAAATATAAATTCAGTGTTAATTGATAAACCAATTGCATAAATTTACATGAATTAAAAATTTAATCTCTTTTATATGGTTAAACCATATTTAATCGTCAAATTTGTGTGCAGGTGATCTCATGCAATGAGATTTACCTAAATATAATTCTTAGTCCATCATGAAAAATAAATAAGTGAGCATTTAATAGCCAAATAAATTTTCTGTGTGTATTTGGAATTACACAGTTGTTGGGACCTAAATGGTTTTTTTTTTCACTAACTGTTGGTAATTTTGAAGATTGAATAAAAATTCATTGTTGTAATTGTTAAATAATTTTGTGTCTATCTGTACATATATTTGAAAATAAACTTTTTAAATTCTTTACATACAATATTTGCCTATTCTATTTATTTATTTTTCTGCTTCTGTCTCTTGAATAATGTTCTGTGTTAGATACTAATCATATTTCTTTTTTTTTTCTAATACACATAACCCACCAATCAGTAAACACTCTTTTTTATTTTTTCAATTCAATTAAAGAAATGTTAGCAAATCTCTAAATACTTTACCTGGTTTAATTTTTTTTTTTTTTTTTACATAACTGATTTCTTTCTGTTATTCAATGAAGAAACTCCACTTGCTGCATACACTGCTAGTCAATTACATTAAACAGTATGTTATGTATGAATTATATGATAATTTATACAGCAATTTCAAAATAAATTATATTAAATGCAAAAACACTAAAAAGTTAAAATAGATATCCATTGAGGTTTAAGATCCTATTTTTGGAGATTTTTAACTCGAATTGGATTTTGTAAAGAAATTGGATATAAAGTTATTATTAAAACTTAAATTTATTTGTTTAACTCACGCTTATGTAGCAGATATCGGGAATTAGATTTTAAGACTTTTTTTTCACTAGTTCTGAAATAGCTCCAAGAAAATTATATGTAGCAGATATTGGGAATTGGATTTTAAGACTTTTTTTTTTACTAGTTCTGAAAAAGCTCCAAGAAAATGATTGGTCATACTTTATTTGGTCTTAACTTTATTAGATAATTCAGAAAATGTATACAATTTCTTGATTTTTGTGAAGCTAATTTTCTTTTCTTATGCTGCATGAATTTTATTAGCATATCTTTACAGCTTTAATTGTGAAAGTACAACACTTTGCATACAACAATCAATCAGGAGGTTCTATGGCTATACAAACACTATGCCTCCAAACATTCATTGGTGTTATAAACAAAGAATGTACAAAAAGAGAGAGAGGGTACGATAGCCTGGTTGGCAGTGCACTGGACTCACGTTCTTGAGAACGGGAGTTCGAATCCAACCGGCCGAAGACTTCTGGTGTAGTAAATGGTGACTGGTACACGTTAAATCTCTCAGGTCACAAAGTCCGCCTTGTTTCCATAACAACATACACCCCTGGGGGGTACTGAATTAGAGATAGATCATTCTCTGATTCAGGTCAAAATTTTGAACTGTGAATGAATGGGTCCGCCCTATAAACGGGTGTGGCAGAAGTCGAATTCTTGGCCGTAGAAAGCGCCACTGGAAAACAACAATCGCACCTTTTACCTTAATGACCTACAACAACAAAGAGAGAGAGAAAGGAAAACTATTGAGATAATCCTTATATTTACACATATTTGCCTAAAACATGTGATTTCTCTTAAATTGCAGCAATAGGTTAGTCAAAAATACTGAGACCAATTTTTAACTGTTTATCCTTTTTCTTTTTTTTTTAAATCTCGCCTATTTGGTTGTTCGTAATTTCCTATATTGTGATGCAACAAATTTTTCTCACAAAAAAAATTACCAGATGAATCTTTTCTTCTGAATGTTCAAGCATCTCTTTATACTTTGGAAATAAAGGTATACTGTGATCAGGTTAATAATGGCAAAATAAGTTCACACCCTTCTCTTAGTCCTATCTCAGTGTAAGAAATTGCAATCAAGCAATTATGCTGTCTTTTCTTAGAATAAATATTCCATAAGATAGGATTCTCTGCAACTTAGTTATGAACTTTTTTTCCTATTATCTTGTACCATTTTTAGATACTGTCTTCGCGGTTCCCACACGGTGGCGCTGTGAGATGTTTATCTCACCTTGAAGTTCCGTGCCTTTTTACTATACCCAGATACCATTTTTTATTACTTAACTGCAGCCATTCAAAATTTTAAAGGGTGGCTACGAACTTCAATAAGATTGCAGTTAAAACAACTGATAGAACCGACATGGCAAAAATTCATGTATTTCTGCCACACTCAGAAAGTGACATAAAAGTTATTGCAACATACAATTGCAATTAAAGTACAATTTATTTACAATAGTATCACCATTCAAAATCAATTATTACATTGCTTTCATTCTGCAGTGGTCAACAAAACACAAAAAAGTTCAACAAAAGACAAGTTTTGATGCTGCTTCTAAACATTAACAATTTATAATGGAAGAATGAAAAATTCGATTAGATTTTCTCAAATCAAGAACTAGCAGGCATTGCGGTCAAAAAACAAGCATGATTTCTGAAACTTGCCTCGATTTCACATATATTTACAAACAATGAACTGAAAAGTTTGTCGGCAGAAAGCCAATCCTGTTTAAAATTATCATTCAACACGTATTTTGGATTATTAAGTGCTTTACAGCTTTAGTTCGTGAGCTGTAAGATTTGAAATCTAATTTTTTACCATTTTTTTATTTTTTTTATTTTGTTAAAAATTTTAAAAAAAGCATTACGCGCGTTTATTTAAACAGAAGACATTGGGAAGTTTAACTTTGCTGCTAATTTTTTTCTTTAGGTGAAAAATATATTATTTTGACTCTTTTATTTTTTTAGTACGATATTATTACAATATTTTGGCTTCGAAGATGTAATTTTTTTTCTCCTTTTTAAAACCAGGGCAAAAGAATGTTTAAGGTCAAGACTATAAAATGGCGAATACCTTTTTGGCAAAATTGCCTCAACATAAATCTCAATATATGTCTCTTCAAAGAAAACAATTTAGTCCGATAAATCGTTTTTCTATTCAAGACAAAGAAATTTTTTTTAAAAATAACTCTTTAGCTCATATTATCAAGATTCTTTTTTCCTCCATTTTTCACCTGAAACGTGAGTACTAAATCAATAGCCTTTACTTTATTTATTCCTATTTACTACTATCATCTAACCAAATTTGACACACGGAATATTTATGCACATCTTTTCTAAAATTGAATTTATGTCAATCTAAACTTATTTATAAAATACCCATTTTCATTAGTTTATTTGAATAAATAGGTGATGCAGAGTACTTCGATTGTGTGGAAATTAGTTATGTTTTCTAGCTGACTAACTCTGAATTACACTTAACTAATCAAGATGAAAAACCTACCATATCGGCATGTTTTTGTTGATTAATTAACATCTGAATATATAAGTTTATTTTACTAAGTCAACTCTCTTATGTTCTTAAATTAGCCTTATCTATTGAATTGAATTCTACAAAGATACAAGTATTTTGTGACGAATTTTTCACTTTTTAAAATGATTCCAGTTTTTCTTAAAATGTAAATTTTCTTGATAAATGAGATCTTGCTTTATGTGTACAAGTAGTATAGACATTTTTTTTTCAAGTATTAAAATTGTTTATGGACGATGTTTACAAAAAATAATGAATAAATTAATACCAACAGTGTCTTCCATGCAATTTTTTAAGTTAGGATAAAACTTCTGTAGAATATTTAATGATTTCATTAATTGCATCGATGATTAAACGTATGTTCTTATTCGCTATGATCTGTACTAAATAAACATTTTACTCTTATAGTATGGTGCAAATCCTATCGTAAAATAACCATCAGTTAAAAACATTTTTAGTTAAAATCTCTTTAAATTTATCCATCTTGCTCACAAACAGAGACTAGAGAAAATTGGCGACAGTTACATTGTATTTGGCGTTCAAAAATCGATATATCTTTTGTTTATTAGGTTGGTCAGTCAATACCGGGTAAAATTCATTATAAAGATCCTATTTCAATACGTATATCATTAAACTTGGTTCATAAAGTTCTTAAAATAAATTCAGTTTAACAGAAGTAATAATTTAGAACAAAAATACTTCATTGATTTCATTAAGTTATATTTCGATACATGAGTTGTATACGTAATTTTAGTACATAGAAAATTACATAATGCTTTGGATTTTCTTGCTGACGAATTTCACCTTTCATGTACGAAATTTTAAGTGTTAAATTCTAATAGCAAATAGTATCATTTCGAATTTTTTCCTCGAATTCAATTTTGCATGATCAATTATTTATTAGTAATATAGCTTTAAAAAATTTTATATAACTAATTATGTATTCGTATGGCACAGTTTTTAATGGAAAAAGTAAGTCTCAAAAACAAACCATAATTTTTCAAAAAAACAAAGGCAGGAAAGAAGAAGGAACGAAAAGCTGTTAAAAAAATTTGCATCCTGCCATAAAGTCTCCTACAAACATTTCTTCTCGGAAAGTTAAAAATTATGCTTAATTTTATTATGGAAAGGAAAGTTTTATGACCTGCGATGCGCCATTTTTTCGCCAAGAAACAAAAATAAATTTTTATTCTTATAACCTAGCTAAAATTTTCTTCTTAAGAAAACACTAAAGCGAGTTTCTTTTGAACATGCTCAGATGTTACAGAAAATGTTTTATTTTAATAAAAACATTACGAAAATGCTTTTCCTCATTTTAGTTTTTCTAAAATTACAAACTTTTTCTTTAGGAATAAATTAGTTCTGAGATTTATTTTACTTAACGTAGTTTTTTCTCCTTCAGTTTCAAGAACGTCTTATGTTTTTTTTGGATTCTAATACTATCATGTATGTTTACTTAAGGTTAAACACTGCAGTGAACTTTTCTTTACAAAAATTAAAAAATAATAATTATAATTATCACCCTAAAATTATTTTATGCTGTTGCACATTCGAGAACATTTTCCAAACGTCTAATTTGAAATTCAAACTTTATCCCTTTGACACAGAATTTTTATTGAAAATTTTTTTCATACTTTTTTCATTATTTTGTATTATTTTAGGTCAAAATAAGTGAAAAATATTATAATTAGCATTTTAATAATTTATGTTATGAAATACAGCATGAAGCATCGGTATCTTTTTCTGCGTTAAAGTTAA